ATCATCATGGCGACTTGACAAATGAGGTTGTGCGACGGAGCACAGGCTACATGGAAGGCATTCTTCATGTGCTGATCCAACAGCATCAATGCCTCGCTGACAACCGCTATCTTATCCAATCACTGGACAAAGGTCTTGCAAATCTGCAGGCGCTCACTTCCTCCGGCCAGTCCGACACAGTGACAGTCACACAGCAAAAGTCAAATCATGATCAAAGCCTGCACTGGATCACGCCTGTCCTTGGTTTCAGCCTTCATCTCTTGGACGTCCACGCCAAATTGGGCAGATTGGACAACAGTGCCATTCAAGCGGTGCTGCGGGATTGGCTCACAAAATTTACCAACCTCCAATCTCGGCTTGCCTCCAACCAAAGACTCCCGACTGTGTTCGTGACGAACGCCCAATTGCAGCTGCGCGACGAGCTGGAAGAGAAGCTGGCCAGCTTTGAAGCCACACTCCAACTACTCGAGTCAGAACGACCGGATCTCGCGTTCGTTTTCCAACAGCTTCAGCTTTGGGCATCAGTCACAACGTCCGGTGGCAACGAGGCCGTCAAGGTCAATGATGCTCAGAAATTTTTCGATGTTACGCTGAACCTGTCCAAGATGGTACTTGATGCCGTGCAAAAATTTCAAAAGGCTGCCGCAACAATGCCTACGTCTGCTGAGGAGGCGTCCTGGCTGCTTCAGTGCAGTGACACTCTTGCTGGCCTGGCCAAATCCCTGCACATGAATACCATCGTTGATGCTGTCAACGGCGCGTTGGACTACCTCAGAACCCTTCAACTTGAGAATTCTTCTGTCAGGAACGCTGCACTGTCGCTGCTCGCAGTAACACTGCCGATTCTACAACAATACGCCAACACTTGCCACAGGACTGTCGCACAGATGGCTGATCTGCACCGTGCCAGCAATAAGATGGCACTGCATCTTGGTAAAGCATTCGTGGAGATCGCGTCTCGAGGTTTCTGCACTCCCCAAGAGAAATCCGACGAGACTTCGGGCGAAACAGGCAATCTCGAGAGCGGTACGGGACTTGGGGATGGTGAAGGTGCCGAAGACATCAGCAAGGATATCCAGCCTGACGAAGATCTCTCAGAGCTCGCGCAAGAACCAAACAAGGAGAAAGAGGGTGACATCGAAGACCAGGAAGATGCTGTGGACATGGGCCAAGAAGAGATGGAGGGCGAGATGGGCAGTGCAGCTGGAGATGATGAAGATGATCAAGACGGCAAGAAGGATGGTGACGAAGACGAGGACGAAGACATGGATGAGGAAACTGGTGACGTCGATGATCTCGACCCTACTGCTGTTGACGAGAAGATGTGGGATGGTGATGGCGAAGACGCGGACAAGGATCAAAAGGGCGATCAGGCCAAGGGCCAGAAAAAAGAAGACGAGCAAGTCGCCGCAGATGAAGGTACCGACAACCAAGAGGTTCAGCAGCCCCAGGAGGAGGAGGCGGACCAGGCGGACCCCGAGCCGGAAGAGGAGGCTGGCCCTGAGCAAGATGACGATGCCGCGCAAGAAGAGCTCAACCGCCAGGACCAGAATGTAGACGAGAATGAGGCACTAGCTCTGCCAGATGACATGGATATCGATGGGAAGGATGAGGACGAAGAGTCGGCAATCTCTGACGACGACCTGGACAAGCTCTCTGATGTCGGCCAGGAGGAGACAGAGGAGGATGCCAAGAAGGAGGGAGAAGAGCAGCATGTCGAAGAGGACGAGGGCGAAGCGGGCGACATGCAACAAGGTGATATGGAGGAGGAGATCAACCCCGACGACCCCGATGAAGACATGCAGGGGGAGAACACTGAGATGGAAGAGCGGGAGCCCGACGCGGACGAGCAAGGTGCTGAGGAACAGGAGAAGGATGAGGAGAAGCCGCCCCTGAACCCGAACGACGATGCCCATGCCGATCCGGACAACGCAGCACCCAGCGATGTCAAGAGCGGCGCCGGACAAGATCAAACAGAGATTGACGGCCAGGATGATCAGAATTCTCAGTCCAAGGCAGCCCAGCGCGAGCATGGAGAGATGGGACAGAATGCAGAGGACCAGGAGACAGCGACCGGCAATGAAGGCGCCATGTCAAGACGCGATGAAGACCAGAACGAGTCCGACGAAGCCAACAAGCCAGGCGAATCAGCACAGTCACAGCCATTCAAGAAACTTGGCGACGCTCTTGAGAGGTGGTACAGAAATCATCAGAACATCAAGGAGGCCATGGACGAGCAGGAAGCCCGCCAGAACCCAGAAGCGGACATGGCGCAGAAGGAGTTCCAACATTTGCAAGACGACAACGACGCTCCTGATGCACAGGCTCTCGGCGCCGCGGCCGATGATGAAGTACAGCCTATTGATGAGTCCATGGCCATCGACGAAGAGAGGCAAGATGACCAGAACAAGGTCATGCCCCAGCAAAACGACGAGGAGATGGTGGACGCCGGCGAGGATGGAGTGGATGACATGGAGCGGGACGAATCGAAGGACAAAGAGATGCCAGACCAAGACACATCACGCACTGGTGTCGCAACGAGACGTGGTGCTTTCGACAGAGAACGCTCCGAGTCCCCTACACAAGCCCTGGAGACGGAGCAAGAAGAACAAATCGTCGAGGAAACTTCAACTCAACTCTCGACCACACACATCTCTGACGAAGATCGGCCGCTTAGAGACTACGTCTTGTCCCTCGAGTCCTGGACCAACTTCCAGACCAAGACACACCCGTTGTCTCTGGCCCTCACCTCTCAGCTCCGCCTCATCCTCACGCCTTCTCAGTCCACCAAGCTCTCGGGCTCCTACCGTACCGGCAAGCGGCTCAACATCAAGAAGATCATCCCCTACATCGCCTCGTCCTACAAACGCGACAAGATCTGGATGCGCCGCGCCATCCCCACTAAGCGCACCTACCAGATCCTCCTCTGTGTCGACGACTCCCGCAGCATGGGCGAGACGACCTCGGGCACCATGGCCCTAGAGTCCCTGGTCATGGTGTCCCGCGCGCTCGCCATGCTCGAGGTCGGGCAGGTCGGCGTCCTGGGCTTCGGCGCCGACGTCTTCACGGCCCACGACCTCACCGCCCCGCTGCTCAACTCCTACGACGCGGGCGCAAAGGTCCTGCAGAACTTCACCTTCCAGCAGGATCGCACTGACATAGGCCTGCTCATCCGCCAGACCATCGACCAGTTCCGGGCAGCTCGCAATACCAACCGGTCCGGCAGCAGCGGGGAGGACCTGTGGCAGCTTGCCCTGATCCTCTCGGACGGGCTGACGCCCAGCTCCGCGCACGAGCGGATCCGCAGGCTCCTGCGCGAGGCACTCGAGGAGCGCATCATGGTCGTGTTTATCATCATGGACGACTCGGGCACCAAGAAGGGCGACAGCGTGCTGGAGCTCAAGGAGGCCAAGTTCGTCAAGGAAGCGGACGGGAACAGCAGGGTCGTCATCGAGAGGTACCTGGACACCTTTCCCTTCCAGTACTACCTCATTGTGCATAATCTGGAGGACCTGCCAGGTGCTCTGGCTGGTTTATTGAGGACCTGGTTTGCCGAGGTCAACTCATAATTTGCTCCCGGCTCTTTCATACTGCCGGGTTTAGGCACACGGTTTCGACTGCATCACGAGCGTTTCTTTCTTTTACATTCGGCGTTAGAAGGGCGTTTGGGGGCCAAAAGAAAACCCATAGATTCCTTACATAATAATATATGCATACACACGTACTCTCATCTCTCCTAGGTCTCTCAGATCAGTCCTCTTCTGCTACTTGATCGTACCAACCATACAAGAATGAACAATAAGATTACCCTTCAATAGGACTTTTTTATATCTATCAGTCTTTCTTTATCTCATAATTCTGCTTTGCAAATAGAGTATTAGTACCCTCATCATAAAACTGCTGATCAGTGCATACACTACATTTATACCTGGAAACTCTTAACAATTTATATACTAGCAGTCTTTTGTTTTCAAGTTAGGACTATAGATAGAGAAAGAAGATAGAACTATAATGAATGTATAGCTATGCATTTTGTTGAATATTATTGTGTGTAACTTCCTGCTGTATAGCTCTTTTCTGTTGTGCAATGTCTGGTGTCACTGCAGTTGTAATTCTTGTGTAATTTGTCAGTATTTTGGCCATCTGGTAGACATAGGTGTCCGCCGGGTGGTGGTCAGAGTACAGTATGTGAACGAGTGATGGACAAAGTTCGGCACGTTCCAGCTTAGCCTTACTTGAGACAACAGAGACGAAGAGAATGCACCTGATACGGCGGGTTTGCTTTGAGGCATTTCACTTGGATACGTCTGGGAGTAGACTTCGGGACAGGCAATGTACACAGGTCCTGGGTCACCGTACAGGGGACCAATCATACCCTTCGGAACCTTCTTGCTCGAGATCACTTGGTTGCCATGCCTTCTTGATCTGCTTTACCGTATTTTTCCCAGTCCAGAGATCTGGTTTCAGTCCTCCTCGTGCGACCGCGCCCAAATTCTGGTACAACGGAATATATAATTATCGTCAAGCTGGAGACCTGTGTTAGTATAACATACTTCATGGTCAACTTCTTGTAAGCCTCGACACAACCATTTCAATCGAGACTGACTTTTCTATAGCACGACCCAAAGAGAGAATGCTCTGCTGTGGCGTCGGGAAAGGCATGGAGACCGGTGAGCGAAGCCACATGCTCGAGCTGGCTCGCTGGTCATCAGATCTTACTGACCAGCGCAACTCTGAAAAGAGCTAAAATGCACCCCCCCAAACATGGAATTTTCTTCATTGGACTGAGCTGAAGTCATAATATTTAACTCCATGTGCATTAGCGTGCTCATCATGTCACATACAGCCCCTCGTTGTCCAGCCCTCGATTTATCACCTCTTCCTCCTCTCTTCACGTTCTTGATCCCTCTACAACATCACAAGGCCAACAAGAAGATTTTGAAGAGCACGCGAGTGGAAAAAAGATGCTTTTGGACGCTCTCTCACTTGCGTGCAACATAATGACGGTGATCGACTTTGGTCACATGCTATTTGAAGTATCGAGGCGGGCGTACCGCGCGGGCACACCTGATGCTGACGCCGAGTCCACAGCACACGATCTCTCTAGGGCAACTAAGATCCTCGAAACCTCCATCAGTGCCGGCATGCAACCCATCACTTCCGAAGAGTCTGAACTCTTGCGCATTGCCAATAGCTGCCGAGAAGCTGCAAAAAAGCTAGGGGAAATGTACGAAAAGCTGGCTGTGCCTAGATCCGGTCAAATATCCTGGTCCGGTCGTGCGACGAAGGCTGTCTTGGTGGGCATGAAGCGGCAATGGCAACGTCATAAATTCGATGAGCTCAACAACGTATTGATCGGCTGCCAAACTGCTATGCAGACCAGAATTCTTGTCTACCTCTAGTAAGTCCTTACTCTTTCATGTTCAACAGAGACTGCGGAAACGTGTTGGAGCAACTTGGAAAACAGATGTAGCTCGCGGCTGATCATCTCTTGATACAGCCAAACCAACAAAGCACAAGAAGCTATGCGCCTCGAAGAGTTCTCGACCCTCAATCGTTCTCTACAAAATTTCATCCGTGCGGTGTCCAAGGCCAAATTTGGGATGGATGACCTCCTGTTGAGATTGAACGATCTCCACGCACTCCAGCTAAACACCAGGGATGATCTCCATACGATCCAGCTAGAAACCAAGAGTAGCATCCAGCAAGACCGTCTCTTGGCCAGTCTGAAGTTCGACGGGATGAACCAGCGGTTCAACCACGATGTCAGGGACGCCCATCACGATACTTTCAAATGGCTCTTTGGCGAGAACATCGATTCTACCACATCATCAGACGTCAACTCGCGAGACAGCACATTGTCCAGCTGGTCGATCAGGCAGCGGGATAAGATGCTTCGGGCTCGCCAAGAGACATTTGATGACTTTGGCCAATGGTTGAAATCTGATTCGAGCCTGTACTGGATCAGTGGCAAGGCCGGTGCTGGCAAAAGCACGCTGATGAAGTTCATCTGCCAGCACCTAAGTCACTCAAAGCCAACGGCGGACACGGTTGTCCTTCACTACTTCTTCTGGTTCAACGCTCCAACCAGCACAATGCAGCGAAGTATCGCTGGGATGCTGAGTACATTGCTTTACCAGCTGCTGCAACATGATCGAGCTCTTGTTCCTCACCTGATCCACAGCATGCCCGAGGCGCGTTTAGAGGACAAGGACAGTCCATGGGATTGGACTCTCGACGAGCTGGAGCGTTGCTTACATACCGCACTTCGTTCCAGAGGAGTAAAACGCTCCGTATGTCTCATCATCGATGGCCTGGACGAGGTTCTTGAGGCGGATGGAGCCAATGCGCTCCTCAGGAGTATCCGACAACTTGAAAAACTCCGTACTGTCCGGTTATGTGTCTCAAGCCGTCCAGAACCAGTGTTCAACCGAGATCTCGGGCATTCGAGACATCTTCGCCTGGAGAAGTTGACGGCACCTGACAGACACCGCTTCGTGATGGATGCCCTCCAGCCTTATGCATCACGCTTTCCTCGAGATTCCTGTACAGAGGGCATCGAATGGTTTATTGCGCAGCTTGTTGGGAAGTCTGAGGGGGTCTTTCTCTGGACGCGTGTGGCTACTCAAAGCCTGGTGCGCGGATTGAATGACGGCAACTCCATCGAGACGCTCAAACAACGGCTGGATGCGACCCCGGCCGACTTGTACGGTCTCTTTGCTTCGATGTGGAAGCGACTCGGAGAAGATGAGCAGTTTTATCGAACTGGGGCAGCTAATGTGTTTCGGTTACTCCTCTGTGACGACGAGAAGAACATCTCAGCCAGACTTCTTGAAGGACGAAGCGACAACATCGATCTGATGACTCTTCATCTATCTCTCCACCGGGAGGAATCTGCGCGGGTGATCCAGGAGTTTGAAAGGCCCGACGGGACTGTCCGTTTTCTTGGTCGTGACCTGCTTGCCGATTGCCAAAAGACTTGCGAGATGATTCTTTCGCATTGTGTTGGTCTGGTCGACATTGATTCCCAACCTCGTACCAAGATTGTCGACGCATGTATCGATCTTGGTGAGTCCACTCCACATCCCGCCAGCCGAGTCCGGTTTGTCCACCGAACCGCCAGCGAATTTCTGAGAAATACTCCCGAAGGCAAGACCATTCTTGAATCTCATAGCCTTGGAGAGGATAGCCCGCTCTTTCGACTCTATCTCGCGTGTATTGCTCGTGCAGCATTGTTCAGGGGGCCTGGTCACAAGCAGGAAGACTGTTTGATCTTGTGGGACCTTGACATGCACCAAGCACTCGAGTTTTGTCAGCTGCACAGGCTCCAGGGACTGCTTTGCCGCCAACAGAGTCACGAAATCCTTCAGTCACTTCATACAATATACTTCCACCTGCTTGGAGACTCCACCAATCCCCGATTCACAGGATGGATACGTAATGAATTCCGCTATCCATTCGTACTCGAGGCTGCGACGTTCGGGTTTGGACACTATGTGCGACACTGGATGGCACAGCACTACCGCGATGCCAGTAAAGCAGTGAAAGCACATATCTTGAATGAATTTGCAGTCTCAATCCTCTCGGAAGTTCTCAGCGACTCCACACGCCCTCCTTCCGCACATCAAAAGGACTGTCTTGACACACTCGAGCGCCTTCTGAATTGGTGCACAAGCTTGGACGATCATCAGCCTTGGAGTCCTATGATTAAAATGAGTTTCGATTGGACCGAGTCATACAATTTTGACAAGCTTATCAGCCCATATGGCAATTTTCTGAGTTTATTCGAGTCTCTCGCGTCGTTGCAGGCACACTTGTGGCACGACCGCCAGGTTTGCGACACCATCCTTGGGGCCCTAAAATTGTTCGCGTCGTCCAGCATTAATCTCCACGAACGCTTTATAGGCGCATATTATCCTAGAGGGCGTGTGAGCAGTCCTTGGCAGTTGCCATGGCATACTCATATCTCTCCAGGGCCACCCTCCTCCTCGGTTGGCCACCATGAACGGCGCCCTGGCGTTCTGATTGAAACCGATTCAGTATGGCGCATTCAATTATTGGCAACGACACACAGGGCTGAATATGGGTCCTCGCTTCTGGAGAAGGAACTCCTAGATTTTGTGGCCACCAACAGTGGAGATGGACCACTGCCAGGACCCAAGGCCCTCCTACTCCTGTCAACGTTCTGGAGTCCCAGGGATGAGTCCAAGAAGAGAGCCCTGCAGCACGAGGCGAAAGTGGTACCTCCTGACCTCGAGACTTACATCTTGAGCCCCCTCACAAGTGACTTCGATAGCACCCATCAACAGCATATCTGGGATGTGCTGAATGAAGACATCCACAGGCGTATCAAGGATTGTTGGGAGATTAAGACGTCTGAAGAAGTTCTGACAGAATCCGATATCTGCGACTTCCTAGTTGCGCAAGGTCTCTTAATGTCGAAGGAACAAGCCAAGGCTTTGTATAAGGCATGTGGCATAGAAGTACCTACGGGGTATTCTGAAGGGTTTCGGACGAAGTGGCTGGAGGACCTGGGGTTGAGCATGGCCCCTCCGTCTGGAGCTCCAAGCAGCGAGCAGGAATTTGCCCGAATCATGTTCCATTCCTATCCCATAAAACCCTACTGTCCACCGCAATGAAAAGGTACTACCTGTTCAGTCTATGACCCGCTCATTGGCACGACCCATGACAGCCCGATAGCCAACCAAGTCGGGGACTATATCTGATATGACAGCAAGGTCATGTTTGGATTCTGGAGGCATACTGTACTTCTTTGGGGGACACCTGCCGGTCCTCTTACTGTATCCCAAAATATAATCAAATCATTATGCTGGCGTAAGCATCACATAAAACTATGGCACTGAATCTTGAATCTGAAATGTCATAAAATTAACTCCATAGAGTATTAATTAAAGGCATAGGCGTCGTCGCGTTGCCATGGACAATCTAAAGGTCCTCATTAATAGCGACTTGCCATGCGTATCCATTGTCAATTCGTAAAGTTCCATGGACCCCATATGTCCTCATTAGGTAGGTAATTTTGGCATGTCCAGCTGCCGTCCGGTCGTAAAAAGCCATGTATGCGTTCATCGTCTTTCAACGTGATTATCCCGTAGGTTTTCACTGGCGATTTTCCATACCTTGCGGTCGTCGTAGCACAATCAACATCAAGAAAGCCAGATACAACAACCTCCTGGATCCGCCTTCCATTCCCAGTTATGAGAAAATCAGAAAAAGCTCGTGAGTATCGTGGTGCCGCGGATTTCTCTTCAGGCGAACTTCGTGCGCTTAGCAGTACGATCGATGTCGTCAGTCTTGTTAGGTCGTGTGCGCTTTGTACGTTTGTTGGTCTTCTTGGCCATCAACTGCCAAGTCATCTCGGGTGTCGCAATCTTGACATGTCTCTCCTTGAGCTCGGCCAGGTGCATGCGCTTCTTGTCGTCATTGTCTCTCTGGGCGCGGGGGGCTTTGGCGAACACCAGCTTCTCAAGGCTTCTATGAAATGGTTGGTCAGTCAAGTCATGCGTCATTTGAATGCCGTTGCTCAAGGGGAAAGGCGTCAGAATAGCTAAGAGGGAGAACATACGACAAGTCACCCTTGTTATCTCGCTTTCCAGGCTTCTTCGTGTTCTTGGTGCCCATGTTGTCCTGAGCCTTGTTTCCGGCATCTCCGCAGGTAAGCTTGGTTCGAACACCATCGCTGTCCTTAGAGAGCTGGAGTCCCACTTTGGTCACTTTACCAAAGGGGCAAGACTTCTCAGCGGGGACTTTGACTTGGACGTTGGCAGTCTCAAAGTGGTCAGAGATGCAGCTTCCGAGGTTGGATCCGTGAGTGCTGGCCTTGGGCTCCTTGTGCTCCGTCACGGGGATAAGCACATTTGGAAGATCTCGAATCAAATCGACGTGGCACTGGCGGTGGTTCCAGCCCTGACGAGTCTGCTGCGCACGTGATTCGAACAGCGTACGGATGTTGCGAGGTTCGTTGATCCAGGGATGCTTCAAGGCATCCGAAGCGGTGAGCCTCTCCTTTGGGTCCGTCTCGAAACATAGACGTATGAAGTCTTGGCCGCATGCTGAGATAGCGTCGCCTCGCATGGTCTTGATCTCGTCGAACATAGCCTTAAAGTTCAGAGACTCGATCAACGGGTTCTCAGGCAGGAGATGCTCGAGGTCATCGAGGACGGAGACTCTACCAGAGCCGGCGAGGAGCTGCGCGGTCATGATGCCCAGAGCCCACATGTCGATGGCAGTGTCGTGTGCACCGGTTGGTTGAAACATCTCACTATAGTTGGAGTCAGTGTAAGTCTGGTTCTTAGACTGGGAACATGGAAAACTTACGGGGCCTGGAAACCTCTGGTTCCAACGAAATCCATCAGTGGGCCCTGTTTCATCGATCCGGCGTCACCAAAGTCTGTAAGGGCGAGCCTGTGTGCTGGCTTGGAGGAGACCATGCAGAGAACGTTCTCGGGCTTGAGGTCCCGATGGGCAACACCTTTGGCGTGCAGGTAGTCGAGGCCTTCGAGAACTTGACGGATCATCCATCTGACTTCGAGCTCCATGAAGCGTTTGTAAAGGCTAGTCAGGGAGAAGAGGTCTCCACCAGACGCAAGCTCCTCAAAGACATACCTGCGGGAGGTGGTGAGCATCTGGATGTCAAGGATGCAAGAGAGGGACGAAAGCTTACAGTGTGTGGACGCTCTTGTAGGCGCATTTGAAAGATGCGATGTTGGGCTGTACACCAGTTGATTAGTTATTCATGTTATCAACAGCGAGCCGAGGATACTGACGTGATCAATTTGGCTCATCATGGTGATCGAGCGCATTGTCTTCCTGACGAAACTACTGGCACCATTGCCCAAGTCGCTCTGTAGGTCGTAGATCTTGCAGGCAACCTGCTTTCCAGTCTTCATATCGTAGGCAAGGCGGACTTCAGCAGAGGCACCCTGGCCGAGAATGATGTCGGTGACTTTGTATTTTCCATCGAACAGCTAGCACCCATTTAGCAGGGAGACAGGAGAGAGAACATAAGGTGGCAACTGACCTTGACCTCTTCCTTTTGAATCGGCGTCATCTCAACTCTCTTCTGGAAGGGAAGCTTGACTTTGAAGGACAGGTAAGGCTTCATGGTCACCGTGTCACCGTGCTCGAGGAGTCTGCCTGGCTCGACCTTGTCTGGTCGGCCAATGCGAATGCCATTGACAAATGTACCGTTGTCGGACTGGCGGTCTCGAACATAGACCAAGCGGTCACAGCCATCCTCGAAGAGGATGGAATAGAACTCCATGTGATTGCGGGAGACGGAGGCATTCAAGAACGCACGATCGCTGCGGAAGCCTCTTGTCAGTGTGTGCGTGTTCATGTCATCCTGATGCGAGGCTGAGGTCAGACCAAACTCACTTGGTCCGCTCGTCACGGCCGATCTTGATGATCTGGCCATTGTGGAGCAAGAGGGTGCCTGAGAGGAAGACTTGTCAGCTCAAGAAAGAGAAAGGAGAATGTAGGGAGGACGAGGCCAGTAGGCTGACCTCTGGTAGGCGGGTTGGTCGAGCGATCCTCGAAGTCAAACTCGGCCACAGGCTGAGACATCTTGACTGGTCGACGCGAAGTGAACTGTACTGTACTGTACTGTACTGAATAAACAAAGTATGTGACGTGAAAGGGGCTTCTGTCCAGCAGATGGTACCGTGTTACGGCGCGAGGTGGAAGATGATGGGATGAATACAACTGTAGAAACGAAGATGTTGGAAAGAAGTCAGGATGATGGTGGAGGTCAGATCCAGTCCGAAGAAAAATAGTAGAGATGGTGGAAACGAGAGAGGGTGCAACAAATTATGGTGGCTGGACGACTTGAGAAACAAAAAGAAAAAAGGTCTCAAGATGTGAGGCCTGGAAAATGGACGAGAAATCCAAACGATAGAACGACGCAGAACGCAGACGAAGCCTGGAGATATTGGAAGCCAACCCAACGCCGTACCACGGGATTTACCTCGATTTCCCCCTACCTTTTTGGTCGAACCCCATTTGACACTAGGAATTTTCTCTACTTGCTAGTTGATTGAGCACTTGCTTACTGAAACAGTAGAGTTAGCAGATTTAGCGGAAGGAGGTATGTACCTCCTGCTTCCTCCATGTTTACTAGACATTCACACACTAAGAAGCAGGACAGCCTCTTGTAGCTACGACTGAAGGACCGAACACAGATTTTACACAATATAAAACTGTAGACTATGATAACTCAACCTGAGGATATAACTTCCACACTAGAAAAAGTGTTTTTTGAATCTATTTCCAGAACAGGTAACTGCTGGAGGAGAAGTGGTGACCTCTTGGGATATGCGAGGAGGCTAGACTGATACTTCAACCCTAACCCGAAGGGCCTCTCTATACCTAAACGCGCGATCACATGTGTCCCGTCCAGCTACGTCAGTGGTCCAAGCAGCGCGTCGGGACTTGGTCGACATCCAAGTTCTCACTGGATTTTGAGGAAATCCTCATCACACAACGAGCACACACCACTGGCAATGGCAACAATAGCACTATGCCGCGGTGCGCTCCGGCGCCTTGCCGTTCCGCTTACTCTGGGGATGTCCACAAGTCTGTTCCTCGCCAGTCGCCAGCGGCCGATGCGTCTTGATGCGGTGCCCGCCGCATCCAGGTCTCCTCCTCCAGCCGTGGAGCGGGTGGTGGCTGAGTCTGAGGGCTGGCTAAACCCTGAGGTCATCAAACAGCTATCCGGGGGGAGTCTCGTAGGTGAGGGACTCCATCTGTGCGAGATCGTGTGGGAGTGAGACTGGCTGACGGGCAGTGGCTTGGTGCTAGGCTTCCTGGCTGGTGTGCTGGTCAGTGTTTTCTCCAAAACATTGGTCCTGCTGACGGGCATAGCAATCGTCGCTATTCAGGTAAGTCGCCGCTGTTGGCCTTCTCACAGAGAGGGGGAGGGTGGACGCGGGTAACTGATCGGTGACATCATATACACAGCTGGCTTCTCGCAACGGCATCGACCTCTTGGGGATGCTCAGGTTGAGACAGAGGGTAAAGTCTTCGAAGGTGCTGTCGGCTCTGGAAAGGAACCCGACTTTCAAATTGGCCTTTGGAACGACGTTTGCGCTGGCGGCCTTCATGCAATTCTAGACGGAAATATCCTATACCATAAAATTCGGACCATCCACGCTTCTAAATATTTCAATCCAAAACGGTGTTCCCATTTGTCGTCCATCATGCCGATGGCCTTGTGACTCGTGTGGTCTGGGCTCGTTCACATGGGTGCGGTCTCCCTCTTCAGCCACGCCAACGTGAACTCGTCATCCTTGAAAAAGTCCTTCGTCTTTGCATATATTTCCATGTGGTAGTCATTCAGCCAGTCTTTCTCGCTCTGGGTCAGGAGATTGGTGTCGATCAACTTCCTGCAGTAGGGCGTCATCGTGACGTGCTCGAAACCGAGGAAAGGCCTGTCGCCAAGCTGGAAGGCGGTCTCGACCTCCTTCACGATCGCGATGTTCTCGATACGGATGCCAAATTCTCCGTCCTCGTAGTATCCTGGCTCGATCGATAAGACGTTTCCCGCTGATATGTACACGTCGGCATAGATCTTTCTCGTCCCAATGCCAATAGGGCCCTCGTGCACGTTCAGGTATGACCCGACACCGTGGCCTGTGCCGTGACGGTAGTCTAGGCCCTCATTCTGCACAAGACTTGTTAGCTTCACATCTATACATATATCCGGGTCATAGAAAGCAGGACGCACCCAGAGGAACTGGCGAGCTAAGCAGTCTATCGCAAAGCCAGTAGTACCCTTGGGAAAGACAGCACGATCCAGGGCTATGTTGCCCTTGAGCACCAGAGTGTTCGTTAGTATCTCTTTCTCTGTAGGCGTTCCGAAATGCAGAGTCCGCGTGGTGTCTGTCGTGCCATCAAGAAACTGTGCCCCTGAGTCGCAAAGGTAGATCTTATTCGGGTCGATGATGGAACAGCTCCCTTTCTCCGGGATGTAGTGAATGACAGCAGCACTGTATAATATGTCAGCTTGGGGACTATGTTCAATGACCACCACGTGTTGACTTACTTGGCACCTGTAGATGATATCGTCGGGAACGAAAGGCCAACAAAATTCTCGTGCTTCGATCGCAGCTCCTCAAGTTTATCAGCCGCGGTCACCTCGTCGACGACGGCCTTCTTATTGACCAGCTGGTCCTCCAGCCAGGCGAAGTAAGCTGTCAATGCGGCGCCGTCTCTAATATGGCACTGACGCATGCCCTCTAACTCGGTCTCATTCTTCTGTGCCTTGAAATCACCAACTGGCGATCGAATTTCCTCAACGGATTCATCGCCTAGCGCTAGTTTAAGTGCCCACGACCCCTTGGTAGAGATCCCATATCGCTTCGCTGGCTTTGTTCCATTCGTCGCGTCATCGCCTACCGCCAGGGTCTCGCTGAGGGCCTTGGCGTCATCGAAGAGGCTGCTGTAGGGCTTCACCGTGACGCCGCTCTCGGCCAGATAACTGTCGCACCCCTCGGCAAGTTTCGTTGAGTCGACATAGAGAGTCGCATCCTCGGCAGTAATGACGGCATAGGAGAAGAAGACAGGGTTGTACGGTATATCATTTCCGCGTAGGTTGAAAAGCCAGGCGATCTCATCGAGCATTGAGACAACGAAACAAGCAAGATTCTTCTTGGCCAGCTCCTTCCGCAAGCCCACAAGCTTCTCCTTGGTGTCCTTACCAGCGTACTTTTGAGGAAGTAGCTTGACTGGCTCGTTTGGGCGGCTTGGTTTGGCCTGTCCCCAGACAATATCTACCAGATTTTCGTTGACGGCGACGAGGTCCGAGCCCCCCTTCGTTTCGATGTCTGCGATGAACTTCTCGGCAGTCTGGCTTGTGATCAGGGTTGGGTCCACGCCGACAGTCTTGCCGCCCGCAGACTCATCTGCGGCCCATTCCTGCCAGGTGGGTACGCCTTGTAGGCCCTGCTTGAGGAGAGTCCAGTTGTTGTCCAGCTGCTTGGACGCCTGGTTGAAGTATCTGCCATCCGTCGCCAGGGCCGCCTTCTCCTGGGTGATGACTGCGCAGCCTGCTGAGCCGTTGAAGCCACAGATGAATTCTCTCCTAGCGTCGCATGGCGCGATGTACTCAGAGGAGTGACTGTCTTCTGACGGCACGACTGAAAACAAGACATCTACTGTCAGCACGTGGATGGTAAGTGAAGTGGCTTGTGGTGAGACTGCTGACCATATATGTCGATGTTGCGCTCTCTCATGAGCTTGCGCAGCTCAGCGAGCTGGCTGCTGGTCTCCACTGTCTCCATCTCGGCTGCAGCGCTGCTATACGCGGCGGTCCAAGACCAAGAAATTGTCCCGGAGACAAAGGCAGGAGGCCTGCTCTTGCCTCGAAGTCTATGCGTGATTTGAGGGAAGCTAGAACTGAATGACGGACCCTTACGCGTAGCAGTGAAGAAGGGCCTAGAAAGGATGAGCAACATGAATGTGACGCCTGCAGAGATGAGGGTAGCAAATATGAGAGGAGTATCTGGCAGATCTTATAAGTTGATGAGAGAGCCATGAGAGGCCGGGGGGGGGGGTGGGCAAAGATACCATCCTGAAGCATCCAAGCGGAAGCGCTGCTCAGCACCCCACCTTCAGAGTCTCCAATCTAGCAAGCCCCACTATCACCACTGTCCCTTGTGTCCTACCTAATTAGGGTGACCCCCAAGACGATCCCCGTACATGGCACAGGCGGCTCGTTTTGCTTCGGTTTAAGACTCAAGCCAGTCTCATTCAGGGAAACTATCAGGTATGACTGTTGCATACATTCTAGGATGCTGTGGATGTATGTCTTTCTGCCCCAGAACAAATCGAGTTTTGTTATAACAAGTACGTATCCGCTGTCCAGTACACGACCTTCAACATAGAATGAAGCAAGACAAGAATATTGTTGGTATGTCCCGTGAGCCTGCCTGGGTAATGCTGTAGTGGTTGGTAGTATTGCTGCTTAGAAACTTTGGTGTGCCTAGACGAATTCACACAAATTCAACCCACCCACCCACGTTTCTGCCTTGGGGTTTGTCCAAAAGTAACGTCAAAATGCCTCATAATGACACCTCTAGAGAAAAGAAAAATCCACTTATGAGACTATCGGCCATCTGGAAGGTCATCATTGTGTTACTCTCCTGGGATGCGAAGACGAAAGCGAAGAGGAAGGCAATTCATGCCCCCCCTCAACGACCCTCCATAGACGTGCCTGCTCAGCTACGAAGTTACTTACCGTGGCTAGCAGGCATGTGGCAAGTCTAAGACCTGGGGGAGTTGGGCTTTGAAGGTGCTAGCGGCTGATGGGCCCTCACACCCTGTCTGCCTGTCAGGCGCCCTTGCGCCAACGGGTCACGGCAGCAATGGGTGCAGTACTGTGTACTGTGCATCTTATCGATAAAGCTGACATTTTTACCCCACTACCAGACATCTCCTTCCACACCCCAGCACCGTCACACTGGTACCACACAGCCAGTAACCCTGAGAATACAAACAAAAGGTTGACTTGCTCTTTTTCTCCTGCTGAACCCCCTCCCCCCCCACTACACCCCTCCTTCGCAGAATAATGCCATGTAAAAAGCGCAATGCAGACACAGTCTCAACTCTCTATCCCACTTTCGACATCCGCCAACCTTAGAAGCGTCCCACACTGTGGTTTAGTGCCACCCTCGTCTTCAGCCTGTGCGACCGCTTCAACGCAGAGCACGACTTCCGCCAAGGCTTGCTAGCCGTCGCTATGTTTGGTGCAAGACAAGATGGAGCCTTTACCATTACCATCAACTCTAGATGAGGCCGAGTCGGTAAGCCCCCCCCCCCCCTCCTTCAAGTATCCTCTGTCAGTCTGTGTGGTCGCTGATTATGGAACAGCTGATCTTGGCTCTGTATCAACCGGCTCCCCCCGAGGTCATAGCGAGAACTCAGGATGCTCTTCAGCGTCTTCAACGCTCCCCTGCAGGATGGCAGTTTGCTCATGGCATGTTGGAGAGACCAGATGATCAGGTCAAATTCTTTGGGGCCTTGACCATTATCATCAAGCTCAATACAGAGAGGTAGGAGTGGCTACTCCTTGTGTATCCCGCCCCTCCTATGTCAGGATACTGAAATTGGGCAGCTCGAATCTGGCGGGTGATGATGCTAGACAGCTTCTGCAGAGCCTGCTTGGCTGGTTTAGTCGATCCCTGACGGACGGAAGCGCCGCACTTGTAATTCGAAAGCTGGCATCTGCTCTGGTCACCTTCTTCATCCACTTCTCTCACCTCTGGCCTGACTGTGTGCGACATTTGCTGTACTGTCTCGATCTTGGTCGCGTTGTGACGAGGGACGAATCTAAGAATGTGCCTACCTCCGATCTCACCTCGAGCCTTTCCGAGACCAGCTTCTTAGCAGCTATCTGGTTCGTCACGGTGCTCGTGGAGGAAGTCGCGAGAACGGAGATGAAATCACAAAAGAGGTAAGGCCTGTGTTCTGGACCACGTTGGATCAACCATTGACCTGGAATAGCTCGGGAGTACATGACTATCTCATCCGAAACGGGGAGGACGTAGCGGTCCTCCTCGCCCAGGGATTCTCGATCACGTCTCCTTCAGGCTTGAAAATCCGCGAAGAAACTATCAAGTGCTTGCAGGTGAGTCTATTGAGCTGCTCTCTAATCGATCGCTCACCCATAATTTCGCCCTGACCTGTAATGCGGAATGGCTGACACTGCTACAGTCTTGGGTAATGTATGAGCAGAGGCTGCCACCCAGTGAGGATGCGCTGAAGACGCCCCTGCGAAATCTCATACTTCCTGCCCTGCAATGCATACAAGTTGAGGAGTTGTCATTGCCGACGATGGAGTTATTCATCGATATCCTGCAAAACTATTCCGGTTTTCTGAGGGATGAGCATTACGAGGCTTTGTTCGCCTTTTTCGAAAGTGACTGGTCCAGAGATCATTACATGCAACTGGTTGCAGGTGATTTCGACTTTGCGCTGACCCAGTATGGCGTAATGCTGATCTGTGCTGGCGATGCAAAAATCATGACTCTCATGGAAGATATGGGAGACGCGTCACAAAGAATGCTGCAGAGGCTATGCGGCCTTCTCAACTGCAACGGCGTCCTGGTCGGAGAGGACAGGATCTTTGTACCTGCTCTGGAATTCTGGGCAACATTCGTCGAGACGCTGACTGACACCGTCTTTATGGAAGAGGCTGCAACATACAGCTGGCTGCCCTTCGCGATGAGCCAGGTCATGGATGCAGTTTCGCATTGCTATCGCAAGATCCAACTCATCGAGGCCACCTCGTGGAGCGAGATGGACTCCAATGACAGGACCGGGTGGATAGAGGCAAGGAAAGACGTTGCAGACTTCCTGCAAGCTGTCTATGCCCTGGAGGGTAGATCTCTAGTGAGCAATTTCGTCGGATTGCTACTTCACTCTCTTTCAGCCCGAGACTGGGCACAAATTGAGGCTGCCCTCTTTTGCCTGGGGGCATTGAGCGACTGTGTCGGGGACAGCGGCAATTGCGATGAAGAATTGCACAAAGTCTTTTCCTCTGAGCTCTTTCAGCTCGTCAGTCCTGGTCCGGCGCGGTCTGAAATACCGCCTCGACTGTTGCAGACAAGCTTGTCTACCATCGAACGATATTCAGACTTCTTCGAGCGCCACCAACAATACTTGGCCGCGGCGCTCGAGCTTCTCTTTAGTGTTGTCGGCGAGGACGGGCTCCTTGGTGGCTCTTCTTCCAAGTCCATTATGACACTATGCTCTTCGTGCCGATCCCTGCTCAAGGATCATGTCGAGGCCTTCCTTCAGCATTTCCATCGGATACATGGCTTAGGCATTGACTCGGTGTCTGAAGAGAGGATCATGACGGGCATCGCCTCCATCATTCAGGCCATCCCGCAGGAGGACCGCAAGCTCGAGTACCTCGAGCAGCTTATTTCATTGCTCAACGCTGATGCACAAAAATGCCTTCGGCTGAAGAACCAGCCAGAGAGTGCAGATGAGCCGGACATGAAACCTTGGCTGGAAACCAGGCTGCGTATGGATCTAGCAGCGCAAAAGAATGCGCCAGCATCTGCTGATGAAGCCTCTTTACTGATCACAGAAAGAGTACTCAGGCTGATGGCAAGCATGGCCAGGGGGGTGCAGAGCTTGTCCGAAGGGCCTATCGATCTGGACAAGCCGGAGACCATCTCACTGGAACCCAGAAATGAGCGCCTTGTGATCATCCAGAATCACACCATGGCAGTCATTACAGGGCTATACCAAGCCTTTGGGCAGAGCGGAGAAGTGACTGAGACCGTATGCAACATCTTTAGAGCAGGATTCTCCGAGACTGAAGATGGGCCCTTTGTCTTTTCTCCAGACAGTGTTGTCGATTTCTTCACTCGCAGTACTGCAGCTACCAACCCCAGAATAGGTATCATGATCAGCACAGCATGCTCGTTCGTGAGCTCCCTGGGCAGCCGCTCCAAGGCTCAGATCCTGAGCTGCCTTTCATCTCTACTTCCATGGGTGTTGGGGCTCCTGAGAGAACTTTCTGGTGGGGGCAAAACCACGAAGCATTTGCGTTGATTACATGGCTAACCTGGCAATAGATCCGGATAGCGACCCCGATCTCGCACAAAATGGCATTGAATTTGTCCACCACGTCATGCTACGATACCCGGAAGCGCTTTTGCAAGTCCAGCCAAGTACAGATCTAGAGTTCTTCTTCATGTTTGCCTTAACAGTGCTTGATGGCAAAGAACTGCTTCTCAAGGGAAGTGCCTGCGACTTTTGGGTACGTAAATGTATTCCGATGCTCGAGCCTCACGTTGTACCGCTTACTAACGAAGAAACGAATTAACAGTCAGGCTTTGTGACAATCAAAGTCGATGATCCAGCCATACAGGCCGGTTTTGAAAACGCGATCGAACACCTCGGGCCTCTACTGGCCCGCTCACTTGTCCAAAACATTGGTGGCAACGCATCCCGTAGCGAGCTGGATAAACTGAGTGACCCTCTTAAGAAGCTTGTTTTCCAGCATCCGCGGGCGAAGGGGTGGCTGGAGGCTACCCTGTTCGATCCAGCATTCCCCAGCACTCAAGTGACGGACGCGGACAAGTCCATGTTTCTGAAGAAGATCATCAAGTAAGGACAAGTTCCGCCCTCTCCCCCTTCTATGTGTTTTGCCTTGAGCATGTGGCGCTAATCTTTCACCCGTAAGTCTTCGAGGATCACGTCAAACAAATACAGTGGTGAGAGAGTTCTGGTTGGCGTGCAGGGGCTCTAGCTTTGCGTACGCATCGTGATGGCGCATAGAAGAGCATCGACGGCGTCGTGTGTTGGGTTTTTTGTTGGGCGTTAGGATAGATAACAGAACTTGGATGCAAATCGATATCGGATTCTTAAACTTTCTTGATTGAAGCTACGAGCAGGATCAGTGCCAATCACAATAGTAGACCCTACATATATGTGTATTGATTTTGGCTGACGATTGGAGCCGACAGGGCTCCTATGCCTTTGGTGAGGTGTGGTGTGTCTTGTTGCTGACGGCTACCTGTGCAGAGCAAAACCAGGTAGGCTTCAGCTCTCTCTCATGAATCACTTGGACTCACAGGTACAAAGGCTTCTAGAACCCAACAGCCTCCTTCACAAGCCGCATTGTGACATCGGCGTTCGCCCTTGCCTTCTCTGCACCCACGGCCTCAATCTCGTCCAACCAAGCACCGTCCCTCTTGCCCAGCAGTTCCCGATATCTTTCCCTTACATCGCCCATCTCCCGCACCACGGCATCTACGGTCCGCTGCTTCAGCGATTTGAGCGGATGCTGCACGCCGTCAAAGTCCTGCGCCATCTGGGCGGGCGTCCTGGTTTCGTTGCCCTCGAGAATGGTCAGGATCTCGAGCAGATTGGACACGCCAGGCCTCTGCTCGGGGTCGTGGGCGATGTGATCAGTGAGTGAGTCGGTCAGGGCGCGCATGATCTTGTTCTTGATCTGCTCGGGCGTGTCTGTGAGGAGAACCCGTGACGACGGGTTGGTGTCTGATTTGGACATTTTGGATGTGGGCTGGGTGAGGGACATGACGCGGCGGGCGGGGGCTATGTGAGAGGATTAGTTCGAGAGAGCATTTGGCACAGGGCCCGGGGGGGCGGGGGAGGGGGCCATACACAGAATCGTCTCAGGAGGGACGAGAACCGCACTTCCGTAGGTTGCATTAAAGTTGGTGGCGCACTCGCGCGCAAACTCGATGTGTTGTTTCTGGTCTTCACCGACAGGGACGTGAGTAGCCCTTGGGAAGGTGGAAATGTCAGCGAAAACAGACAAAAACACACACCCTCAAGCCAGGCCGGGAGATTCAGCAGTACATATCCCACCAAAGGAGTGAGGAACCACAGTACGTACCGATGCACCATGATATCCGCCGCCTGTAGAACGGGATATGAAAAAAGACCCAGCTTCAGCGCCGCCTTGGCCTTCTCATCCAGTGCGCTGGCGTCTTCGGATAGGGAAAGCTTGCTCTGCAGGACCCAGTCCTTCATCAGCCGCTCGCCTGCTCGAGGTTTGCTGCTCTACCTCTCTCTGTCATGACAAGTAGATGACATACCTTCCATTGCGTCATCCTCGACAAGTAACCCATTGAGGCCGTACAGCTCAAGATCCACATAAGCTCTGTATGTGCCGGTACCTAATCACGCCACCAAACCTCTCTCCCTCATCAGCCCAAATGCACACACACAACACGCACCCACCCGGCCCGTTGAGTCCTCATTAAGCTTCCAAGACAAGAAAACAAAAACTGACCGAGCTCTGATAGAAGATTGCGCTCCTCTCAGGATCCAGCCCCACAGCCACCAGCGCGGCAAGCATCTCCCTCCTCTGCCGCCTCAGCTCCGCGGCGCGCTGCGGTACGGTGATGGCGTGCAGGTCGACGACCGAGTACAGCAGCGTTGTGTCGGGCCCCGCGCCGTCCTGCAGCCTGACCCATTCCCTAAGAGCGCCGAGATAGTTGCCCAGGTGTGGGACGCCGGTGGGCTGGATGCCTGAGAAGACAACCTGCTTGCTGGTGTTGTTCCTGGTGTTGCTGGTCGAGGCATGGCGGCGGCCTTTTGGTTGTTGTCGTTGTTGTTGTTGTGAGACCGCGGTTGGACCGCAGGATGGGCAGACCCAGTACGGTAAGGGGTTGGCCTTGATGACCTGAGGTCTCGATTTTAATCTGCACAGCATTTATGAGATGGCTTGGCTATTCTGTACTGTAAAGGGAAAAATTGTTGTTGTGCTGGTGGCGGAGAGAAATTATTGGATGTGGTTGCTGAGCCGGGCCCTGTTTGGAAAGTGCAAAGACCGGGGATGTTCAGGGATGTTGAATTTTGATCTGCTTTGGTTTGCCGCAACAGCACGAAACCCACCGCGGTCGTATGAGGTTGTTATTGAGAACTTTGTTGCTACATTACCTTTTTTTTATGGGACATTTTGTATTTCATGAACATTTGGTGCAGATACTGATGTGGTCTTTATGAAGCTCTGTTCCTACACTGGGCTATATCTGGGCAAATTTACAAGGTCGAGGAGGACGAAGATGATATCGACAATCAGACAGACCAGTCTCCGTCTCAATCTATGATCCAATCCGCTCCTCTTTATGCGAAAACTGGCCTCCGACCAGCCTATACTTCTCGCTCTGGAGGAACTCATCCACCTTCTCCATCGTCGCAAACTCCTTGTTCTGTCCCAGGAAGCGCGCCTTATTGTTGATGAGTGGTTCTGCCTCCTTGAAGGTTTCATCCAGCTGCTTGGCCACGTCTGTTTCCACGAAATTAGTATGAAAGAAGACGAACCATACAGTATCGTTTCGAAATTGACGTGATGGAGGAAACTTACCAACGCTGCTGAACTCCCAGAGGTTAGCTTTCAGACCCACTGCCGCCTGCTGATGCTTTTGCAAGAAAGCCAGCCAGATCTGCACCGTCTCGGGATGTCCATCCTTGATCTGGATAAGCCTTCGCCGCGTGATACGCTCAAAGTTTTCCTGCGACTTCTTGTGGATGAAGTTGGATTTAGGCACCGTCCAGCGCTCCGTTATCTTAGGCAGAGGGATGGGGCCGTACGCCGGAAGACCGAGGTAGTACGCAGCACGCAGCGCAAAGTCGCAGAAGGACTCCAGCGGCCGTACGCTGTACGAACGCAGCTGCAGGTCGCAAGACGGAACACCATACTGGGCTACGCGGCGTAGAGGCTGCAGGTAGAAGGCCTGCACGTTGCGCGGCATGCGTCGAGGCTCGCCCTTTTCGGCGTTCCGTTCGGGTCCTTCTGTACTCTTGCCTGGTTCTTTAACTTCACCCACAGAGCTCTGCGAAAGCTCGGAAGTCATTGATGCGCTGGACTGTGGAATCTGTGTATCCTCCACACCCGACCCTGCAGCTTGGAGTCCTTCATACAAGGCCTCATTTATCTTGGCTTCTGAGGCGAGATCCTCAAGGATAGAATCCATAGACACCCCGCTCTCAAGAGCCGAAGACGGCGGAGCGCTCGATTCTGAGGAAGTAGCATCTGCAGTGGCCTGTTCCTCAGCGTCTTTCGCAGAAGGCTCCAGTGGCTCAGCCATCGATGCGACTGCTTCCGCCGCGGGAGATTCAGGTATGGCACTCTGTGACATGGTAGGCTTCGACACGCCCTGTTGCTGCTCCTTCGGAGCCGCATTGGCCACACCGTTCTTTCCCGCTTGAAGTTGTTGTAAATGGGCCATGAGTGCTGCTATTTCCTCCGGAGAGGCGTTCGCGAACATCTCGAGACCCGGCGTCGGAGAACGGGAAGCAGGTTCCTGCTCAGCTGAAGCTTCCAAAACCACAGTCTCGGATGCCCGAGGCTCCGTCACATCCGCGCTGATAGATTCAGCCACTCCCGAGGTTTCCTTCTTGAATGTTGCAACCTCTTGGGCCTCGAGCGCTGCTGCATGGGCCGCCGCACTCGCCTCTTCGGCCTCGAGTTGACGCACCACGGCTTCCGCGATGCCCGCTTGTATTTCCTCATCCACAGTCTTGAGCCGTTGGAAGGCGGACTTCACGAAGAGGCTGTCGAGTCTCGGAACCGCAGGCTCGGATGTGATTGTGTCTGATGCTTCGTGCCCTGGAACCTCGAAACTTGTGGGCACGTCCTGCTCGGCCTCGGACTCTGACTGCGGTGCTTGTCCAGATTCCGCAGATACTTCGCTAGCTTGATCGTCGGCATTTTGCAATTCCTGAGGGGAGGTCTCACTCGGTGCAGCTGCGTTCTCTGTGGTCTGCTCATTCGATGCCGCTTGGGTAGAGTCGTCGGGCTTTGGGGTCTGGTCTGGGGGTCTAAAACGGGGTTAGTCCAGCCAATAATCTGTAATGACATGCCATGGGAGATTGGGCGAACATTGAGGAGTTGTAACGGAGCTGGTAGCGATACTGTGTTGCTCGAACGTAGTGAGGCGCCCGGGTCGGACGAGAAGGCACGATCTGCTGGACGCTGTTAGACTTGACCCAATTTCGCATTGAAGTATCATACGTACCAGCCGCCTCTGCAAGATGGCCCTCAGCGGCCGTAATACTGGTGGCGCATTCATCTCTGCATGATCTCTTTAGAATCGAGGTTTTGAATGACGAGGCGCGGATGTCGAAGCTCTGAGAAATCTTGACGGGTCGGAGTCCTTATCGATAAGCACCACGACCTAGTGTCGGACCAGGACAAACTTCGCAAGAGAAGTCTACGAGCATTTTCGAAAGGAATGCATTCAAGTGTCACGGCAGAAATTTACATGGTTTCATTTTGAAGATATTGGATTTGACAAGTTTTATTCACTTATTATTTTAGGTGGTAGATCATTGGGTCTCTTGTCTAAGGACGTGAGCGCGAGCTGGCGCAGCGCTTCATGAGTTTCGCAGGTGGTCTTGACACGACCAACCACAAAAAAAACCAACGCCAGGACGGCGTGTTCTATCAGCCGCGATCCCGATCAAGCCGTGTCTACATTGCACCTCTCGGCATCGGAACAGTGGCTCTCTCGACACTGAATCATACATCAGTGGAGAAGCACATCTAATCCGGATCTTGGCCAAGAGTGGTCTCGACTGCTCAGCCAGGGGAGCGCGAGTGTCCTGTGGTGAGCATCCCGACGATGGGAAAGAAATATAGATCTTTCCTAGGGCGTATAGGAAGGCCTGTCGGTATGGGACGCGTAGTCCGGCTCTTGCCTTGCATCGGCATGGGTCTTGGTTTGTCAACTGTCCTCTCTGCTCCTTGCAGAGACGGCAGTGATGGCTCAACCACGTTTCCGCCGCGCCATAAGCTTCTTGTAGTGCCCCTTCTTGCCACTCGTCTTCTTCTCCTGAATTTTTGCGTATCTCGTCTTGAACTTGCTGTTTGCTTCGCCGGAAGCCAAGACCTCCTCCACCAGGGTCTGTTTCCTATCCTTGCGGTTGACGCGGGCGCTGTAGTACTCAGTGGGGCCTTCGATGATAGTACCCATCTGGGAGTATTGAGGAAAGGGAGCCTTGCGGTTGTCTTTCTTGAAATGTTTTTTTGGGTCCAGGACACCTCTCAGCCGCAGAAGCTGAAACTCTCGCTTCACTTTGGGGTCCTCGATCTTTGTGCGCGGCATGTAATTCCATTTGGCGCCAGCGTTGTCTGGAAGAGCCTACAGTCGTAGTCAGCAACCAGGCCTGACGACAATGAGTATGATTGAGAAGCAGGATGTGAGGTCCAGTCAGAGTAACTATGATCAAATGAAAATCATTGGTGTGCAGGATCTGCCCCCATAACGGAAGCTCGTCGCCGCGTCATTCGTATTTGGGTTTTACTTTCATCATGAAGGAGATGGCGCCAGAGTGGTTTGGATGGGAGAGGCATAGCATACCTTCTTCTCTTTGGACTTGAGATGCGGTACACGGAGTGCAAGCTCCTCAGACGGCTTCACAACATCTTTACCAGCACTTCCGTCTCCAGCCTGGGCAGCAGAAGCTTTTGTTGCGTTCGCTGCGAGGCTCTGCTGCTTGCTCTTGACCGCGACGGCGGTCGTCTCGGGGACCCGTTCAGCAAGCGAGCGTTCAGCAGCGCTTAAGAGCTGCTCAATCTGATCATCTGTGAGATCAGGAACCGCCTCAGCCATGATCGTTGACTGTCGTGGTGACTTGGGACAAGGTGTTTTGTCGTGGGCGAGATTCCAGAAGGAAAAGAAGGTTTGATGAAAGAGTAGCCTGGCGACCAGAACTTTTTTTTTCTTAAGCATCTAGCTTGGGTGGGGGCTGACCGACGGACGACCGGGGCTGCACGCGGCGCTAGAATCTCCGTGCGACATGGTTGGGCTTGGCTAAGCCATTTAGCCTGGCTGGCTTGCAGGGGAGGCTCAGGGAGGGGACAAATGCTCTACGTAAAAAGGCTCTGCTCCGTTAACCAGCACCGTTCCTCTGCTATACTCTACCATAGTGTACCATGACGGGACACCTTGTTGGCTTTGGGATCTTGACGGACAGGATTTTCTATGAACTCATCAGCATGAGATTCTTAGTTCAGGGCTTTCTCCATAAGTCCTCAGAGGTTTCGCTTGTGATGAGCCAACAGGCAACAAGAAATGCCGTGTTCTATGTGACACAACTGCTGCTCCACCGGATGACCGTGAATTGGCCCAAAAAGCATCTCAACCCAATGAAGCCATCTTTAGGAGGAAAGCCTTGGGCTTTTGGGCTTCCCGTCCCTAGATTATGAGGTGGCTCACAACAGAATCTGAGGCATCCAATATACTTTGAGGATCTCGATGTAGCCGTGTCTGCGCCACAAAGTAAGGGAGCCTGAAGAAGGTTGATGACCTGTGGCCGACTGACAGAATCAGGTTCAGATCGGGTTCGGTAGAAGCTGGGGCTGTGATGCGTGATGCCGTCTCTGGGAAATTGATGCCCAACATTCAGCTTGGACACTCTTGTACTGCATACCGCTCCTCATTTCCCCTCTCTCTTTCTCTCTCTCGTCATCGTTTCTGGAATTTCACTCCTAAAGATCATCTCGACCAACTTTCAATCCATCTTCTGGTCGTATTTCGTCACCTTACAGCACATCGTTGTTGGATGACGATCCTTGGAGAAAGCATATAAGACCATAGGCTCTTCCTGCCTAGCTACGTGGGTACGTTTTTTTTTTTTTAAAGTAGTCATAGTACATACTATTACTACTAGCAGCTCCCACCACAACAAGACAAGGAAGGATCCACGGCACTGGCGCCAGCTTTCCACGCTCATCCCCATTCCAAACCTTGTTCTGCCCTTGCGGATCCTCTACTGTGCCTATCACTACAGCCAGAGTACTGCACAGTACCGGAACAGGTACCCCTTTTCTCCAGACCCAGCCAACCTCGGAGCTTTTTCCCACTTTCTGTTGGCGGGAGAAAAAGCTGACTGGCTCAATTGCTACACGGACCTGGCTCAGGTGCCTTGCTCGTTCGTCCTCTCAGAACCCGACGAGGCTCAGATCCACCTCCACCATTCGCCCAAAACTGCTTCAACGCAAACCCGGCCCAGCCAATCACCTCAACGAATCCTGTCCAATCCATCGCCACGGTCCAAGTAAGGTGAGTTGCGACCCCTACACGCGCCCTCCTGTGGCGAAGCTCCCGAGATCCGACGGCCAAAGGCTTGTCAGTGGAAGCTCCCCGCGCACACGCCCCAGCCCTGCTGGAAGTAAACAGAGAGAGTCGAGCCAAGCTCCACAGACCAGCCACCATGCGCGCATTCATGATGCTTCTTTTCTGCGCGATGGAAACACCCGATGTGTACACTGTACCAGACTGACAATTGTTCTGGGGGAACACAAGACTCGAAAGCCGATCCTCGCCGAGTCATCTGCCCCGTACGATTCCACCTGCCCAGCGCGTTCCAGCACGACAACGACCCTGTCGACAGCGCGCCGAGTCTTGAACTCAGTCTTCATTGTCCTTACTCTTGATTCCCATACGCTCCTCTGGCCAGCATGGATCCTCAGAACCCCCAGCAGTCCCAGCAGCAGCAAGCAAACCGGCCCGTCTACGATACCAGCCACGGAGGACACTATGGTAAGCTACATGAGACCAGGCCTCCATTTCTGCGGCCGTCCATAAGAAGCTGACCGTGTGACATGCAACAGGCGCGAGCGCAGCGGTACATTTGCTCCCAGCCCAGCCCAATCTTTCCATACAGACGGCGACGAGACCGCAGCCACTGACATCAGCGCCTTTCGATATGTAGCTTTCGGCACAGGGGTATGCGCCGGCAGAGTTGTACACAGGACCTTGGGCCAATGTCCACCAGGGACTGAACGGGCAGTACAAGGACATCCTGACGACTTATTGGCAACAGACCATCAATCACCTTGAGAGCGACAACCACGACTACAAGCTACACCAGCTTCCCCTGGCGCGCATAAAGAAGGTGATGAAGGCCGATCCAGAGGTCAAAATGATCTCTGCAGAGGCGCCCATACTCTTCGCCAAAGGATGCGACATCTTCATCACCGAGCTTACCATGCGCGCCTGGATCCACGCTGAGGAGAACAAGCGTCGCACCCTGCAACGGAGCGACATCGCGTCGGCGCTCGCCAAGTCGGATATGTTCGACTTCCTCATCGACATCGTGCCCCGCGAGGAGGCCTCAACCCACTCCAAGAGGCAGGCCGGCACCACCGCAGGCTCGTCGCAACATGGCGTGCCCCAAGGCGTCCAGGGGCAGCCCGTTCAGGCCCCGAACCACCAGCACCCGATGGGCGCGACCGACTACGGCTTGCCGGGACACGCCCTGGGCACTGAGGCTGACTACCGCCAGCCTGCCATGTACGTCGGCCAGAACCCTGCCGGCCAGGCAGCGTATGGCCAGGCGCAGGCGCCGATGTACGGCGACATGCCGGGCATGTACGACTACAGCGCTATGCAGCAGCAGCAAGTAAGTTGATCCTCTCGCATTTCCACCCCTTTTTCTCTTAAGATGTTCGTTCGCCTAATTCGTTTTCTTCGCTGCATACATCGCAAATGCCGCCTCCTGAGGAATTCAATTCCTAGCTGCGGTCCAACTCCCAGCAGGCTTCACACCTTTGCAGGATCTTAGTTTCAAGTATGATCATTCATTTCCTAACCTCTCCGTTCTCTTGATAGAGTGCTTGAGAAAGATGCACGTGCCGGTTTCGTATTCGGCCAGAAACAGATCTCGTTCCCAGAGAGAACGACGACAACAGAACATATTCCGCCGGTCGCGATGTTTGGTATGGCGGAGCACACCCGTGGAAATGGATCGGGGTGGGGTGGGGTTTCGGCGCATAGTGGTGGGACCGGGGATGGACGGTTATTCGTATGATACTCCCGATATCATGATTGTTCTTGCCGCGCGCCCGTTTACTTCTGATAGCAAATTGACCTTCCTTTGTCTTGGACGTCTGTCTATTCTCGTGCTACCGACAGCGTGAGGTACACAAATACGTCCGCCAGTCGGACCTCGCAGAGAAAACCGACTCGGATGAAGAAATATGTACATTTATCCATGTGATTGCAGAGAGATATTAATATCGGCCCAACAAATACCTGCCCACGTTAAACACAGAGGCACCTGGATGACGGCATGATTCGCTCTGAAAAGACAGTGTGGGAAAGCAACAAAGAATAATCCCAACGCTGTCTCGTCCCAGCCGAGAAGAATAATTCCATAACGCCATGCGACAATTGAAAGCAGGCAGCGGTGAGTCTTCTCGGGTATCGGGAGGTCAAGAAAGATACCTCCCCCCCCCCCCCGGGTCCAACCGCTCACCTCAGTCCGAACCTGCTCGAGAAGTTGGCCATGGTCGCAGCCGCACGGCTTGGCGCCTCGACCGTGTGCGTCAGTTTCTCCAACAGCATGGGCCCGTTCATGGCGTTGACCCTGCTGTAGAGCTTGTTGCGGAGCGCCATGTCGTAATACTCGTCGTGGTTCTCGATCTGCATCAGCGCGACGGTCTGCTCGAGCTCCTCGAGTGTGTTCTGCAGCATCGCCGCGTTCTCGAGCCCGGAGACGAACTCGACGAGGAAGCGGACGTCTTTGGCTATTGCAGCCACGCCGTTGGGGTTGATGGTTTTGACCTCGGGCAGGAGCGGTAAAGCGAGAATGCGCTCGGCAGCGTGGGAGAGAGCGTCGAAGTAGATGAGTTCCTTGATCTCGCGCGGGAGACCGAGAAGGGTGGAGTTCATGATATTGGAGAGATAGCGGGTGAGCGTTTGCATGTAGCTGGATGGCTCCTCGATAGGCGTCGTAGCCATCCAGTCGTACTCGGCTGTATCGATAAGATCATCGATCTTGGAGTTCACAAGCTCAAATATTCTCTTTTCGGCCGTCTTCTTATTGCTCCTGAATTGCTCCGTGGCAGACAGGGTTACGGGGCCGCCAGCGGACGTGGAAGACCGGGCTCGAATCAAGAGTTGCTCCAGCTCCTGGCAGGCGATCTCGAAGTGCTCTAGGTTGATTAGGATCTGTACGATCTGACCTAGATACTGGGAACTGAGTCGCTCCACGAGCGATTGACAGACTTTGCTTGTGAGCAACTCATCTAGTGACTAAAGAACCACGTCAGCGATTTGCATGGTGGAGAGGCAAGAGACAGTGTTGTTTACCTTCCGTAATGTGTCATCGATGATATTGGGATGCTGGAAGTGGTCATCGGCAAAGAAGTAAAATTGGTTGAGGAAATTCCTAATGTCGATACAGCACAGCGGGTACATCTGTGAAAATGGCAGGACGCAAGGGAACGTCAGCTCCTCGAGTGGCTTATCATGTGTGAACCAGCTGACATTCACCACCTTCTCGTACTCCTCGGGGCTGTTAATGGCCATCGGCATATAGTCGTCTGTCGAAACTATCTCCTGGAAATCCTCGCTGAAGCGGCGCTTCAGCAAGTCTGCGTATGTGTCGAAGAGCGTGAGCAGAAAATTGTCCAGCATCGTGACAGAGTAGCCCCAGCCTTCCATAGTCTGGATAGACAGGGCAAAGACGGATTTGATTTTGAGCAAGACTTCAGCATTGTTGATGCCGCCCAAAGACCGGGATGTAAGGGCGATTGCAGAAGTACACATGGAATCCCACAGCTCATCCACCTCGACGCTGGATCGTAGCTGAGGCACCCGCCGCACTGTAGCCTTCTCGATGATAGCGAAACCAGCGATACCCTCGAGTAGACTGTTCAAGGACGGTTCTTCTTCGCCCTCGAGATGGATCGATGTCGGGATCAAAAGATCTTTCTGTTGCCGCCTCGTTGCCGCATAATCTGCGCGTAGCTTGTCGCTCTGTCCGAGAGCCTGGTGGATATGCAAGCACTCAAAGAGGGGAGTGAAATCTACCTCGAGTTCTTCGTTCGCAAGCACATCGAACTCCTCGTCCTCTTCAAATACAAGCTCGATTGCCGAGTTCAGCTTGAAGCTATTGAGTGTCTCATCCGCCTCGGTCCGTTCCTTGTGCCTAGACCTTCTCATCTCCGTGTGGTAAAAGGCAACCTCTCCCAGGAACTGAGACGTCTCTCGAATGCGATACAGCCAGGTGTTCAGGTCCAACATCACAGCCTCCGCGATCGCCTTTTGCGAGGCCGGTATAGACTTTTGGATCATGTCCGCAAGCTGCTGCTGGGTGGCATATTTGTTTTGTATTATCGGCACCAGGTGCTCATTCTGCAAATCCTCCAGCGACTTCAACGCAGCGTAGTACTGCTTCTTGCGAATCAGCTCGTGCGCCTGGTTGACGGCATGTAATATTTTCAGCGACTCCTTAAGCGCATCGGACGCGTCCGAGACATTCTGCCGGATGGCCCTCTTGTCGACGAGCTTCTGCTTCTGCTCCGCCAGCTCCTGGGTGCTGGACTGGATCGACTGGTTCAGCTCCAGGATTTCGCCCGTCAGGGAGACGGTGCCTTCGCGGACATTCTGCAGTTGGTTGACGGAGTGCAGGAACTCCTCGTGCTTCGTCAGGCCGATGTTCTCGATCTCGGCTTCGCGGTCTTCGGCGTAGTAGGTCAAACTCTGGACGAGAGAGTTCGTGCGATTGCTGACGCTCGCGTCCTTTAGAATGGGTATCAACTGATCGAGGAAGTCCGAGTCGGTCGAGGCGAGGATGACCTATAGACGGCATTAGCAGGCGGCTTGTGTAGGTAATAAGCTACAATGACTGACTTGGCCAACGGCAGAGCCGTAGTCGTCGTAGGCTTGCGACTTTCGTGGAGGCATTGTGGGTGTCGGATCAGCTTGAAGCAACTCAACTCTAGGCGGTTCTCACGACGGCCCTCACGGTCGAGGGATAGTGGACAGGGGTGCGATCATAGGCTTGCAATGGATGCGCCAGAGCTCGTAAAGATGGGAAGATGGTAGATCAAGCAGCCAGATTGAATAGCTACACCAGTGATTGACGATGTTCACTACTCTGAGCGATCTTGCTACTATGAGGTGCAAGTACAAGAGTCCAAACACAGTCCCATCTCATGATTGTGTCCTGAGACAGTTCACCAGGCCATAGGCTGCATGCTACTATCCAGGCGGTGCCAGGACTTGAGCACCAGGTTGCCTAGCCTAGCACCTGCCCTGCTGCTTGTTGTAGGCGCCCCTGACCCGGTCCCAAAGCGATGTTAAGCTGACAGGAAACTGAGCAGCCGCTGCCAGCCGGCACCAGCTGTGATCAACGACATCAGTAACATGGAATACATGTCTCAATACAACTGTGACCATAAACAGCTTCAACCAGAATGGTATCAACCTCTTTATTCAGGAGCCTTCACCCATTCATTATACGTGGCCATGCACTGAATAATCTGAAATTAGTCTTCACCATAAAGGAATTTTCACTTGCCTCTAGTGCCACCCTGGATTTCCTTGCAGATCAGGATGCAGAGTGTCATGAGGAACTCATGAGCCTCCTCCTGCCTCGGGAAACTAGTCACATAAGTACCTACCCCTCTTGAGAGTTCATCCTTTTGGATGGAGTTCGGACTCAGTAGAAATTATCCTTGGACTATGGCATACTAGAATCAGACCAGCCAGCTGATTCCTGCATACATTGGTTCACATCATGGCTCTTTGTCCTCCCCTTGCTTGATGGCCTTAAGGAAGTTCAATGCCGTGCTTCATCAGCCCTCTCACATCAAGCAATACATTTCATTAGGCTATACTTGCTCAGTTAGTGGGCAATGTTCTATCCGTGCACCTGTCTGTGACCTCCCTGTGCCTGATCGGAATTGTTAGTTAATTAGCAGGAGGCCAGTCTGTCATCCACATAGTCATTGATGGTCATGTTGGCTCACTCGGGCTTTTTGCTTGTCACGAATTAGACGAGGGCATCAAACTGAATTTGATAGCTTGTAGCCTGCCCTGAGTCCTAGTATCTCCCAAGCCTTCTCTGCTATGGAATTTGCTACTGTGAGCAAGACAACAAACACGTTGAGGGGCTACTTTGTGGCTGTCGACTAGTTGCTGGTGATTCAGTGCAGCATTGAAGGGGTGCAGACGAAGCGGGGTGTATCTAGTAGCAGGAAGTGGCTCCTGCCTCGAAAAATCACAAGGCTACCCAAAACCCTCCTCTTCGACTTCTACTTGCACCTTCCTTCCTTTCATCTTACCCGGGTAACAACCACCTGACCAGGGTAACACACACCTGCCAATAGTTTTGGATTTTCCTCCAGAGATATTTTGGTTCCTTCCCACTTGTTGTTGGAACACACCCATCTCTCATCCTCTTCCAACAATCCCAACCCTCTCCTTTGAATACAGCCTCCAAAATTTCTACTCTCTTCTCCTTCAAGCACGTCTTGTTGGAATCTTCTTGGGTCTGTCATCTACCCTTCTCCCAATCCCATCCCATCACACCATTAGATAATTACCTCCAGTACTACAGACAGGTCCCACCCCCGACAATCTTCCACAGGCACATCATACTTACCATTGACAGGTACATTTGGCAGCATCTCTCTGACTTGGACAGCACTCAGCAGTTACCACAACAGCCACTGCAGAGATGGACCACCATCAAGACATGGCCTTCCATCCCTCCTCACCTCCAAGTGAGGGCGGTGCTGACTCCTTCAAGTATGAGGATACCCCTGACACCCGTCTGTCTTCCTTCTCCCCTACGGAAGACTCAGCCAAGGCCTCCCGCCTCCTCAATTCCATGAGTCTCAGCAATGGGACCTCTTGTGCCCAGTCTGTCAACTCTGATAACTTAATTGACCGCAACAATGGAGCATCTGCTCTTCACCGGATGGCCTCCATGGACTCCATTGCATCGGTCATTCGAGACAAGGACCCTTTCATCACTTCGCCTTCTGAGAAGGCCCAGTCACAGACCAAATTGTCTGCCACAGCCACGGCCTTCCGTCCTTTGTCTACAACTCCAGTTGTCGCCATCGGTTCCAACAACGCTCTGGACACTCCCAAGCCCCTTGCCCGCAGCATTTCTTCTGGTGTCCCCGTCGTCTGCAGTCCCATTACCGGAGCGCGCGTCTACAACCACGTTCCTCTGAGCTCAATCATCAGCAAAGAGTTGAATATGTCTCGCTCGGTGTCCATCACTTCTGCGACAGGAATTCTGACGTCCGATGCCATCAACGAATACCTCCAAGTAAGTTCGGATGGAAATTATCAAAGGTGACGAGATCTCTGATAGCGTCTACAGAAGCTCCAGACACTTGGCGGACCCTTCGAGCGGTACCCTGACATCTTTCCCTGTGGCAATGTCGCCTATCTTCGTCTCACGAATGTGCGAGACTCGCCGAGGATCTTGAACGACAAGACAATCAAGCCAAAGCATTGGAAGATCGAGGCCATCTCGGCTCAAGAGATCAACAAGGTCTGTTCCCCTCTGATCGTCAGCAATGTTTACATATTGACTCTCAGCACTAGGGTACTGGTATCGGTCGTCTCGCGAACGAGAATGAGGGCTTGCATAATCTTCTCGTCTACCCAATTGTCGATTTGAGCGATGACCAAATGAGAGACAAGATCAGTGAGCATTTCAAACACTGGAATGTCTTCGCTTTGGTCAAACAGCCTTCCAACCAGCCCGAAATTATTCGGTGGGTCATTGAGATGTCCGATTGCAATGCTACCTACGGATGCGCCTCTCAGCTCTATACACGCGGATGGATGGCCGTAAGTTCGCCTCTAAAATTCTGAATCGGTTGATCCTGGCTAATACACCCAGGTTGAGGGCTTCTTCTTGCTTCTCCTGGCTCCTCTGTCGCTTGGCGGCCAAGCAGCACCACTCTTCAGCCTCAATGACTATGGTGGCTCTGGGCTACGCAACACCACGGTGTCCGACCTGACAGCCCAGCTCGATAACATGTCCCTTCACCGTTCTCGACATGCAGTGCAGCTACAGGAGCCTTCCACTATAGCTTCCGTTAACCTTGGAAGTCCTGTCCAGTTGACTCAGTGGCCAGGTTCTTGGGGCCTAAGTTCACCAATGTCACACCTGGTCCAGCCAGCGTACCCAAATATTATGTCTCGCGCTGTGACTCCTGCGTCCTCGAGTCTGGATCTCCGGGTCATGAGTCCCATGAGCCCTGCATTCCCCATGACACGATCGCCGTTCTCCTCACCTCTGTCCAAATCGATTTCCACACGCGTGAGCTTCCCGAGCCCAAGGCTGGCCCAGGGTTTCCAACGCTCGGATCCTCGTCGACAGAATGCCATGCGTGTGAACCGCTCTCACTTCAGCCCGCCAGGTCCTCACCACAACCATGTCGACATCAAGAAGATCCAAGAGGGCATTGATGTGCGCACTACAATCATGCTTCGGAATATTCCAAACAAGGTTGACCAGGCCATGCTGAAGAACATTGTGGATGAGTCCAGCTGGGGCAAGTATGACTTCATGTATCTTAGAATCGACTTTGCAAACGATTGCAATGTTGGATACGCCTTCATCAACTTCGTTGATCCGCTGGATATCATCGACTTTGTCAATGCGCGTGGAAACCAGCGTTGGAACTGTTTCAAGAGCGACAAGATCGCTGAGATCTCCTATGCTACCATTCAGGGCAAGGACTGTCTCGTCCAGAAGTTTCGCAACAGTTCTGTCATGCTGGAGGCTGCCCACTACCGGCCTAAGCTCTACTACACAACCAATGGTCCCACTCCCCAGATGGCTGGCCAAGAGGAGCCTTTCCCCGAGCCTGACAACCATTCCAAGATGAAGCGGAGCTGTGAGAATGCCGAGCACGTCGGTAAGTACGACCTCTTCCGAGCCTGGACACTCACCTGTTGTATCTCGCTGATATTTCATCCCTAAAAATATCAAGGTCTCTTCACTCCAAACGCTGGTCAGAACTTCCGCGAGGAGCAGCGCCGCCGTCGGTCCCAGTACGATCGAGGCACTCGCCTTGCCGCCCTCGAGGAATGTGGCGAGGCCGGGCTCTTTGCTCACCCCGATCTTATTCGCTAAGTGCCATGCTGTCAAGCTACTGCCTGCATTTGAACATCGTTTGATTTCAATCATAAGGCAGCGTATCTCGAGTGAGCTCTACCAAAAGATGAACCTCTATGACCACCTGTTGACAGACGCGCAGCGTGAGCGCTGGTACCGAGACATCCGGTTAGCTTCTTTGCTATCTATGACAGCTTTCGCAGAAATGTTTCGAAGAGGAAACAACGATTTTTGCGTTGGCAGCAAGATTTTGAAACCATTCATGTACAATGGCAGTCTTGGACCAGAGGACTCATCTTACCACGGTACGGATTGATAACTTTCCATCTCAACTATAACCTTTTCAACGGACCGCCACATGTCCGTAGAGTTCACAAACAACAGATCTAGGAGCTACTTGAGTGGACATCGGTCCGAGGTTCGAAGTTGGAGGGATGGTATCGCTGGCTTATTTTTCTCCCCTCCCCCCCCTTTTTCTAGACTGGGAGTCCTCTTGGGAGGCATCATAATACGAATTTTGTTTTTCGAGCTTATCTTCGTGGGAAAAGTGACCATACCGTAGAACTCTGAAGTACACACAGAGCAAAATCAATATTCGCGAACATTCCTACCACAGGTCGGCATGTGACAAGCCGAATCAACATTGCAAAAGAGGACATAGAGCACAGAGGGGACAGCGGGGCGAGACGTGGAAAGGCTCATCAATTGAGACATTAAAGATACACCATATTCATTATCTACCTGGCTGGATCTGAAACGTTGTCATATCGGATCCTCTGGTAACGCTGGGAGAGGCTTCCGCGAGTTGCCGCCTCGTTCTGATAATGGTGACCTTGTCAGAGGCGGTCTGCTCGATTGCGGATCTTCCTCAGCAACGCCTTCTTCATCTTCATCCACATTGCACTGTTCGTCTTCCGGCAGGTTTTGTCGCCCGTCCGTCAGCGTTGATGCGCTGCTGCTCGAGGACTCCTCCTCCGGCGACGGGATGTCGACTATTAATAGTTTCCTCTCCTGGTCTGGAGTGGGCAGCCTGCTGCGGCACCCATCCGGCTCGTGGGTCATAAAGGGATCGGCGGGCTCGTCGACCCGGATCGCTGGGCCCCTCGTCAATGGGAAGGGTGGTGTGGCTACGCTGTCATCATCGTTCTCCTCATCGCCACTGAACACCCCAGAAGTGGGCGTCATGGGCAGCATCTTCTCGGTATAGGATGACGAGACGGCACGCGTGGGCGACGACGACACCAGAGGCCCGCCCGTCACGGCAGGGCCTGACACGGAGCGCTGGACGCTACCGGGATGCAAGGCCCTACCACCGCGCTTTATGGACCCGGCGCTCGCCCGACGCCCCTGCTGCGTGGGCGTGTTCCCGCGGCTCACTGGCCTAGGCGAGCCGGGCGGCCAGCGCGGCGAGCCCAGGTAGCTGTTGAAGAAGTGTGATGTAGACGCCGCGGTCATCTGCCACTGCTCGCCGGCGCCGCTGCCGCCCAGAACGCCGCGGCTGAAGAGAACCAGCAGGAGGCAGCACAGCAGCAGGACGGATTGGAAGATGGCCATGCGCTTCTGGAAGACGACCTCGTCTGCCAGGAGGTTGAGGCGCGAGGAGAGCGCGATAATCTCGCGGTCGCTCTGCTCCCGCTGCGTCTCGAGGGCGAGGACGGTGGACTGCCAGATCTGATCATACTGCTGGCGGACGGAGCGCAGCTCGGACAAAACAGTATTATTGAGGTTGGTGAGGAAGGTGTCGACGCGGGAGATCTGGCGACGCTCCATCTTCTGGAGGGCCTCCTGGAGGAATTTGGACTGGTCTTCGATGTATTGGAGGGAGAGGGTGGTGTTGGATTCGAGGAACTGAAGACGCTTTGAGATGGATTTGAAAAAGGACTCCTGAACGGTGGGGGAAGCATTGGCGGAGGAAGACGTGCCTGTTGCCGTCTTGTTCTGACTGCTGTGGGTAGGTTGTTTCGACGATGACTTGGACGAGGAATCCCCGCCGACCTTGGAGCCTGGTGGTGGCTTGGGTGGTATTGATGGTGATTTGGCAGTTGGCTGAACGGATTGGGTCTTGTTCATAGTGGTATCGGTACTTGCTGCAGTGGTTCCTGGGGTTGAAGGGGTTGAAATGCTTGTCCCTAAGTCGACCGACGTGGAAGAATCACTTTTCGTTCCTTCTGCAACACTTGTCGAGGACACTGCTATGTTTGCTTGTGTTGCCGCCTCCTTGATGTCCCTGGTGCTCGGGATTGGCTCGACGGGAGGCCAGCTGTCGTTCACCGCATGCGCTGGTGGAGATAGCGCGACGGTGTTTGTCATTGTAGGCGTGCCGATTCCACAGGTCTGGAAATACGGCTCATCGTACATGGGAGCGTACCAGGGAGAATACCCGTAATCGTCAGTAGATGCGTTCGGCGAAGGTTGAGCCGCCTGTTCATCCCCAGTACTTGTCGCCTCTGGGTCTACTGGTATGATATTCTCCTGTGGCACCTCATGCTCAGGCGCAGCCTCCGCAGCGCTAACTGTCTCGGCTGGCTCGTCATCGTCCGTGCCAGCTTCAGCTTCCTTCCACGAGTCCAGCATCCGAGTGCCGTGAACACGCAGCAATGATACAGGGCAGTAGTACTCGTTGCCATAGTGCGACAGAAATTCGATGCGGATGTACTTGGCCCAGATCTTGGGGTTGTCGATGAGAAATGCCTGTATGTCCCTGGAGTTCCTTGCCTGGAACGTGCCGACATCCTTCCACTTTTCTACCTTGACAGGATACTTGTCGCTCACACTGATGCGGAAGCTGCGTATCATGCTGGAGAAGAACTCAAAGTTGGCCAGGACTACGGTGTCCACCAGGATATCCTCGCTGAGCTCAACGATGACAAACTTGTTCTCCTGGGAACACGTGAACAGCATGTAGGAGTCCTTGTTCTCCACCAAGATGGCTTTGGCGTTCTTGGCACCGGGGCTCGTCTTGAGGACAGTGGCACCTCCGTCAAAAGACGAGTACGAGAACCTCTCCTTGCAGGTGATGCCGGCATCCTTGGGCCTGCGGTAGTGAGCCACGCCGTCGCCGTAGACCGCGGGCTCTTGGGTCTCCGCATTCGACACGTCGATAGAGGCGCTGGCGCTCTTGGCACCAGCAGTAGCAGCCATCTCGGAGATCTTGCCGGAGAGGACGTCAAAGTCCAGGGCGATCTCGCCATCGTCGCCCCAGCTGTCCAGCCCTTCGTTGGGCCCCATCTCGGCACCGTCACGGCCTTCGTGGGATTTTCTCCCCTTCAGATCAGCTAGGTCCTGGCCGGACTTTTGTAGCATCATGGCTTTCCACTCTTCGAATGACATGAATGAGCTCGTGGCCAGGTCTTCAGGATCGTCGACCCCATCTTTGGGCCCTTTGGTGTCGACTGGCACATCTTCTTTCTTCTCTTCTCTCCCACTCTGTGCCTGAGATGACCCAGCCTGCGCGGCAGTCTCGCCCGATGCGGCAAGCTGTGTCGTTGTCGCCGTCTCGGCCGATGTGACTGTGCTGGTGGTCGTGCTCGTCGTGGCATCCTGCAGGGTGGAGTTCGAAGAGGACCAGTTGGTCCGCAGGCACTGCTGCGGGAGGGTGTGCGTGATGTAGTTGATGGTCTTGGACTCGCACACTTCTGGAGAAGAGAGAGAAGAAGAAGAAGAAGAAGCAGCAGTGACCTCTTGTGCCTGGCTGGCGAAGCCCTGTACGCCGAGCACCAGGGCCAGGAGGCCTGAGGATACGGATCGCATGGTGTGGCTCGGGTCTCAGGAGCACAGTCGTCGTTGCCGCAGCCAATCCATAGTTGAGAGTAGTTCTGGGCTGCTGTGCCCGAGAATATGAAGACCAACTACGAGTTCTGCCACCCGATTTCCCTTTATCTCGGCGTCCAAAGGGCGGGCCCCTAAATCTTGCGAGCCCTCGTCGCCGCGGGGAAGAAGAGATCGTCGACTCTCGGGGAGGCCGGTGCAGGGGCGGCCTGTACCTTGTAATGTTGTTGCTGCAGTGTTTAGAATATAATCAGGAGCCTGAGAACAGAATCAAACAAGTCCGTGGGCTCCTCAGTATGTTGCCTGGGAAGATAGGCTGGCAGGTTGCAGGACCTTTGTGGTGGTGGTGAAGTGTGAGAAAGAGACGACGTGTACTATGTGCCAAGAAGTATTCTCCAAATCGTCATCCTGCAGATTCAGTATCAGGGTCTGCAGTGTAAGTTCCATGGCAGGGATGCCAAGTCACAGTACAGTGGTCAACTGCCGCCCGGAAAACAAAAATCCCCCACCTCTCACCATTTCCTTGGCCCCACCACCATCCCTTGCCCCTCTAGTCCTTGGGCCCACAGTGACCAGTTCTAGGCCTAGGGTCCCTGGAGCTATAGGTGTACACAGCGCTGGGATGCTGTCTTGACTCGTCTGGGCCATGGCAGTGCCACGTGCGATGAGCCAAAAGTGTGAATTGAGCATTTATTTGTCGCAAAGTACACTTCTTTGGCTCTGCACCCTCAACAACTCGGCCCCCCTCCCCTTCCTTACCAGAGTAGACGTCCATGGCATAGCAACACGTCCGCTCCCACAGCCCTCCACTCACCCGCCCGCCATGTCGACTCAGAGGCTGACCTTCCTCTACCCCACGCTGTTCCTCCGTTCGGCGCCCTCGACCGCAGGAGGAGCTCGCAGGAGCGCCAGCCGCTGTCACAGGGCCCGGCCGAGGAGGTGCCCCTCCTCTTCCTCCTCCCCTCTTCCCCTCCTCCGGCCGCCGGGGGGTCCTCACCAGCATGCGGCCTTTGGCACCTCGAGCACCACCAACAAGGGCAGCTTTGGCCCGCGCGTGGGCAAGGGCATAGAACCCAAACCCCTGGGCGACGTGCAGTCCGCACCAGCGCTGGAGTCGCAGATGGAGGACGGCAGCGTCATCCCGCTGCCTCCTCCAGACGCGAGGGACAGCACGGCCGAGCAGCGCAAGAACGCCGCCAAGGCCCTCGACCCGGCCGCCGACGCCCTCAAAGAGACCCTCAGCTCGCCAGGCGTGTCCTCGTCCGAGAGGAGGAACAAGAACAAGGAAGAGCAGGAGACCAACAAGGGCGACCAGGCCACAGCAGCTGGGGCCGGCCAGGACGACGGCGGCGGCGCGCCCAAGAAGAAGCGCGCCACGGGGCCCATGGACGCCGTTCTGCACATGCCCCCGCCCGACTCCGTGCCCGCGGAGGAGAAGCCGCCGCACCTGACGCCGGCGCCCTACGTGCACCACTTTGACAGCTACTCGCTGGTGAAACAGCTCGAGCAGAACGGGTACACACAGGTGCAGGCCATCACCGCCATGAAGGCCGTGCGCGCCCTGCTCGCCCAGAACCTGGACGTCGCACAGGGCGGCCTCATCTCCAAGAGCGACGTCGAGAACGAGACGTACCTGTTCCGCGCCGCGTGCGCCGAGCTGTCCACCGAGGTGAAGAACAACAGGCGCATCGCCGACGAGGCGCTCAGGCAGCAGAGGACCGTCCTGCAGCACGAGGTCGACAACACCACCCAGGTCATGAACCAGGAGCTGCTCACGCTCAACGATAATGTCAGGGGCATGTTCAATGATCGCAAGATGGCCGTGAGGGAGGAGCAGAAGAAGGCTGAGGGTGCTGTAGGTTCATTCCTGCATTCCCCCCCCCCCCCCCCTTCTTCTTTTCTTCTTCGGTGTCTTTCTCTCTGGACGTCGTTATATTGTACGATGAGCATTATATGTTAACAGGCGCCCACAGATCCAACAAATAGCCTACAAGATCAGCGTCACGTTGAACAGCGACTCCAAATCCGAGATCGAGGCCGTCCGGTGGGTGGTGACACGCCGCGCAGTGGCCGGTATCATCTTCATGGTGATCTTCTCCCTCGGCGTCCTGCGGTACAGCAGCTACATCTCACATGAGAACCAGAAGGAGGCACAGAAGGAGAAGGAGGAGATCGAAGTTGTCAGGAAGAGCGGGGGCAAGATAGATAGAGCCCTCGGCCCCGACGCCGCGGAGATTCTGGCAGCAAACTAGACCTTTATACATGTATTATATATATATATATGTATATATATATATATGTATACACACAGATACCCTGTCCATTAACATACTGTTAACTTTTCCACCCTTCTTCATCCTGATGATGGCCTGATGGTCCCATAGGAACAATACGTGTGCATCCTAGGCAGTGCTTTCACAACACAAGCCCTGGTGAGCATGCCTGGTCAATTTCTTGATCTGATCATATCTTCTCATTCCAACGTTATCTATATCTATAAGTCAATTATGATAGCATTTCCCGAAGGTAGCATACATCGGTTTTGGCTATAAGAGCTGCCTCCTTAGATTCCAAAATTCATCTTGAGAGCAATCGTCGGCTGCCCGCTATCCGCGTCGGCATCCTTATTCACGTGTTCGCTCTGCCGTCCACTCTTAATCACCTCTTCCATGAACTCCTTTTGGCCCTCGCTGAGTCCCGCCACGACGCCTCTGAAGCTCGCCTGGTCCGCCGACGCCAGCTCCAACAGCCGCGCGCTGGTCTCGCGATAGATGGTCATCCCTTCAGTGCCGCCAGAGCTGCCCTCACTCGCAGCGCGGGAGAGCAAGGTGGGCATGACGAGGGACATGGCAATGGCTTGATGGTCTTTCGACATGGCGGCAACGTATTGAGTAAGCGTGTGGGCGACAAGAGAGCGCGCCTGCTCGGGGTCCTCAGGCTCAGTGTTGGTTACGAAAGTGATGAGGCGTGGGAGGAGAAAGCGCGCGATTGTCTCGTCGGCCACAGTGGGTTTAGACTGCAAGAGCAGCGAGCGGACGCAGTTGGTGGCGATTTTGGCGGTCTACACATTGATTAGCATCAATACTATGCGACGTATGGCTGCAATGAAAGGAACATACCATGCGATCTGAGAGGCACTCGACCAATTCCTCAAGGAACTTGGTCACTATGGGATCATTGGCTGTGAGGTGGTTCTGCCCGCCTGTGAAAAGGATCGTGATGGCCAGAAGACTGTTCTTGACGTTTTGGAGGTCGGTCGGCTTTTCTCGCTTCTGCCCATGCAGATAAATGGAGAGGAAGCGTCTGAGGCAGCCTTGTAGCTGTACATCCATCGGCCCACTGTTGCCTTCCCTCGGTCCAGCCATGGTTGCGATGAACCGCTTGAGAGTCGGCAGCGCCTGTGGCACGATGACTTCCTGGCAAGATGGTGTAGCAAGAATGGTAGCGAATATGTGGATAATGCATGCATGCAGGTCCGTCTTGATGACTGATGGAAAGACCTCTGCCGCATCGACCAGGCTGTTCAATGATGTCCGAACAAGGAGAATCGCCTCCTCCGTCAGAATATGCCGGACGGGCTGGTTTGCCTCTGTAAGATTTGGTAGCAGCCCGGCTAGAACCAGCACGATGATTCTCGTGAGCTCAAACAGCTGATCCACGTCCTCAGACAGCTCCCCGTTGTCAGGCTCCGTGGACTTCCTGGCAGCGGGATGTTCGACGCAGAGTGCCCTGGCAATGTCCACAATGACGCCTTGGACGTCAAGACCTTCTGTCAGGACAAGACGGTCTAGCAGGTCCATACTCTCGGCGAAGACCGCGTCTCTATAGATGGCATGACCAGAGACACTCGGGTGCAAGATCTTCTTGAGTGCCTGCAGGATCTCAAGTGTCTGCTCATTGCTGGCAAGAGAGTCCGCCTGACCTGGTTTCGCGGCAAGCGCCTCAAAGGCGATGCCGAAGAGGACAAAGAAGAAGGCCAAAGGCTCATCCCGATAGTTGATGGAGCCCTTAGAGTGGCCATTCGGAGTGCTCCCTGAATTCTCTTTTCCGTCCAGAGCATCAAAGACAAACTCGCTGTCTTGTCCGATCAAGCTAGCAATGGCATCGACGAGTTTGAGCCATGAATCCTGGTAGAATTTGAGGAGCGTCTCGCGATTGAGCGCCGCGTAGATAGTGTCCAGACTGCCGGACAGTGATGGTGGCCCCAGCGTCATGGTAATGTCTGGCTCAAATCTCAATTGCGCGAAATCCCTAAGAGACTCGAGCCAGAGTGGCGTGAGCTTGCCAATGTATGGCTTCAGGACGTCCAGCAGATAGGCTTGTTCAGTGCTCGCGACCTGCAATTCGGCCCAGGCCGAAAAGACTGCCATCTTGACCATGACCTGTGCATTGGAGCTCAGGCCCTTTAGATCGCCAATGCCTGCGTTGTCATTCTGTGTTGAGAAGTTCTCCAGAGCTGTCACGAGTGTCTTGAGAATCCTGCCCATACGGTCGACGTCTGTGACAATACCTGTGGCGATGAACGCGGCGCACACATTGACAGCCTCTGAAGCCAGTTCAGGCGAGGAATCGGCAGCGAAGGCAGGTGTGAGAGCCGAGCTTATCTGAGCCTGGTACTGCTCGAGCAGCATGGCCTCGTCGAAATCCGGATCAGGAGTCTTGCCGAACATCTTCAGAACGGCACCGATAATCTTTAGTCCCCATATCCTCTGTTCCAAAACACCGGAAGTCGAAGCAGAGAAGGCCATGCGTACGACGTCTGCGATCCTGGTCTGAAGCGCGAGTCGAGCTGGCGATTCGCCATTTGACATGACATCTTTGTTGATAAGAGTGAAAATCTCGTACAAGAGACTCATGGCGAATGCAATGACCTGCCACCGGAGAGGCTCAACATCAGAGCCCGATCCGCCTTCCTTCTCGTCCTTGGCAACTCCTCCAGCGGCTGCGAAACCAGCGACCTCTTCATCCTGAAGATCCACCACAGCAGTAGTCTTCTTTGGTCCAGTGTCAACATCAGCGACTGCCTTGGGCCTCGTCATCTTAAGGACCGCTTGGAACCTCTGTAGCCAGTCGGCAGTGTCCGTCAGGCACGTCTGACGCATCCAGTTCTGTATGATGTTGCGGATTCCGTCGTGCTCCGGATTCCTGTCGAGTGCGAGCCACAAGTCTTCTTCGAAACCTGGATCAGCAGCTTCGATGACATCGTAGGAATTCCTCTTCATGATGTTGTACAAGCCATCGATAGCCACATCCCGAAGTGTTGGATGGTCCGACCTGAGATACTTCTGCAGCAGCTTAACGTAATCGGCGAAGTGCATGTGTCCTGGCGCGTATAGCGATAGATGTTCGAGACAGTCTAGGCTGGCCTTTTGTACGTGCATGTCATCTTCTGACTGGAAGTATCCGACAAGAGTGAAAATCAACTCCCTAGACTTCGCAATGTCTTGTAGATCCGGCCCGAGGACGTTGATTAGTGAGTCTACACACCGCGCTACGCTGGCGGTGGTGGAGAGCTCCAGCTCCAGATTCATAGAGACAGCAGAGGCGATCTCCGAGTTGTGAATATCAGACGTGTAGAGCTGAGCAAGCATTCCCAGTGTGCCTGAGACGTACTGAGAAAACCCTAGACCTGCTGCGTCAGCAGCGCACGCCAGCGCCTCCAATGCCCAGAAATGCACGGTCGGGTGCGGGTCGTTGCAAAGAGACATGAGGATGCCGAGAATGGTCTTGAGATGATATCCGGCCGCCATGCCGCCAACCTTTGCCTGAATGCATCCCAATGCCATAGCGCATCCTGCTCTTGCACTCGGCTCCCTGTTAACGACAATGGTGTCGACAAGGAATTTGATTTCGGAATTCGTGAAGGCATTGCCACAAGCGTTGCACATGCGAGCGATAGCTGCGTATCCCAGGCTACGGACGTACTGATCCGTGTCCAGTACAAAACCCCTGATCATGTCCTGGAACAGCTTCTCGACTTGCATGTTGGTGATGTCGCCGGAAGGCGACTGCGTCTCCTTGACGGCAACCTTCAGAGTAGATAGAAAAGCAGCAGCGACGTTGACAGTGATGGCAGCTTTCCGCGCATTGTCACGCTCGAGGGTGCCGGCTGCCATAAATGTAGCGATTTGCTCCAGAATACTCTCTTGCACCTTGTTTGGGGTGAGCGGGAAGGCAAATGCGAACAGTTGTATAGCCATATTGACAACCTCGGTTGCAGGTGGATCAGATGAGCAGCTGAACGCATCTCGGCCGCCAATGTAGAGTGTCGAGGCATCGTGTTCCAGGGCTGCACAGACAGGAGACAACATAAAATTCTCCATCGTGTCCTCGGGGCTGTTATCCTGAGTCAAGGACGGCTCGATGGAGCTCTCATGCTGCCCGGGCAATTCCTTGATCTTAAAGCCCGACACAATCCCGGTGACCCCAAATCCTGAATTGTCGTCAACATCCCAGATTGTGTCGAAAGTACCGGCCGAGTTCGCGATAGCTGCACTCAAAGAGCTTGGCGAGTAATTGTCGGGATCGGCGAAGAGAGAGATCGCCAGGGTCAGCAAGTTTGACTGGAGTAGCGCCTCACTGCCGCCAGCTGGACTCGTGTTCACCAGCTTGATGTAGCATTGCATCACACGGCGCTGTACCATCATCTCGATGTCCTGCAGCTGGAGTGCCGGAGCGAGTCGCTCAGCGATGTCATCCGATGTCTTCTTCTTGGGCAGAGTCTTCAAGAAAGCAGTTGTGCTTTGAAGCATGGTCGCAATTCTTTTCGACACATCAACAGTCAGTAGACGACTGTTGAACTCGAGAAAGGCCAGGATAGACCCGAGCGCGCAGTCTCGAACATGCGCCAGGAACGACGCTTCCAGGTAATTCCTAGCCGCGGTATTGTCTTTGGCAAGAGGCTTTGGCAGGGCATTCTTCCAAAGCAGCAAGAGCTGAGAGAGATGGATCTTGACGAAGTTCGGGCCAAGTGACATGAGACCTCCGATCAGGGTCCACGCGACCTGGATCTGTGTGCTGGCCACGCGGAGTTCCAGCTTCCCACTCGACTTCAGCAGATTTGTCGCCATTGTAAGGACCCGGCTGTTAATGTCGACAGAGCCGTACAAGGGTCGTGATGGACTTGCACTCAGCGTGGCAGCTAAGCCATGAGCAAAGCCGACGCACTTTCGGGTAGAATTACGACCCGTCCCGAGCACGCTCAGCTCCCTACTCAGGCTGTTCATGCATACGGACAGGCAGGACAGGAGCTGCTGAGGACAATTGAGCACGAAAGTCTTGAGGCATGCCGATGTGTACACTTGGACAGTATAACTGGGATGCTGGAGGACTTGCAACAGTCCTTCCCTTGCTGCCTCCGCGAATGCATTGGAGGCAGATCCAAGAGAGCCCATTAGAGAGCCTAGTGCTCCCATGGCGGCGATCAGCATGTTCTTGGTTGGTTCGGGTCGTTCCTTGAGCGCTTGAGGGTAGTTCTTCAGAACGTCATTGATCAGAACTTTGGCCGCATGAGACTGCCCCGTCTCACCAAGGATCTTCTTGCCGATGACGTCCTGAAGCAACGTGTCGACGATGCGACGGGATATCAGGAGGCGGTAACGATTGTTTGTGATGTTTGGGTTCCCCAGCAGCTCGAGAGTCAGGTTCTCCACAATCTTCATGTAATTTGTCTCGACAGTCTTCTCCCCAAGACGTTGCAGAAGTGTCGAATAGCAGATACCAATGGCAGATCTGGCCTTGTTGGACGTTCCTAGCTTGCCATACTGATAGGAGAGCACCCTTAGGATGTCTGCGAAAGACAGGGAAAGGTCCAGCGTTCTCTTCATGAAAGCCGGGCTCTCAGGTCGCGATGGTATGTCGTCGTCGTCGCCCAGCACACCCGGCGGCATCGACTGGCGCATTGGCGTTTTGGGGGTTTTTAACTTTGGCTTCTTGCCACCTGTAGGACTCGAGATGCTGTCTCCCATCGCGGCCTCCGAGTACCCCCTGACAAGCGCCTCGGCCAGGCACTCGGCAGCTGCACGGCGGGCCTGGGAGGAGCCGTACTCAAATGCCTTGAATGTAGCCGTCTGGATCTTGTCGAAGTCGCTCGAGTTCTTGAAGTAATTTGTGTGCCTCAAAAGCGACCTCAAGCACCGACACGCCGCGACGACCACCAAGGCGCCTTTGTCGCTAGAGGCATGGCTCCGGCCCTGCTTCCAGATGTCCCTGGCAATGCTGTCGTCCAGCATCTGCCCCACCATCCGCACGATCTTGCCTAGGGCCGTGAAGCACGCGGCGCGCAGGCCGGCGTGATTTGACGAGCTCTTGAGAAGTTTCACCAGCACCGTGCAGGCTAGCTGATGGTAGCTGATAGCGCTGTCACCCGCAGCGCCGAAAACATCGCCCAGGCACACGACAGCAGCATGTCTGGCACGAGACTCGCCCTCAGCCTTGGACTTGCCGGCTGTTATGATCGCCACGAGGTCATTTATCGTCTCAAGCAGAAGCTTGCGGTCGCCATTGCCGAAGATATGCGCAACGCACCGGCCCAGGCTGTTCCGCACCACTCGCGAGGGTGCAGGTGTGGGAAGGTTGATGATCTGGAAGATCTCGCGTTTCAAGTAGAACTGCTGGGCGGTGCAGTCATCTGCAGAGAGGGAGAGGACATGTTTGGACAAGGTAGACACAAAGGTCAGAAGGAAGAGGTCCTGCTGCTCAATCGGGAGAGACTGTAACTTGGGCAGGTCGAGTTCCGGAGTCGAGGTCGCTCGAGGATGGGGAGTCGGTGGCAGAGGGGCGGGTGCATTCTCGGTGCCGGAACCAGATGTGCTGGGGGGCTCTGGTGGTGATCCAGAGGACATATTTGCGTCTGTTTTGGAGGAGGGAATATTCTCTGGGATTCAATGCTGTGCGCTCTCCACCGGCAGACCAGTCTGTCTTGTGTCTGCTCGGCGTGGGAAGAGCATGAGGAGACGGAGGAGATGTTGAGGACTCGGTTCGCAGCAGCTTCCAGCTGTCCGCAGCAGTGCTACCCTTGACACATGTCACTGCGGCTCCCCTGCACCCCTGGTTCTAGCGGCTCGACCCTGGCCAATTGAGGGTCAACAGAGTATTTGGTTGGCAACGGCAAGTTCCACAGTTGCGGCATCGAGAAATTTACAATACTCATTCACCTTTGCTGCACCTGCAATAGTTCTTTCATGGTCGCTCGACGGACACACTCACACACTTGCAAGCAAGACGAGCCCCTCTTCAATACTGCATGAATTCCACCTCTCCATTTTCTTTCCTCTTACCCCTTGTTTAACGACAATGGCCACGGTAACGAGAGATTTGAGCACCCTGTTCCGTCGGCCTGTCCGGTCTGGAGCAGTATGCTCGAGGTGCCGGCGAACCTTTGCGACGAGTCCTCTCCTGCAATCAGGCCACAATAAATGGTCCAAGATAAAACATCAAAAGGGAAGACAGGATCACATCAAGACCGTTGAACGAACACAGCACGTCCAAGCAATAACATTATACTCGAGACTATACGGCCCAGACCCTAACACGAACTCCTCTCTCGCGAATGCCATTGCTATTGCGAAGAAGGTAATAATAAACTCCACCGCTGATGTTCAGTTTCATGTCCTTACGTCGAAACTTCTTATAGTCCGCAACCCCAAAGAATGTGATCGAGCAAGCAGTGGCAAGGGGCCAAGGTCGCTCTCTGACCGGTCTAGCCCTCGAGAGCATGAAATTTGAGGTCATGATGCCGCCATCAGCTGCATTCATACTTGATGTCGAGACAGACAGCAAACTTCGTGTACTGCAAGACCTTGGTGTTATCATACGCAAGCACAAAGGTCGGACGACCGCCACCGATTATTTCTTTAGCCGGCGTGGACGAGTAGTATTCGAGCGACACGAGAAGCTTGGGCCGGACGATATTTTGGAGGCGGCCATAGAATTTGGTGCTGAGGATCTCGAAGCTGATGATGAAGAGAACATTGTAGTTTGGTGTGAGCCCACACAGACAATGCATATCGCGCAGGGCGTCTCCAAGAAGTTCGGCTTCAGGATTCTGAGTTCGGATATCATTTGGCAGCCAAATGAGGATACGCGGTCGATTGTCAACTCCACCGAGGATGTGCAGTTACTGTCAGACTTCGTTGCTGCAGTATCGGAAATGCCAGAGGTCCAAGCGATATATTGCAACGCTTCGAGGGGAGAGGATGTACCGGAAGAGGATTGGGCTGTCCTGGAGGACAATTTCGACTCGTAGAGGAATTCGTAGTCATTAAAGATCAAAAGACCATCTCAATGCGACATAAAGCAACCCTCGAGTGTCGTTCCACTGGCAGCTCTATCCTATGTGAAAGCTTTTGTCAACTGCCTGGCGTCATACCACACTTCTCGTGAATGCTTCCATGCGTGTCAACAACCCTCGGTAAATCAATCGGATGACCAGGGAGTCGGACTCGGACGTATTGGATGAGTTTGGGGGAAAGGGGGGGGGGGCGTGTGTAAGCGACGAGGAGGCCTTGGAAGAGATGCGTGTCCACCACTTCAAGCCGCTGTCTCTTCCCACTGCCTCTGAAGAATTGTCGCCATGCACCCTACTCCTCCTGGTCCTGCATAGGCGCCGGATTCTCCGCCTGCCGTCGAGCCTCCTCTGCGAGCCTCCTGTCCCTTATATACAGTCTCCTAGCTCTTAATCTCTCTAATTCGGCCTTGATCTCGTCCCTCTCGGTCGGTACCTTATTCGCCTCATCAGGTTTGGGCCAGAAATCCGGCACAGCGAAGCGCTCGTCGAGGTTCGTACCGAAGTATCCCATGAAGGCGATTGGAAAGAAGAGGTACATTCCGAACTGCAGATGCACAGGTTAGTTGAGACTGAGCTTGACGCACTGGGATTCTGGGTGTCTTGGGCTTGGGGGGAGCGTGCCTTGAAAAATTCGAGGTTGAAACCAGCCATCTTGACAGTTTCTGACTTCAAAATCGTGATTGATACTTGTGGTCGACTCTAAGGTTCAATGTCTTCTGAAGATCAAAAGCCCATCAAAGTTCTTCGCAATTGCTGTAGTTTCTCGAGGACCAATTCACGAGAAAACGACATGATCTGCTGCTCATTGCCCAAACTAGTCGAGCTTCTTAGTGAAGGGTGGGGGCTCTTACATAAGCAGCCCAGCCTCTGAGAAGGCAGCAAATGACAAGCAGAACGTCTACAGCACTTTTGGTCAAGTTCAAACAAATAAACAAATTGCAAGACTTTCGAAATGCTAGGAACTTTCTTGTGAACCAGGGGTATCTCGATGCCATTTTTAACCAGTACTTTATCCATGCACCTAATTGCAAGATTTTGTTACCCTCCATGCCGCCAATCCCCTCCGCCCAATGACCCTTTTCAGAGTGTTCCAAACGCCATCCTCCGCGAAATCCATATCATCTAGGTTCAAATGATGCCTGTGCCTCCACACTTCTCGAAACCGAAGACCATCTAGTCCTTTGTTCTTCAAGTAAGGGTCGAGCCACGTAGCAGATGTTGGCGCGATTAGGTAGGTCCCGTCCTTTTCCTTCAGATACTCCTTGTTCCGGCGGTCCGCTGGCGTGTCGCACGTTGCGATCTTGTTCAGCTCGGCGTAGAGCTCCTCGCCCGGGATACCCATCACGTCGCGCGTCTCAAGCACCTCAGCCTTTCCGTCAAGCAACCAGATCGGCGGCATATATGTCTTCCACCAAATCGCTCTCGTCGCATCGGGCTGTTGGCTCATAAATACTTGACCTGAAACGATACCGCCTTGATGGTATATACCCATCAGTGTGCCGAAAATCAAGTTGAATATGATCCATGCCGCAACCCAGAGCCGCAAGACGTTCTTCTGCTGTGGCAATCGAACCGATGAGAGGATCAAGGGGACTGCAGGCAGCAGAAAACGAGCTTCTTGGTGCTGAAATATAGATAATACGGATATTCCCGAGATCGCCGAGTACAGCCTCAACGACAGATGTGGGCGTGTGAAGAGTAGAATGGCAGCGGGTCCAATCAGCTGCGGAAGATTAAAAAGAATATGTTGATACCAGGGGTGCAGTCCATGCTGCGCCAGGTTCGAAGGGGAAATGTTGTACATCAAGTTATTGAGAGGCGTAATGACGGGGTGCCGGAACAAATCACTCCACGATATCTGATTGGGCGAGTAGAACGCTGTATCAAGAGCGATCGCAACAAATGCCGTGGAGAGAGCTGAGAGCGCTGTGACTGTAAATGCGAGTGGTCTGGTGCCAAAGTCAGCCTACACTCGAGTAAGAGTTCTAGATGCGGCCTCGTCACGTACGACTTCCAATAATAAGGAATCAGACGCAAGCCTGGTATAAGTAGGAACGCTGGAAACGTGATGCGGTTGAAGAATCCGAACACGACCATGGAGCCAAGGACAGCAGGCGCCAGGAGAGGAGTCTGGTGCTAGATATTTTCAGCCATTGTATCAAGCCTGAGGAGAAGGAGTATTCGTACTGTGTTGACCGGGACCGCGATGGTCCTCTCGATCAAGACCAGACTCCATGCAACGACCAAGGTCTCTATCGCGTTCGAAAAGGTATGTGTTTGGTATGTCCAGGTGACATATGAAGAGGCAACGAGGAGGACGGCGACTCGCCGGTGTCGTGGTGACTGGATCAGCTCGTGAATGGCCCAGTCCTCGAGGACAAAGCTGAGAATGAACATGATGGCGCGCAACGTCCAGAAGACCGCGATCGGAGGTACTTCGCCTTCATTACCGTTTCCCATCCATAGCCACTGCAGCAGAAGCATAGGCAGGCCATAGATGGGCCAAAGCGGGAAGACACTTCGAATAGGGTCGTCGCTCGTGAACTCCCAGGTAAGCCGGACGGGGTATTTGAAGATCTTGCCTGGGAAAGAGTATGACAATTAGCACATCTGACAGGTATTCAATGTAGGGAAAGCCTCGCCTATAAAGGAGAAGCCACACCCTTCCGACTGGCATCCGCATCGCAGCTACGACGAGCAAAAGCCGTGGCTCCGGAATGGGGACGGAGGAGGGCCTTACCTGCAATGACTTCGGGGCCTTGGAAGTTTTCGTCAGGATGGAGGTAGCTCGGGGACAAAGCGAGCCAGAGACGGACGACAATCAGCAGCAAATACGTGCGCCGGTACATGTTGACGCCGCTTTCTTCCTATGGACAGCAGCTTAAGCATCGGCGAGGCCTTATCTCCGCTTGCAATGAGGCTTTCTCGACCGTTGGCAAGTCAAGTGCATACGGCATATTCAACGGACAGGCAAAGGTGTGGTGAGCAAGAAATTTGAAGAATGATAACAGGATGACCATCCAGGCAAAAAGACTTTCCTTATAACATTTGCACACGCAGAGCAAGAGTTGAATCGTCTGACTCCGGTAGGTGTACTCGAAAACGTCAGGAGCTCAGAAGACGAAGGCCACATGGCTGGACGCAGAGATGATAGGGTTGGAATTTAGGACAGGGATTACCATGGATTGCTCTGGAGCACCTGTCATCCTGTGGCCGTTCACAGTAGTGCCCCTGGGGTCGGCAGGGTGGGTAGCCAGGGGCCCTGAGGCCTGCTAGGGTGTGCTATGATAGAGTGTGCCGAGCCTGGAACGGGCCCCGACCTTTACGACTTGACAGCTCCACGCTTCGGCCCAGGTCCTGGGACCCCCAGACAAGACCCTCCAAAATGTACCGCGTTCTAGCGCAATGCGCGGTTGTACTATATGTAAAGTCCCAGATCCGCCATGGGACAATTTTGACATGGTGACCTGCAGGTGGAGGTTAGCAAGGAGGATCCATTTACAAAGATCGACCTCGGAGACCAAGGGAAGCAAGCCTCCACAAGGCTATTGAAACCCTGGCTTGTCTTAGTGGCCTGAAATCACATCCATCCATCCATAGACCTCAATATGTAGACATATCTTTAGCGTGTATGGCTTTGAGTCAGCCAGCAAACCAACTGGATGCATGTACTCTTGGAGCCAAGATACATTCCCAATCAGCTAACCATGACCTTAACGTCACACAGGGGGCTTTCTTAGAACTTCTCTTCTGCATTTTATACTACCACAGGAAGATTCACCCAGATTCTTGACCTACTTCCATGAGGTTCTGCACAGGTAAGACGTGGGTGCTTCCTCTCAGATATATAGAACTTCAATAGGAAACAACATGCATTTATTTAAAGATCTCTTGCTTACTCATAAAGCCATTATCTCATTTGCAGCTGTCTTTTCTCCTTTTCCACACTGTGATTTCAGGCATCTGGTGCAGGGTTGGTCAGCTTACCTAGCGCCAGCCACCAGCTTCTCGTTCCTTAGTTACCAACACCCTACCACTGGACGTTTTTTCCAGGAACTCAAAATCTCGACCATCATTTCTGTCAATCTCTCCTTCTTTCCCGACATCTCTTGTCAAGAACAAACATCAACAAAAGTCGATCTGGTCAGACAGTGAATACTCTATTTCGGTCTACTCGAACAACAAGACGAGGTAAGTCATACTCTTCTACTTGAATATTCTCGTCTTTCTCCATCGTCAGATCCATCACTCCAAGTCACCCTCCTCCACCCTGCTATTCTTATTCCCTACATCATTTTCCATCATCAAAAGATCATTGCTGTATGCAAAGCCACTGTGCCCCCTCCTATGGACCTGCCTGCCTGGAGTGGGTGCTAGTTTTCTCAGGCACCAGTCACTACCGACTCATTCACTCGACTGGTTGGGTAAATAGGTGGTCCGTGCATGCAAGCAGGCACCCCCTCCCTCCTTCCCCGTCCCCGCCTTTCCTAAATCACCTCCGTTTGCTGGCTCAGTCCATTAAGTTCTCCCCTCCAGCCTTCCTCTACTCTCTTTGTTAGCCTTGCCAACATCAACCTCTTTATCCGTACCAAGAATTTCCTGGTAACTATCAGGTATATCACACCTCAAGCGCTTCTTTTTGTCGTTGAACACAGTCAATCTCTCGTACAGCACTTGACACTGGAGGCTTCTTCAGCTGAAGCGTATCTGATCGTTACTAACGAGCGAAAACCACTACAGAACATCTGGACGCAATCCATCAAACGGCCTCAGCCACAACTCAATACCACTCCCAATACCTTCACCAACGAACAGTTTCCAACATGTCTGACATTGACCGCAAGACCGCCAAGGTCACCCTACGTGCCAATGACAACTCCGAGCACCCGGTCGACCTCGAGGTCGCTGAGCGCTCTATGCTCCTCAAAAACCTGATCGATGATTTGACCCTCGAAGTCGCTACCACCACTCCCGTTCCCCTGCCCAATGTCAGCGGCCCAGTGCTGGTCAAGATCATTGAGTGGTCTGAGCACCACCGCAACGACCCCCTTCCCTCCTCCGAAGATGACAACGAGTCCCGCAAGAAGACTACCGAGATCGACGAGTGGGACCAGAAGTTCATGCAGGTTGACCAGGAGATGCTCTTCGAGATCATCCTGGCCGCCAACTACATGGACATCAAGGCTCTTCTGGATGTTGGTTGCAAGACTGTTGCCAACATGATCAAGGGCAAGTCTCCCGAGGAGATCCGCAAGACGTTCAACATCACCAACGACTTCACGCCCGAGGAGGAGGAGCAGATCCGTCGCGAGAACGAGTGGGCTGAGGACCGCTGAACGAACTTTGTAGTCCTAGTCAGCCTTTTTTCATCGTCCTAATATGCGGACAATCCGGCCCTCTTCCCCCTCAGCATGTTGCTCGGCGTTTGTGGTTCACTTATGCTAGATTCGGGGTCACGTTCACGGTAATTTTGATATTCAGAAAACGGAAGGGCATAGTATCAGATTGTGCCGGGTACGCGACTGCGAGGGACTTGATGGGTTACATGGTCCACACATCTTTTATCGATCAATACATTTCTCTCGGTTCTTCAGTTACATCAGGCATCAACCCTCTACGGTACGGTCAGACTGAATAGATACCCAGATCACCCACACCTAACTCGAGAGTTGTGATGTGCATGTGGATTCTCCTGCATGCAGATACCGTTCAGGTCAAATGTGCAGTCCTCACCTCTTATTGTCAAACAACTGGCTGCTGCCTTCCTCTTGGGGCTGCTCCTCGACATGCCCAACTCCCCCCCTTCACCCCGCCGTATGGTGCGCTCTCGTCACCGCCTTTCAGGAAGCTATCACACGTTATTTATGCCATCCTCACCTCACCCCCCTCCTATCCTCTTAGTGGCATAATATGTTGTTGCTCTTCCTGTGCTACGTGAATCATACATGGAATCTTCCAGCATTAACCGGCTACACACATTTCTCAGCAGGACCAAGAAATGTGATAGGGCAGGGAAGTTTACCCTGCCAGGCGCATATCTACGTCAAATTTTCCCTTTACTCAGTGGCGACGCTGTCTATCTATATGTGGCAAGGGGCGCAGAGTACAAAGTCGCACAAGGCAAAACGCCATAGGTCATGGGAAAGTATTCCTACCTTGCCTGGTGGCTTGTCGTGGTTGGCATATAGGTATGATTATTGGCCTCGGCAGAAACTTGGGAGACATCGCGCCATTCTCGGGTGGAAAGGGGCGAGTTGGCGTGGACTTGCAGTTCTACAAAAAGTTGAAATATTTTGTTTCCTTCTCTGTGAGCAAACCCGGGTCAGGCGGGGTGAAAAGGGTGGTAATTTACATGAGGTTCCGATACGAGTATGCAGGATGAGGGTAGTACAGCGTTCCGAAGTTACAACGGTTGGGCGCTCTGCTATGCATCCAGCCATCACGGCGTGGTTCGCCCAAAAGTCCGTCCTAGGTAGGGAAAGGGCGACGGCAAGAGAAGACGTAACAGGAACGAAAGCAATCGGCCGTATCATTGCCATCATGGGTTTCGTCAGGCGTCGTAGTGCTTATTTCGTCCTACCCTTTCCCGTTCTACCTGGAGCCCAAAAATAACATGAACATCGGCCCAGTCCTGCGGCGTCACGCAAGAGCAATTCCTGGTGAATGGCTGGTCCATCAGGTGATTAGGCAGTAGTCTGTATCAGGAGCTCATGTAGGGGAGGGAATGTACCCCGGCGGGACGAGTCTTGTCTGCACTTGAAACCCAAATACTTGTTAGAAACCCTTGGGAGGATCGTCAAGCAATATGCTTTACGCATTGGAATGGTGTGCAAGGGAATGAAAGCCGTGTAAGAGAGCCCGATCCTCATTGTCCACGTCTCTGCTCCGAATCATATGCTCATTTGTGTCACCAACAGGAATGGACCGGCCGTAGAGTCGGGATGGGTGAGAGAGCCACCCGCACATAGTAGATCACCAAATAAGGAAGCACTCAAGAGTCTTGTTCACAATTCTCGTTTTGAAAACCTTCCCTGAGACCCTAAATGCAATGCCGCAAAAGCCAGCGCAACCGACACCGTTTTCCGGGACCGAGAAGTCTTTTCCTCAGTCGTCAAAACCCATCATGATGATGATCCCTGTTCCCTTCCGTGTCTCCCTGTTTTCATGCCAACCGTTTCAGAATCCTCCTAACCATCCATCGTTCGAGCGGGATAGTCGAGTTGGGTGTGGTCGGGCACTTCGGTATCGTAAAGGTAGTTTGAGTCCAAGGAAAGAAGAACAAATGGCAATCGGCATTCTGGTTGGCGAGGCATCTAGATACCCAGACGAGTCTTGCGCCAGTGCCTCCGCTTAGCGTTGTAGCTGTATGGTATGTTAGCTTTCTGTCTGCTCCCAGTGTGCATGACCAAAAGTGCCCTCCACTTCTGCTTGTCGCGGGCGCTCAGGCGCGAGAATCGTGGTGTTCAACATACCGGATGGTGTTACCGGTTCGGAGACGAATCCATTGGGGGATGGGGCGGTTCTGCTTCTTCGCCTTGGCGAGCTTCTGCTTGGTGCGGAAAGTCTTGTGGCTCTGGTGGGAAAGAAACGCGCTCGTCAGCTTTTGAGGTCCATCTACCAGTGGTATGAAAGGTCCCATCTGCAGTCTCTTCGAAAATTCATCTGCAGCATGGTCGAGATCATGTCACCTTTCGGCGCGACATGTATACGTACCGGCATTTTGACTGATTTGTCGTGAATGTCGAGGTTGGTGGTTCGTCCTTTGGTCGGTGATCGATCAGGAGTGGGTTCAGGTTGGAGGGGAGGAGAAAATTGAGTGATTGGTGCTGCAGCGCAGGTCACGTGCAAAACAAAAAATTTGGTAGGCATTGTACTATGCTTATGTCATCAAGGACAGGTCTGCTGGGATCCTGTGCCTTGTCCGGCAGCCGGTCGAGTCGGAGCGAGCGATGACCGATGGGGAACCCTTCCGAAACGGGGGCCAATCGTGCACGGCCCGGCAAGGAGGTCCAGCGAGTCACTGGCGAGTCCCTTTGATCTCAGTTGCCAAGCTTAAACGCTGCTTTATTATCTTGACCTGGGTTGGTTAGAAATCAACCATCTGGCTATCCCTCCTTACCACGACTCCTCCACCAGAGACAGACGATCCCAATAGTCTACCCCTTCCAAGCAGCGCCGTCCTCTTTCTCGCGGATCCAACCCCCAAGAAAGTAGTCAAGTCAGACCGCGACTTGGCGCAAACGTTTCCATTCCAGAGCAGACACAGCTCCTCGAGGCACGACACCCTCTTACACACCACACTGCGACAAATCCGGGGCAGCCTCTGGCGGCTAGTCATCAGCGAAGATGGGTCAGAGCATGTCATGGCTGTCCGGCTTGTTGTGGGCAAAGAAGGAAATAAGGATACTGATTTTAGGCTTGGTATGAGACGTCATAGCTCAGAGACGAAGTGCGCCGCTGATAGACCTCGACTACAGGACAACGCCGGCAAGACAACACTCCTGTACAGACTCAAGGTTCGAGCCACTCCCCCCCTCCCGACCCTTCCTAGACCTCAACGACGTTTTGTTGACACTGAATAGATAGGAGAGGTGGTGACAACGATTCCAACGATTGGGTTCAACGTCGAATCTGTGACTTATAAGAACCTCAACTTCAATGTCTGGGTACGCGATGCTCTGCACACCCGATGACTATACTGTGATGAGGTACTGACGTTGACGCCAGGACCTTGGTGGCCAAACAAGCATCAGGCCATACTGGAGGTGCTACTACGCCAACACGGCAGCGGTCATCTTCGTCGTGGACTCCACCGATATAGAACGCCTACAAACAGCAGCAGACGAGCTGGCAGCCATGCTTAACGAGGAGGAGCTGAAGGATGCCGCACTGTTGGTGTTCGCGAATAAACAAGACCAGCCAGGCGCAAAGGGGGCAGGCGACATCTCACAGGCGCTGCGGCTTGGCGAGTTGAGGGACAGGAACTGGAGCATCATGGCATGCTCCGCGGTGGACGGGAGCGGTGTGTCGGAAGGCATGGATTGGCTGGTGGTGCGTCTCCATCCCACAATCTCTTCTCCTAGTTATCTCCATACTAACACTGATGCAGCAAACCGTCTCCCAAGAATAGATATCGAGAGGAAAGGGCCTTCAAAAGTGCCCTTCCTTCCTATCGACTCCCCTCTTGCCTCCTTGGGTAGCAGACGACAGAACGACAACACCTTGGCGAACTAGGTGGGATGCTGAGCTCAGCAACGGCGTTTATTGGGCAGACGGGAAAGCATTTTTTTGATGATAGTCTCCCGGGCGAAGGGACAGCGGCTGCGTTGCATGGTAGGGAATGGCTGACGCATGTACGTACATACAATTTTGTGTGATATCACGGTTTAATGAAGATAGACGCACGGACGTTTCTTTCTGGCGACGTACCTCCTTTCCAAGGATTTACCATCCACTGTGAAGCTCGACGCCTGTCTTTGGGTTGCGTCCGTCTCTTCATATCGCCGCGTGAGGGGATCGGTCGCAATTCCAAAACTCGGTCGACACCATCCCCTGAGTATTCCTGCCTGTGGTACCTCATGTGTGGCAAGGTCTCCCCACCGAGTGATCAACCGCAACGACTCTATCTTTCTTGACGTCCTCAATCGGCAGACCAGATTCCTCTCGAACCCGAGAGCAGCATAATGTCGGTCTTGGTATTGCTCACGTCGATATCTCTTGCTCCGGTCGCCGATATATCCACGAACCTTTGAGCGTACATGTGTCTTCTGAATAATATCTTTGTTTGTATTTGTGATGAGCAGCACTCACCTACAGCACTAAGAGCAGGCTCATGGCTCGTATTAAAAGAGCACCCAACTGCTGCTCAACCTCAGTAGAGAGGCAGCGTCTGAATACTATCAACAAGGAATTCTGACGGGCCACATCTCGACAGCGATATCCCTGCATTATCCTCTGAGCCTTGGAAGATTTGGAATTTGCGGTGACATCGTTGTTCGTACACGGGGGTCCGTCCCGTCAGCTCCTCAGTCCCCAGATCAAGATCGAGTTGGTTGCGCTATAGGGCAGGTGCATTTTCTCGGTCGCCAGAAGGGGTCCGCCCCCGAACTTTAGGCCAAGCTCGTCTTCGTTTTCCATGTGTAGTTTTTGTACTAGCTTTTCTGGATGAACGCGGGGTCTTGTCTGCTTTTGGCGCCTGTATTCTGGTAGGATTTGATGTGCATGTAGGAGACTTAAAGTGGGCAAACCAGAAGTTTCAACACCAATACAGGAGGACAGTGTGTGGGAAAGCGATGCTGTAGAAGGAGCACAGAGTTTTGAGGGGAAAGTTACCACTGGCCCAGGGCTCATCCGCTGATCAGAGGTTCTTTTTTTCTTTCTTTTTCGTCTTCTCTGGATCTCGACAACGCATAGATGTTCAGGTTGACCTCGACAGGTTCCCGATCAGCGCACCATAGCACGACATGTACGACACGCTGCCCACTATACACAATTCTGAGGGTATGAGGTTTCTATATCGGGACGTTGCAGCACACTGCTGTACATCGCACCAAAGGATTGTTGCTCGAGATGTCACCTTGCTATGATGCTGCTGAGAAGCAGGTCTTTTTCTTCTTCTCTTCTTTCTCTTTTCTCCTGTACTTTCCAGTGACGATAGCGTCCTAGGCGTTTCACCCACAGCAGGCTGAAAGATCAATGGGAGCTAAGTAATTTGTTCCGACCGAATGACACTCTGACAGCGTGCAGCTGAATGAGTCTCGTCTAACAACCGCGGCTGTACATCCAACATGACCTCTCGTTAGTGCGCTCCCCATTTGATTTGGCGCCCAGTTCCACCACAATTAGTAGTCTTTGGTCATCTGGTTGGTTTGCTGAACGCACTACCGGTCCTGTCTGCTCGGGGGGGTCTTGTGATGAACTGAGGTCGGGGCCAACCGGGCATTACACCCTTGTCAACCCACCTCGAGGCAGACGCTATTACCTGCAGGAAAAGGTTACGAGCATACTGTACCTATACTGCCTTTTAACTTCCGTCTAAAAAAAAAAATAGAATACGAAATTCTTGGGACTATGGAACGGGACGATTCGATGGTCGGACAACACGATGATACATTTGTCACCGCAGTCTCCTGATGCTCATTGATCCATTGCATTTACCGAGAATGAAAATTAGAACTTAGCAACGTGGCAGTTGGAGAAAAAGCAACCTGGACTTTTCTAGAGAGGATAATGACGCGACACGAGACTCGGCTGCCTAACGACTTGCCTCTTGGCTGCCTTGAACTTTTTGCGTGTATGGTGTTTTCCTCCCCCCCCCCCTTCTCCTTTTATTTTTTGCCCTCTTAAACCCACCCCCAACACTCTGCGACCTATCTTGTCGCAGGTGATGCTCCGTTGCATGCATAGCGGCCCGTTCTAGCAGCCACAATTTCTTCCATTCTCGATCACTTTTTTTCCCCCCCTTCTTTCTCCCCTTGCGATTACGGCATGAGGGTGTCGAAAACAGGTCCATCGATGCAAAGATGAGCAATCAGAGGGGGCCCTGCGAGATCTGCATCAGTGCAGGTGACACATGCCTGGCCCCCGAAGTCCCTGTGCCCTGTCTTCTGCCGAATCTTGCCATGAAACAACTGATAACTCCCAGCCGCTCATCGCCAGCTGCGGGTGCTATTCTCGTCCTCAGCTCAGATCGCCTCCTGGTATGATGGCAAGTGGACCCGATAGGACGCTTTCTTTTCCCTAACTTAAGCACGGCTTCTCTGCCCTCTCGTCAGATGAGACATGTCTATCTGTCCGAACAAGATCGGCAAGCCAGTCAGTCGCCGGCGTAGGACTTTACCTAGGGCGCAGAAACTCAAATGAGGAAGCAATCAACTCCTTCGGGTTAGAGTCTCATCCCCGAGACAAAGTTGTACCCTTCCTCACCACTTCCGTCATGAGGCCCAGCTGCTGGCTAGTGGACCCCCGTCGTCCTGCACCTGGTCAGACCAACGCATCACTGAGTTATACAGTACAAACAACAACCAAAACCCCTGGCCTAACCCACCTGGACACGGCCACCACCCACACCTACCGCCCAAAATTCACTTTCAGCCCTAACTCTGCTGGCAAAGCAGCTGTAGGGTGCTCTAGATGTGTTGACAGGGGAGGGGGAAGGAGGAAGGGGGGTGAGACAGGGAGAGAGAGGATGAATGGAGGTCGATATTCCGTGGCGACGGTTCCCCGCCAGCAGGCATGCCATTCTGCCTGGACGGGGTCTCCTCATCCCTGTCCTACACCCTCCAGGCCAGGCAGTGATGTTCAAGCATACTCGTCACATCATCCACAACAGGGCATTCTTTCTCCTGCAGTCTCTCTCACATACCTTGTATTGTATACGTGACCCTACATGATGCAACAAGGAAGGGAGGAGGGCTGGTTGACGCCTGTGAGAGGGTGAATCATACGGCGGTCAAGCTTACTGCGTCTAAACCCATTTGTGTATATTCATCATTCTTGTCCCGTCGCACCGCCCTTTTCCACCCCACTGTCCGTTGCTGCATATTGTTACCGTCTCTTATCCTCTTTCGCCTTTCAGGTCCCATCCATCATCTTATACACACACACACACACACAGCATCGGCGTGCATGCCCAAGAAGCGTTGTCACACTAAGTCTGCTGCAAGTGAGATTTCAATCGGGCCCTTGGAAGGATATTTACCACTTGGCCCCCAAAAATAACGCTTCAGTGAAGCCTTTTTATTTCTCTCTCTTCCTCTTCCTCATCGTCCTCTGAAGTGCAATCCTTCTCACCTTACCGTTCTCCCTCCTACCAGGTATTTTCTATCTATCCCACTTGGCAGTATAGATAGCTGCACTAGTCCCGAGCCAACGACACGTAGCAACGGATATATATATATACACACACTCACACACTCACTCACTCACACACATACATACATATATATATATATCACATTATTGCGACCAGAACCGTCATTACTTGCCCAGAGAGATAGACTCTGGCTACACAATTCCATATTCTAACAACAACAACAACAACAACAACAACACCACCAAAAAAATGGGTTCTTCCAAACGGGCACCGCCTCCGGCCCCTCTGTACACCACCGACCCTACCCACGGCCAGATGATGGCATCACCAACCTCCTACGAAAGCGTAAGTTGTCCACAGCAGACTGATGTCTTTAGAGCTTCCTTTTCCCGTTTTCTTCCCCATTCTTTCCTTTTTTCCTTCTTCTTCTTCTTTTCCTTTCAGTATGTCGGACCAGTGCAGCGTGATTAACAATTTAAACAGCAGACACCCCGGACGGTTGGCGCAGGCCCCTCGAGCTCCCCTCGACACTGCCCGAGGACAGACTCCATGGACTCTAATGTGTCCACAAGCTCAACAGCCTCCCACCAGAACCGAAAAGTCTCCACACCCAGGAACGTGTATACCCACTGTGGGAGACACTCCGACCAGTACCTATTCGGCGGCTGGGGCGACGTCGTCAAGAACGTCTTTCACCACAGGAAGAACTGAGGGGCGGACAACAGGCTTGCCCGTCCTCGGTCGTGTTTTGGGTGGGGGTTAGTAGTACATGGAAAGAAACATAATGCTTGTGGATCTCGGAGGAGGTGGTGAAGACCGTGTCTCTCCCCTCTACGAGAATGATGAGAATGATGAGAATCAAAATAGGCATGACGAAGGGAGGAAGGTGGGGGCGTTTTCTGGAGGGGTTGAGTTTAAACTTTGGCTTTGACCAAGACTGTATGTATCTTCTCATCTTGGACGAAGGGCGTCGGGTGCAGATTATTCTATTGTTATGAGGTAACGAACTTTGTGAAGTTGGAAAACCCCAGGAGGGATGGTTATGACAAATAAGAATATTCTAGTAGCTTGTTGTATGAAAGCAATACCACTTATCAAGTAAACCACTATCTTCGTTCAAGGGTGTAATGATTGTTGGCTGTGACTTGGTTTCAGATCCCTTCTCGTCAACGACAGTCTTTTCCTACCATGATTGGGTGGTCTCCGAACTGACCTTAGAAATGCATCCCAACCCTTTGAATCTCTTGTCTCCAATTTCTTTCTTGCTTCTTTCTCCTTCTCTTTTTTTTTTTTTCTTTCTAAAATATATAGGTAGTCATAGACATATAAAGTTCTCTGACAGCTTCAGCACTTATCCACCCACCCACACAGTTTCTACACACACCACAGGGAATATATCTAGCTGCTACCATAGTATAGGGCTGAAACCATGCAAGATATAGAAAACAGAACAACCCTTTCAGAGCACTGCCACCCCCATCCTGGGCCTCGTGGTGCCCCTGGTGTATCCCTGCCCTTCGGGTCCCTGCACTAACTGCAAGTAGGTAGTAGAGTGGGCTTGTCATTCCCAGGTTCAAGCTCCCAGGAAACATTATGTTGAGCAAGCTTCAATTTCCAACGTTTGGCACGATCGACAGATATTGGACCTCCTTCCTTTCACTCACCCACTCCCTCAATTTTCTTCTTCTTCTGTTTCTTCTCTCTCTCTCTCTCTCTCTCTCTTGCGGCCAGGTTGACACAGTCCACACACGATGGCCTCCTCCAACAACGCCGGTGGCAGGCCCAGCAAGCCCATGTCGTCCGTCAAGAGGACCTACCTCGTCGCCTACAACGCCCTCTCCGCCGCGCTGTGGTCCGTCGTCCTCGTGACCACGGCACAGACTCTTGCATCCACGGGGCCCAAGGCGGTCTACCCTGCCGTCGGCGAATGGACAAAGTGGACGCAGACCCTCGCCGGTCTTGAGGTCGTGCACTCGGTACTTGGTGCGTCCTTGCGCTCTCTCTTCCCCCAACCCCCTCCCCTCTTCCTCTACTTGAGAGCACACCAAGAAAGAAAGAAAAAACGTCACCGTTGCCCAACACGGCAACCTCGAACAGCCTGACTGGCTTGGCTTGGCTGGCTAACTTGGCGGAAACCACCCCTTTCCTCCGCAGGCATCGTCCGCGCCCCCCTCGTCACGACCCTGATGCAAGTAGCCTCCCGCTTCGCCCTCGTCTGGGGCGCCGTCCACTCCTACCCGACAATCGCCACCTCCCCGGCCTACAGCTCCATGCTCCTCGCCTGGTCCACCACCGAAGTCATCCGCTACGCCTTCTTCGCCCTCTCGCTGTCGGGCCTGGCCGAACCCCCGTTGCTGCAGTGGCTCCGCTACAGCGGCTTCTACGTGCTCTACCCCGTCGGCATCTCGAGCGAGCTGTGGGAGCTGTTCCTCGCCTTTGGCATCGCGCGCGCCGAGCGCGATGTGCCCACGTGGGTCGTCATTGCTGTGATCATGGCGACGTACTTGCCTGGCGCCCCGAAGCTGTATGGGCATATGATGAGGCAGAGGAGAAAGGTCCTGGGCGGTGGCGGCAGCAGCGGCGGGAGGTCCAAGGAGGAGTAGATGAGGTTTTGTGCCACGAGGAGGAAACAGGAGCAACTGCGCACCCCCTTAGGAGCTGGAGCTTTCATACGGAGCGTCATGAGTTCAGTGGGTAGCCATATGGGAATAGATTTCTTGTCCAAAGAAAAGAAGAAGAAAAGAAGTGTCTTTATCTGCCGAACTCGGGTATATGGCTTGTTTGAACAAAACTTTCTCTCCCACGCGCCCCCTACACACCACTGAACCACCCTCTATCATACTCGAAACGTCTATATACAAATGTACTAGGGGAAGAAAGACAGAGAGAAGGAAAGAAAAAAAAGAATATCCCCGTTTTGATACGGGTGCAGATAACGCCGGATCCATCTCGCATAGGTTAACGGAAATAAATAACAAGTAGGGGGCCCATAGACACGACCAGGTACTTATGACAAGGGCGAGGCAGCATGGTCGCGAATCTCCCCCTCCGTACTGCTCTCGTACCAGTCATTCGTGGTCCACCTCGCAATCGTCTGCGCCGCGCTGTCGGCAAGCTGGTCGTAGCCAGGATTCTCTTTCGGCTCGAACATGGCTGCGTCGACACAAAAAAAGTTCAGTGTTAGTTGTCGTCATCCACAAAGAAAAGAAAGAAAAGAAAAGAAAGCAACTCACACATATGCGCCTCGGTCTCGTCAGCCGCGCGTTCATTGACCGCCTCCTCCCACCACCCGATGCGGTCCGGCCCGCCCTTCTTGCTGGGCAGGTTACAAAAGGTCCTCTGGCTCCCAATGACGGTGCCCACCATGTTGGTGCCGCCCATGCCCGCGACCTGCTGCTTCTTGGCGACGGCGCCCCGGCCGAGCCTCGTGTACAGGTTCCCGAACCCGACGCCCAGCTCCCTGTGGGCGCGCGCCATGTATGCCACGCGCCGGCGGAGCTCCTCCCCGCGGGCGAGGCAGCCCACGAACTCGAGGTGCGACGACACCCACATGAAGCCCTCGGTGAGCTGGTCGCGCTTCAGGTAGGCGGCCGCAGCACCGCCGGCGAGTGCCGCGCCCGCGCCTGCGTACAGCGCCATCTTGCCCCAGGAGCCCCAATTCGAGGCCGACGACGACTTGTTGCCGCTATTGCTGTTGTTGTTGTTGTTGTTGTTACTCCCGGCCTCACTCGCCTCGATCGCGGCGGCAGGAAGGGCCGCAACTGGTGTCTTCTCCGCAGCGCGCGCCCGGTCGGCGCTGGTGGATGAACTCCCGCTGGGGCTCCAGAGCGAGCTGAGGGTGCTCAGCTGCGCCATGGCGGCGCTGGCGGTGGAGTAGTGCGTCTCTGCGCCGTGGGCGACCACGCCAGGGGAGATGCCGAGGTAGGGAGTGTCGAAGCTCAGGACGGCCTGGACATAGGGGAACATGAGGCTGTTGAGGGGCACATGGTCGCCCTCGGCAGGGGCGGCGGTGTGGTTGCCGTCTGCGCCGGGTGCGGAGGAGACGGGCGGGATGACACGGTCCGAGGTGAGCGAGATGACGGTCTCGGCGGCGACGATGCCGCCCATGGAGTGGCCGCACAGGACGACGCGCACGCTGGGCTCGACGGTCGGGGAGGGTGTGCCCTTGGCGACCTCGAGATCGATGACCTTCTCCTGCAGCCAGTCGCGGAACCGGCTGACGCAGTCGGCGAGGTCGCCGCGGGTCTCGTACTTTGGGTAGACGAGGACCTGGATGTCGAGCTTGGGGAGGAGGGCCGAGAGCCGTTCGCGAAGGTCCTGGGTGAAGGCGTACCCTTGGCCAAAGGTCTCCTCACCCCCCTAGAAATGTTGGAGCAACCTTGTGGTCAGCTGCATCGTCGTTTGAGGTTGAGGAAGGGGTGGGCAAAACGGTAGGGTAGAGGGTAGGAGACAAGAACGTACCTTGAAGCCGTGGATGAAGCATAGCAGTAGCGTCTTCTTCATCTTGTGGGCCCATGGGCTAGACGAGAGACATGTAGGTTGGGATTTGAAGCCGATGGGTTCGTAGTTCAAGTACAAAGTTGGGGCTGTATTCGGGATCCCTGTGGCGAGGCTGCTATACTGTACCGCACCCCACCTACCGAAGCCCACGGTGATGTCACTCAGTGGGCTCCGTCGGTGCTTTAGGCCCCTGTTGCTCTGACCCCCTGGCCTCGGCCCCTGGTATGTCTAGCGCTATACCTGTACGTAGTATACTGCAGTTTTATTACTTCGGTACAGTACAACAGAGCCACCACCAATATATACTGCAGTATGTGCTATGGCGCCACATACCCAAAGCCATGCAGAGGAAGTATACACAGTCCCGCAGAATGCACCCCAGACAGAGAGAGTGAAGAGGATGGTACTGTATGGTCTGTGACCAAGAAATAAAAATAAAAAATGAACCAGTTCGTAAAGCTCGAATTGCTATGCATATAACTCGCCTTACCGTCGTGCGGACTAACTCGATGCTGCCAAGTCGAGTATTTCGTCTTTACATGGTCTATGATAGACAATAAACCATAAGCAGTCCTTTTGAGGTTCTTGTAGTTATTGTGTCTAGGTCGAATGAACTTTGAAAGGTTCTCATCTCCATCGCATCGCTCACTTCCCATACAACTTCAGCACCCTCACAGCATTTGCGCCCATCACACCCGTGGCCTCCTCCGAGCCCTCCCCCAGCGCCTTGGTCACCGCCTCGGCGTTTAAAGCCACGCTCTCCCACTCGCCGTCCTCGTCGCCTTCGCTGCCCCCCACTGGCGGGAAGAACGGGTGGTCTGTCCCGAACATGAGCCTGTCGGCGCCACCGCTCGCCTCGATCGCAGCCTTGAGCCCCACCTCGGAGTAGATGACAGCGTCCAGATAGACCTGACTCCGCAGCACGTCCCACACCGTCCGCCGCCCGGCAGCCACCTTCCCTTCCCCCACGAGCTGCCCGTCGTGCCGGACACAGCTCTCGATCCGCCCGGCCAGGAACGGCAGGGTGCCACCGCTGTGGGCGAGGATCATGCGAAGGGCAGGAACAGCGTCGAACACGCCGGCCAGGTACATGCGCGCCACAGCGATGGTGGTCTCCATGGGGAACCCCAGGGCGAGCGGGAGCACATGGCCATACTCGGCAGCGGCGCGGGGACCCCAGACCTCGTTGGGCAGGCCGTAGTGCGGGTGCAGGAAGACGGTGAGCCCCGCGGCGGCGAGGGCTTCGAGCACAGGCAACAGGGCTGGGTCGTCCAGCCCTTTTCCTAGGCCCGAGGTACCGAGTATCACACCGCGGCAGTAAGGAAGGGTGGTCAGGCGGGTCACGGCGGCCTGGACAGTGGCGAGAGGGGCGGTCAAGGGCAGGGCACCGAAGAAGTAGAGGCGGCCTGGGTGGGCGGCGCACATGGAGCTGAACTCGGCGTTGACGGACTCGGCGGCGGGACCGGACTCGGTAGGGCTCAGAAAGTCCAGCCACGGGTTGGCGAGGGAGATGACGGAGATGTCAATGTGGTGAGTGTCCATGAAGTGGATCTTCTGGTCGAGGGAGGAGTAGTGCTTGGTGAGTGGTCTCCCTGGTGGCCTGGCGGTCGCAGAGGACTCAGCGCCGGCCAGTGACGGCACCTCGGCCTCGAGAAGAATGAGGCGCGGGTTTGGGGAGCTGGGGAAGTTCAGTACCAGAGGAATCGTGGACCTGGAGGAGAGGATATCGACATAGAAGGGAGGGTACATGTGGGTGTGGATATCCACCACTTTTGGGGTGGTGGCAGAGGAGGGCTGAGCCATGCTGAGGTCTGTAGAATGCAAGTCGTAATTGAGTGTCTGGCTCGTGAAGAGAGGGGGGATATTTGGGCAAGAGGGAAATAATAAAAGAAATATTGCAGGGTTGTTGTCTGTACGGAAGAAGGAAGGTACACAATACAGAAGGTACAGTAGTAGTACACCAATAAATGGCAAGCATGGTCAGCACTTTACAAGCATGCCTTCCCAAGCATCTGCTGCCGGTATAGTTCGACATGTACCCCGCCATAAATGATGCCGCCCCTCCTCCGTCTCCAGCTGCACTTGCACTTTTCATGGCAACCCCACGTCGTACCACTCGTAATGAAAAGCTTATCTCTTGGAAGGAACCAGCCGACAACCGCAGAACAGCACCGACACAGTCGACGCGGCCCTGACGATCCTTATCAACAAAATTCCGCTCTGCCGCCTGTGGCAGGTCTGGACCCTTTCTTCCCTTAAACTAAGTAGTATATCATGCTATTACTATCTATCGACTTATCGACTAGTAGACTCTACCAAATATGAAGTCGCCCATGCCCCATGCACCATGATTCTCTCACTTAATCACTCAGATAAATAAGAGGCCAGCATATCCCAACCTTACCCCCCTCTTGAGACGCGACTCGTTGTTGTGCTCATGCTTAACACTTGTCTATTATCTATTTCTCTATTTTTCCTTACAAAATTCTGAAAGAAAAAAAAAAGACATCAAAACAATGGAGAAGGCTGCTGTTGACGAGCAGGGTCTCATGATCCCAGTAAGTGTGCCCCGAGAAAGAAATAGAGACAGAGACAGAGACAGCGACAAACCTCTTCTACCCATCTCGGCCTCACCAAATACTCATCTAAATAACGTCCTCCCTCCCTCTCCTTCTAGCTCATCGACTTCTCCAAGTTCCTGGAAGGTACCCCAGCCCAGCGCAAAGAGACTGCAGACGCCATCCTGCGTGGGTTCCAGACGGCAGGCTTCATCTACCTGAGCAACCTGCCCATCACGCCCAGCTTGCGCAAGCACGTTTTCGACACCTCAGCCAACTTCTTCCAACAGCTCACCCTGGACGAGAAGCTCGCCCTCGGCTGGACCACGCCCGAGGCCAACAGGGGCTACTCGGCCCCGGGCCGTGAGAAGAACACCCAGCTGACCGACGTCAACGAGGTGGCCAAGCTGAAGGAGGGCAGCCCGGACATCAAGGAGAGCTTCGAGATCGGGCGCGAGGCCGACCCAGAGTTCACCAACCAGTGGCCCGACGAGGCCGCTCTGCCCCAGGTCGCCGGCTTCCGCGACATCATGGTCGACTTTCACGAACGCTGCCGTCGCATTCATGTCGAGGTCATGCGCGCCATCGCCGTCGGCATCGGCCTCGAGGACGAGGGCTACTTTGACTCCTTTGTCGACGGTGGCGATAACACCCTGCGCCTCCTCCACTACCCGGCCGTCAAGAGCGAGGTCTTCCGCGTCAACCCAGGCCAGGCCCGCACAGGCGCCCACTCCGACTACGGCAGCATCACCCTGCTGTTCCAGGACTCCGCAGGCGGGCTGCAGGTCCAGAGCCCCAGCGGCCAATTTGTCGATGCCACCCCGATCGAGGACACCTGCGTCGTGAACGCGGGAGACCTGCTGGCCAGGTGGAGCAATGACACTATCAAGAGCACCATCCACAGGGTTGTTGAGCCGCCCAGAAAGGCCGACGAGCACCCGGCACGGTATTCTATTGCGTGAGTAGCCCATTCCTCCTCGTCCTTTGTGTTTGATCTACTATGATTATAATCATTGTAGAGAATGGATGAAGACGAGAGAGAGAGAGAGAGATAATCTTACTGACTGGTACCACCAGGTATTTCTGCAACCCCAACTTTGACAGCCAGATCGAGGCCATCCCTGGAACGTATGCGGGAGAGGCGGACAGGAAGTATGAGGGGGTCAATACCGGCGAGTATCTCGTGAAGCGGTTAGCCGCGACATACTGAGGCAGGTGATTGGTATCATGTTGCTCTCTTTCGTGCTCGATGTATATGTGATACAGTAGTTGAATCACGCAAGTGTCCTCTGCTGTTGGTAGGATCGATGTTTTGTTTTGACCAAAAAGCCTAATTTGGAGTGTATGGAGATAATACGAATGAATGAGACATGACATGACGGTCAGATAGTGATGATGTCCTGCAACGTACTGTGAACTGTTACTCATCTGTAGGTCGTCGTCCCCCTTCTCATCCTCTTATACAAACATAATTCCGTATAGAAAGTGTCTCCGCTGCACCAAGTGGAGTGGATCATCTGGTCAGTGTCTGGTTCACATATTGGACTGGAAGGCCCACCTTTTTTTTCCTTTCCTCGTCCCCTGTCCCCTATTCTTTACCCTTCCTTTTCTTTATTATCCTCTCTAAATCACACAAAGTTGTCAAAGCTGCAGTTAGGCTGAATGCTGCTGCCCGTATGGAACCTTGCTCAAGTCGTGACATAACACTAGAGGGGTACTCATCATTAAACGATTGTCTACTCACCCACCTGCTCTATCCAAGATTTCCTCAACCTTTTTTTTTTTTTTTCACACACAAAAAAAAGAAAAGAAGAAACCACACTCTCGTAAGCAATCTAGCCTTGTGTGAATTGATTTTCTTATGTCAAGCTGAAGTCATTCTGAAGCAAATCCAGATTGGTGTGCAAGGTCTCGAATGGGCAGGCGGAACAGGCCGAGATTACATAAGCACGTCAACCTCACTCACCCAAGGCCGCCACCAAGCCTTCAAACTTCATCCTCACCAAACCCAAACAAAAAAAAACAGTCCAACAAACAACCTTCGATCTCCCAACCAAGTCAGGGTAACTCAAAAGAGGGGAGAGAAAAGGACCCTGTAAAAAATCAACCCAACAAATCCTTTTTCCTCAAACAAGCTCAAGAGGATGAGCGACTCAGCAGCCCTCAACCTGCTCCTCGCAGCAGCCAAAGATGCCGCCACCCGCGGCGTCGACTACTACGCCCTCCTGGACCTGGACCCCTCATTGTCCTCCACCACCGCCGACAACAATAACAGCAACAATGGCGAGCCCCTCACGCGCGAGACGGTCCAGCGCGCCTGGCGCAAGCGGTCGCTCCGGTACCACCCCGACAAGGCGGGGGCGAACTTCGACAAGGAGAAGTGGGAGGAGTTTGGTCTGGCGCGGGACATCCTGGCATCGGACGAGGCGCGGGCGGCCTACGACGGGGCGCGGTCGGCGGTGGTGCAGAAGCAGCGGGAGAGGGAGCTCATGAACGCCAAGCAGCGGCGGTTCGCGGAGGAGCTGGAGCGGGCGGAGGGGCGGAGCAGGAAGGCGGCGGAGGAGGACAGGGAGAGGCGGGCGGCGGACGAGGCGGAGAGGGGCCGGCAGGCGGCGCAGGGGCGGGCGTACATGGACGAGAGGAAGAGGAAGATGGCCGAGGCGGAGGAGAGGGCGAGGGAGAGGGAGAGGATGGAGGATGATGCGAGGGAGGACAGGATCCGGGAGCTGGAGGAGAGGATTGCGGAGAAGGCCAGGCGCAAGGTGGAGAAGAGGGCCAGGAAGAAGGGGAGAGAGAGCGGTGTGGCTGTTGTTGTGGGCGAGGATGGTGATGTTGACATGCTATCTGAGCAGCAACAACAACAACAGCGGCCTGCTGCTGCTGTGCCTGCATCTCGACCAAAGTCAATGGCTGAGCAAAAGGCGGCGCCCATTCCAGCGGTGGACATGCAAATGTCGGACGATCCAGTCGGATTCTGGGACACGCAGTGGCCCAAGACGAAGGCGAGGCTACTTGCTGCCCAAAGAGCAAAGGAAAGCCGTGTCAAGGAGGCGCAGGCAGCAGCTTAAGTGGTAGGGCAGGTCAGGGGGGTTTCGGTTCTTTTGCTCTTCTCATGAATGATACCCATACAGAATCTATACAAAATCAACCAGTATAAGATACACGTCATGGTTGGCCATGTCCACTGTTCTGCTCGTCCAGCCTCTGCCTCAACCAGTCGGGCACAAAAGCCTTGATCTTGACCTTGGAGGCCCCACCCTCGCCATCCTCCCCAGGCTGCGTCTCCATCACAAACTCGCCAGCAGGGTTGTAGCTCGCAGCGGCCGTCTCGCCCGGCAGGACCACATCCGTCATGATCTCCAGGCGACACAGCGCCAGCCCGACATTGCCCACACCGCGCAGCCACTTGCCAGCGCTGCGGCCCTTCTTCTCCAGCCGGCCGATGCTCGTGTCCACGGGGATGGAGGACGCGTCCACGGGCCCACCAGCCCTGTACTCGAGCGCCTGCGGGGCTGCTTCTTCTTCTTCCTCTTCTTCTTCTTCCTCCTCCGCGCCGTACACCACGACGGGCAGCACCCGCTTCCGCACCACGCCCCTGTGCTTGGTCCGGATGGTCAGCTCCTGGCCCACATAGCAGCCCTTCCGGAAGTCGATGCCGCCCATGACGTCCAGGTTCCCCTCGAGCGGCAGCGCCGTCTCCCGCAGCAGCTCCTTCTGGCCCTCGGGCACGCCCAGCAGATAGCGGCGCACGCGGTACACATCCTCCTCCTCCTTGTCCCCGCCCGCGGCCACCCGCGCCAGGTCCACCAGCGGCTCCCGGTCCCCGGCCTTCACCATGCGCCACCCGAGCCCCGGCGCGCGCGGGTCGCGCATGTGCACGAGCCGGTGATAATCCTCCACTCCTTGGCCCGCCGTCGCGTCCAGCGCCGCGCGCCCGTCCTCGTCCCAGGCGTGCCACACCGTCGCCTCCTGGCGGTCCAGCAGGCGCACCGTGAACTTGGCCCGCAGCTTGTACCGCTTGATGTGCCGCTCCAGGCGGGCGGCCTCGTCGGCGTCGACCTCGACCAAGAAGCTCTCGCCTGGCGCGGCGGCGGTGGCGGTGGTCGTTGTGGCAGTAGGGTTCAGGCTGCTGCGGGTGTCTGGGTAGATGAAGACGTCGTACAGCACGCGGCCTGTGGCGGTCAGAAAGGCGCCGTAGAAGCCGTCCGTGCGGATCTTGTGGGCCGTGCTGGCGCTGCCGGCTTGTGGGGCGAGGATGTTTTGCGTGATGACGCCCTGGAGGAACTTGGGCGCGTCGGGGCCTGAGATGGAGAGGAGGCGTCTCGAGGAGAGTGCTATGAGTCCTGAGGACGGTGGTGGTGGTGGTGCTGCTGCTGCTGCTGCGCGAGATGCGGTGCTGGTGCTGCTGGATGTAGATGAGAATCTTGATCGGGCCGCGGCGACTCGTGTCTGGCAGCTCGCGCACACGAACCCTGGCGACGATGAGGCTGGGCGCGCGAGGCGACTTGGCAGAGCCATGCTGCTTGGGCGCATCTTTTTTTTTTTCTTTTCTTTTTTTCTTCCCCCAAGTGAGTGTGGAAGGCGTAAAGAGTGTTGGGATGAGTTGTTGTTGAAGGTGAAGATTAGTCAAGTTGATTTTGGAGCCGAGTTGAAAATGACGTCGCAGCCGGAGACTCCGAAATCCCCGATGCCTGTTATGGGGAGTTTGAATACTACAACCTGTCAACGTCTCCCGTCTTTTCTGTTCCCCCTTCTTCTTTTTTCCTCTTGATGAAAAGAAAAAGCTTGAAAAAGGTAATTGTAAAATCAAGAGTGTATTATTACTAGAAAGACTGGGAAATGAGGATTTTGGAAGGTTTCCCGGTAACACGAGTGGTGTTGTGCAAGTAATCAATGCTCTGTCCGAAGGGCACAAGGCTCCATTCATCATCTTCTTCCGAGTTTGTCTCTTTGGTATAAATACCACCCTGTTGGCACTCTAGTTATATTGTCTCTTGATTAATTACATACACAGCTAGACTTCAAGCTGGCTATGCAACGGGAATTGATCAATAGGCAAATATAACACGACTGGGCATAGATAAAGAAAGGAATGCGGTTGTGGCAGCTTCCTGGCAGTCTCTGGGAAGATTGGCAGGAAATACAGGACCCTTCATGGCAGATGCGGCAGAGTATATCTTAGAAAGACAATGAGCTCATAATGAATGCATGTATGATCGTGTTCAAGATGGTCAGTGGCCATGTTGGACAAGCTGAAACTTTCGTCCTTATAGAAGGACCCTATTGTTTACACTATGAGAGATGGTCATTAAGACCTGAGGAATGGGCTTGGAATGAGCGAGCCTTGCTACTACAAGACATTTAGTGCTGAGGTTCACAAAGGTAGAGCGAGGGTGTGTGCAAAAATCATATTGTAATGCACAATCACGATGTGAAAGATTCCAGACAAAGCCCGAGAGCATTTCGTTTTCTTGAAGTTATTATCTAGCTCTTTCCATTCATCCAAGCTGCAATCATTACTTTTATGTATGCGTATAAACGTATTGTGAGCCCAAAGAAGGCCTCATATCCCTTCAGCCAACCGTTTCTCAGATTTATTTACTGGTCTTTCGGATCGTATCAAATCACATTTTGAAACTGGCTGTCTCGTGGTAGGCTCAAACAGAGCCTTTCGTGCTAGCATGCCCCTCCCATGTTCCAGGCCCATATACATATCCTGTGGTACTCTCCAACTATGTACTGCCCGGTAATGGGCTATTAAATCTCATAGGGCCACGACGGTGGCCCCCCATTGTTGTGGCCCCTACTGGGCTGGGCCGAGCCGAGCCCGCTTGGCAGCACGAGGCTCAACGTCGTCCTCGGTCAGGTCGATAAACTCAGCTGCCCGCCGCCGAGTCGCCGTTGGGGCTTGAGCTGGCTGATTGAAAACGGGCTGCTGAGCTGCCGCCTGACCGAGAAAAGACTGCTGCTGGGCCGCCATCTGGTGGAAGCCAGGGTGGGGAGGGCCCGCCGGCTGGTAGTGCTGCTGCCGCTGGAACGGTTGCAAAAACGGCATCAGTGGCTGCAGAAAAGGCTGGAATTGCTGAGCCATCTGGGCCTGCTGGGCTGGTTGATATTGCTGCTGGACAGGCTGAGGTCGAGGAGCCTGCTGATATTGGTGCTGGGCTGGCTGGTACTGTTGATAATACTGGTGAGGCCATTGCACTGACTGAAAATTATGGGTAGGCTGGGACTGATGAGGCAACTGAGGCTGCTGCTGATACTGCTGCTGCTGATACTGCTGCTGCTGATACTGCTGCTGCTGATATTGTTGCTGCTGATGCTGCTGCCGCTGAATTTGATGGAACTGCTGCAGTGACGGCTGAGCCTGATGAACAACAGGTTGAGACTGAGCGACTGGCTGGGACTGATGAGCGAGGTAGGATTGATGAGCAAGGTACTGTGCCTGCTGAGGACTCTGTGCATGCTGAGGAGGTCGGCTCTGGGTAGGCTGAGGAGAACAATATTGCTGCTGGACTTGTTGGAATGGCTGAAACTCCTGAACCGGCTGAGGCTGCTGCTGAACCTCCTGTGCGGCGGGTGATTGCTGAACCTCTTGTGTGGCGGGTGATTGCTGATCAGGAGGAGTCGTAGCAGCAGCAGCGTCACTGACGGAGCCGGGGGCCCTGCGCTTGTCCTGACCCTTGCGTCTCTTTTCCTCCATCTTGACGACCTTGTAGAGAAGTGTCGAGAACCCGAGCAGGATCCTGCGAGGACAAGAATTTAGCAAGATGAAGAAGCGCAGAGCAGGTAGAATAAACACGAAATAGCATAAAAACAAAACCGCCATGCTCACTTTGTAGAGTCCATGCCAAAAGTGACAGACCTGCAGCCCTTCAGCTTGTGCGCCGGCCGCTGGAAGAACAAATTGCCCCAGTTCTGGTCAACGAGCAGCGCATGTGAGACCTTGACGATCTTCATCTTCCACTCGTCGACGAGCTCGGTGTCGATGCGGATAGAGTTGCCCGGGGTTTTGAGGTACGACTTGATCTTGCTGACGACAGACTGTCCGCGAGACATGTCAAGGCCGAGCTGCAGGAAGCAGTCCTTCATGTTGACCTTGGTTTCTACGGCAGATTAAAAAATGCTTGTTAGTATGTCTTACCAAAGAAGACCTGTGGGAAGGGGGCAGGGAAGAATAAAAGGTGAGATGGATACTTACGCAGGACCACGTTCTTAGCCAAAAGTTTGAAATCAGGCTTCTGGCTGTGGTTGGACTGGTATCTCTTGGGCAGACCATCTTGGGCTTCCTTTGAGCCGTCCTGCTTCTCCTGGGCCTGTGTCGCGGCGCTCTCCTTCTGCTGTGCTCCTTGACTAGGCTCACATTCTTGTTCGGATGCACCGTCCGCAGCTGTAGAAGAATGAGTATGGGGGACGGGTGCCTTGGCTCTGGTGCCTGCGCTCTCAGACATAAGTTCCTCAAGCACGTTATCCAACGCCTTGAGACCTTTGACCGTGCCTTGAAAGGCCTTGGTACCTGAAACCTTGCCTTTAGCCTTGGCTGGAGGCTTCTTCTTCTTGGGGACATTGTCCTTGGCAGTTACGCTGGCCGACTCACCCTTGGCGGTGGCAGCGTCAGACTTGTCGGCAACTTGCTTTTTCTTTCGCTTGGGTGCCTTGTGTCCTTCGTCTTGCTTGGCCGACTTCTTCTTCTTTGCAGCAGCAGTAGATGACAGCTTGCCTTCTCCGCTGCCAGACGCCGCAGAGGTGGAACTCCCCACAGGATGAGGCGCGGGAGTATCAAGAGAAGGAGAGCTGACTGCACTGTCTGTTGAAGCTTGCCGCTGTTCGTCATTGGAAGGTGAGGTGGGAGTGGCAGCGTTCTCATGAAGAGAGGATTCGGCAGAAGGGGTAGCAGTAGTACCATTGGCCTTGTCAATTTCTTCAAAAGCCGCATTGAATTCGGCATGAAACTCGTCAGAAAGACCGCCATCGCTGGCGGTAGTTTCATCTGGTTGCTGTTCATGACTGGCATTCAAAGCCTGTTCCTCAAAATTGTTGGAGGGGGAGGCGTCGCCATCGTCAGCGGTATTGCCAGCAGATTGCAAGTCGCGAATAGCTTGCATACACTGGTCCTCGAAGTCGTCTGGGAAGCCGATGTCGAGGTCATCTTCTAGTTGTTGCTGCTGAGGCTGCTCCTGCTGGATAGCAGGATTCACGTCGGCAGCGGCATTGCTAGCAGGCTGCACGTCGCGAATAGCTTGCATACACTGGTCCGCGAAGTCATCTGGGAAGCCGATGTCTAGAGGGTCATCCTCTTCTTGTTGCTGCGGCTGCTGCTGCTGCTGCGGCTGCAGAATAGCAGGATTCACGTCGGCAGTCCCCTCATGCGTGAGGCCAAGAGACTCCAACCACTCGGCTTCAGTCATATTATAAACGTCGTCGATGTCGTTCGCGTCGTCCTCCTGGAAGGGACGCCACTTTTCAAACGTGCCAGCCTTCCACTCGTCGACGGCCTGTTGGCGGTGCTTCTCCTCAGGGTAGTAGTCCCAGATCAGGTCCTGCTCCTTGTCATTGCGGTCCCAGATTTCTCGAGTGCCCTTGTAGGGATCAATGTACTCGACAAGGTCGGGCACGTAGCCAGGCTGGCGCGTCGGCGCGTCGTCGTCCCAGACGATCTCGAGGTCGTATGCCTTGCTGCGTCTCATTCTCGTTCTCTGGGCCTGCTGCTCTGGGGTAGTAGTAGTAGTAGTAGTAGTAGTAGTAGTAGTATGGTTGTTGCTAGAAGAAAACATGTTACTGCTGTTGCTGCTGCTGAAACCAGCTGATGGTGATGATGATGGTATCATCTTGTTGTTTGTTTGGATCAAAGATGAGAAAATGGTATGAGTGATCAGGATGTAGGTGTGTGATTGTGACAAAATGGTCAGGGAGAGAGAAGCTCGTGTGTCTGAATGTTGAATCTCCTGGCACAATACAAGCATGAATTGGTAGAGAGAGGGAGAGAAGGGGAGAGAGAAACAGTTGTTGGTGCTGAACAGACGAAACAGCAGAAGAAAACTGCAGATGCCTGAGCTTGCTAGGCTTCCAGGTCATTCCATCGATCGAGAGACAACAGGAACACCGGGGTTGCAGTGGCTGGTGGAATGGCTATTGTTCATAATGTATTGCCTAATGATTTATTCTCAATTTCTCACTTATACAACAGCAAGCACCAACTTCACTCTAAATTCGTTGTTGGCTAATGGTTATTTTTGCTCAATTTCTGTTTAGCACAGCACACAGTAGGGCAGTCTAACTACCTAAGTAGATAATAGGGCGGTTGGCGAACAACAACATTGCGTTCCTTCCTGTTAATTCACACTGGCCTCAGCTGCTGTGAAGCAGAATGAAGCACCTTTAATTCACAGGGGGTTTATTCGCAGGCTCACCTGAGCTGATCAAACGACACTGTGACTGTCCACGATTTTCCTTGAAGCATGAGATTATTGTGTTGTTCATTCTCTAGCAGGAGACCTGCATTTTGTTTTCCCGCTATGCTGGTCTCCTTCTTTTTTGGACTCCTTTTGGGATTGCGTACTAGGGCACTTAGTAGCCATTAGGCCTCAATAATGACGGGTGGACAATCTAGGCGAGATAGAAACCTCGACATTGGCATCTACTATCAGCACACATTCGACAACCGCATCGTGCAATAGCAAAACATCCATTGAGGTCGTTCTCGCACGTGATGATGCTCAGATGCGCTCATCTCCACCAAAGATCTGATGAAACGTCGTGTGTCCTTCCGTTCTAAGCCCGTTCGGGCGTCGGCCCTCAGCCTTGTCCCGTGTGGAGGTGGAGCCCGTTTCTTGTCAGCCTTGTCTAAGCTGCGGGCCTATACCGGGGGGGGGGGGGTATAACCTGGTGGTAGTAGGCTAAAAATCCAGGACTAGATTGCATGGCACTCATTCCTAGCTTTGTGGGATTATATACCATCTCTATTTGGGTAGATGAGGAGAAATCATGGCCTTGGGAAAGCGGACCAGAGCCAAGGAGATCGGGATTGTGCGAGGGCCAGTGGCCAGCCAGCCAACAGCCAAGCCTGTTGATAGCCTCAGATAGTTCGGCCTCATGATTTTTCCTCTTTTCTCTTTCCTCTTCAGCGCATTGCAATATGAGCCCTTTTGCCCTCGCATAGGGATGCTACGAAAGATCCAATGGAGACCTGATCATCAATGCGCCGCCGTTATCCTACATTGCGTGTAGATGTCCTGGAAGACACGAAAACATCCAGATGCGATTGGGAATATTGGGGAAGACTGTTGTGATTGTTGAGGCCATGACGCTCGCCCCATCTACCTACTTCTCGGCTGGGGTCTGAGGGTGTGTAGAAGAGACAAAACACCATGATTATAAAACAATATATACAAAACGGAAAGAAATGCTGTCCCTCAAGGATGACACTATGCATATAAGACCTCGCCACCCTCCGGCCCCTCCGACCCTCCTTTCAACTCCCCGAACCCTCCAGAATCCCTCATCCTCCTATCTGTACCTCTTTTCCCGGCTTTTTTTCTTCTTCTTCAACGGTAATGTCGCAACCAAGTCGATCAGAAGTACGAGCGCCTGATCTATCGTGTATCGGGGCCATTGTTGAAGGTGCCGACATCTTGATTGGCCCTAGAAAAGGGTTTGATCATTCGCTTGCTTTCTGTATATCACAGATGGTTGTCGGGATTCGAGAGTAATTAAACTTAATATTCCATGTCGTATGTCTGTAGTCAGACGGAGAAAAAAAGAGAAGAAGAAGAAGAAGAAGAAGAAGAAACAGAAATGAATGGGAACATGAAAGAGAACAAGCAACTGGGACAATGTCGATTGCTCGAACAGGTGGTCTCAACAATGGAAGGAAAATCAAAGTCTTCAGCCTGGATCCGAAATATAACTCAAACTCCTGACCTTTTTTGGAAACCCTTTGTCGGTCGCCCGAACTATGCACCTCTTTTAAGAGAAATCAGATAGAAAAATTCTTGCAGACGAAATTGTGTAGGTTCAAGCTGCCAAAGGGGGTATCTCGAATTGACGTCGGCATAGTAAAAAGAGGGAAGCGAGTGATGTTGTTTGGTAATGCGAGCCGACTATTATATTTGAGCGTGGGTCGGCGTTCTGTAGGTACAAACATTGTAGAGTTCTGCACTGCACTTAGAGCCCAGAAGGCCCAGGGGATGGGCGCTGGTTATCTTGTTGCTCCCTAGCCCCGGTCGCCCAGCCTGTCTCGTGTGGTAGTCTGCTGTATTGTGGTGGGAATTGGGTCTGAAGAGGCGGTTGTTGCGAGGGCTGTGGTCCAAAGCCTCCAGGCGTCGTCTGAGCTGCGGTTGGAGAGGCACCGGGCTGGTCGAAGCGTAGCGGAGGGAGTCTCGCGCTTGGAGGACCAGAGGTCACAGGTGTGGTAAGCCCCTGGGTGACGATGGGAGGCAAGGTGCTCGTCGGCTGCTGGGCTGATCGGATAGGATACAGAACAGATTCGAAATCAGCTGCAGGAGGGTCTGTCCGTCGCCGTCGTGTCGGTCTTTCCAGGTCGCCGGAATACGGTGGTGGATGCTGCTGCTGCTGCTGCTGCTGCTGCTGCTGCTGCATCATTGGAGATGGAGAGGCAGCCGTAGGAGGATTAGCGCCGACGGCGAAAGAGCTTGCAAAGGAGGCCTCTGCAGGCCGTGCCGGACTGGGCGCAACATGCGCAGAGCGAGGGCTTGGGGGCCCACGCTCTGCATGCTCCCTGATCTCCGGAGTCCGCAGGACAAGCTCTCGCAGTCTGTCCCTCTCGCTGCGGTAGAAGTCAGATTCCGCCTGTAGCTCCTGGGCAAGCCTGCTCACTTCCCTGTTCTCGGCCTCCAGACGTTGCAGGGTCTCCCTCATGTCCTTGTCCCGCTCTTTCTTCCGAGCTCGAAATCTTGCAGAGGCACCCGCATTACGGTGTCGCTTCTCGTCAGCCTGTCTCGATCCCTGGTGAACGTCCAGTGGCACCGTAATATGTTCGCCGGTGTTCGTCTGGAGCGTAAGATGAGGCTGTACCTCGGAGCCTCGAACACCCGCCCCGCTGGTGTGTAGGGCACTGAATATAGCGGTTGACAGGGCTGCGTCTCCAGAAGGACCACTTGGTGGTGAATAAGCCGCAGACCTGCCCTGAGGGAGTCCATACTGCCCTTGCGGATATGCAGGAAGGCCCTGCGGGCTTCGTCCAGCTAATCCAGCCGGCGAAGCAGTCGGGGGAAACTGGAAGGTGGGCGCGCTAGAATAAGCGGGCTGCGAAACAGAGCGAGCTGTCGCCGTCAGAGGCGCGACAGAAGTAAGTGGAGTGGTCCGTGGAGATTGCTGAGACACGCTCAAAGGGGTGCCTGGGTACGAAGGGGCATCTTGCGGCGCACCAGGTCGACTCAGTGCAGGCGGTGGAATTCCAAGTGGCGGCTGGGGGTCGGCATAGCTTGACGGCGTTGCAGAGCGACTGAAGCTTGGTGGCCTGGGAGATCGCGGCGTCAAGATCCTCCTCGTAGCACTCAGCGCTAGATGCGTTGGTCGGACGGGAGTCGGCGAGCCATGCTGGGCAAAAGGTGGCACTGAAGTAGCCGGAGGAGGCGCATATGCTGCTCCTGGTCCTGCTCCTCCCACTCCTCCCCCTCCTCCTCCTCCTGCTGCTGATGCTGCTGCTGGAGGTCCGCCATAGATAGGCCCAGGTCCATAAGCTTGGTATGGCGATCCAGAAACACCGTACTGCCGCGTACCTGTGCTGGACGGCGAGCTGCCGCCCTCAAGAGGTCGTTGTACGGATGACGAGGGGCCAGCATGCTGCTCTCTCGAGTCGGATGGGTTCAGGATCGTGTGGACGCCAATCGTCCTGGGAGTAGCTTGTCGCTGCGGCTCGTGGACTGGGACATGCGGCCGGCCTCCAGGATCTCGGGACAGGTCAGCTCCAACGTCATTGTGCGAACGTTGTCTTGGCAGCGTGGAGGGGGGCGAGGCGTGAGCACCTGTTGACTGCGCATAGGAGCTGGAACGAGAAGGCGGGCGAGAGGTAGGACCCCTATGCGACATCGAGACCTTTTCGCCTTCGCGTTGAGGATCCGGCGAGGCCGGACATTGACCACCGCGCTCGTCCTTCAGTGACGGGCGGGACACCGGCTCGAAACCAACGCCAGTCGGACTGCCCCAAAAGCGCGGTGAATCAACTCGGCTCGTCTCAGTGGCTCCGTGTGTCCTGGCTGGAAGTTCCTGGTTGTCTCCGTCAAGCCGGCCCCTCGAAGGGTTGGGAGGACACCAGGGCAGAGATTGGACAGCCAGGGCGAAAAGAATATGCGAGAACCGTCTTGTGATGCGTGACTGTGCTTGTTGAGTTTTGAATTACAGGGTCGGCCGCCGTCTCACTGGTCATACGGAGGGCAGTTTCGTTTGACCAAGATGCAGTCACTGCTGGCTATCGGCGGGTTCAAGACGTCTCGAGATGTTGCAGGATTATGGAGAACCGAAGTCCCAGCGAGCGTGTCTGCTGCCGTACCGAGTAGAGAGCAGTCTATCCTAGTTGGTGGTGGCTACTACCCTGGTCTTACAGATGAGGATATTGAGAGGGAGACGATGTTCGATCGGAAATGCCCGTTGCTGGGTGGGCAGTGGCACTGGTTGTCGGCGGCTTGCTTCAAATATTAGGGACCACGATCTGTAGACGATGCGAAGTGAGTTTAGATGAAGTGGAAAGAAAAAGAAGAAAAAAAGGCTGACGAGTTCGACACGGGCGTGTAAAGAAGATTTGGGAGGAGCACCAGTGAAAGTGACTGGCAAGGTTAGGTGCATGGCGTAGACCAGTCACGTTCTTTATGACAGGCCTGAAGCATTGAATGGCCACCTCATACAAACCCCTTCCACACTAGATAGGGTCGGAGCGTGGATGGGTGGCCCTGAGCCAAGTGTTTCTCGCACTTCCAGTGGTGTGAAATGTTCTCTAAAGTATACTGGGTTGATAAGAAGTGGGGAGAAGGGGGAGAGGGGGCATGAGCATGTATACAGTAGGGAAAAGAGACATGAGAAAAAGCATGACGCATTATCGTGGGGCTCGGTCAGGCGAGAGAGATCGAATAAAGCACGCTGTATGGCTCAAGAGACTCACTGGGATTCTGGACAGTCTAAGTTTCCCTCGAAGGAACGGAGTCGCATGTCATCTCTCTCTCTCTCTCTCTCTCTCTCTCTCTCTCTCTGAGTGTGTGTTGTCCGAAAAGGTCGCCGATCCGGTCTGCGTGAGCGACACTGGAGCTTATCTCCACTTCTGCATCCAACAAGGTCAGACAGGCTTGCTGTCCATCTCGTGGGGAAAGATGTGAATAACAAGAGAAGGGAAATGGGACTAAAATATCTCCGTGGGTACTCCTGCCTTCTGTATGTTATTGGTTTTCTATTACTCCCGGCGCGCTATGGTACTGGCTTGCAGGTGATGGAGCAATACGGTGGAGCTACCAGACCCGAGGGTTTCTGGGTCTCTGGGAGCCGGGGTGTATACACACAGGGTAGGGTCGCCCATGCCTTTGAGTGGATCCCATCTGCGGATGCTGCGATGGTTGGAAAGCTGGTGAAGCTAATGCTGAGTGATGTCCCGGAAGTCTCTGGTTCATCCTGCTGACCCGACAGTGCTCTGCTTGATTGTATGACACTTTCCCTGGCCTGCCCAGATCTGAACACTGATCCGAAGGCTTCTGGCGGATTCCCAGAAAGGCCTCAGAAGAGAGCCACTCGCAGGCGACTGGCTGGCTTGGCTGTCGGCTATGCACGAGGCGATAGTCCAAGATACATAGGAACCGGCAGCCATCAGGGAAGAAGACCCAATGTTGTGGTCTGCTGGGGGCTTTCTAGGCCGGGCTGTTGTCAAGGTACCTACCTGTACCTACATGGCACCTCGCACTCAATTCGCTGACTGGAAAACGGGAATAGGATTCTTTCGAAGGGGGGGGGGGGGGTGGCACCCCGGCTGTGCTTCCCCAGCAGCCATCGGCCTTCCAGATGTCAAAGCGGAGTCTGACAGGTAGCTGTTGACCAGTTGGGCCATCCAAGTTGCAACCCCAAGCTGTTGACCAAAGCATCCTTTTGACCCTTGCCAAAATGACAAGCATAGACGATTAAGCGACGTGTAGGAATTCAGATCCAGGGAGGGGGGTCGTTCCCGACTGATTTGAAAACTCACGGCAGGCATCCGTCTATAGAGAGAGTGATTGCAATTTTACATAGTGTCAAGTCAGGTCCTGGGGGCTGAAGCGAGGGGAATGTGGCAGCCTGCTTAGTACCTATAGGACATCAATATGTGTGGGCTATAGGTACTGTTGGTAACGCAGAGACGAATACCTCAACTGTATCTTGCTGTAGGCACGGTGGTTCGAGACGAGGCGCAAATCATTGTTCTCGCCTCCTCCTCGGTACCTGCATGAGCCGAACAGATAGCCTGACCAAACTGACTGGCATAACAAATGGACGATGAGGGATGGTGATGGTTGCCCAACCCAATGCAACCAGAGATCTGCCAAACCTCAGCTTGGCGCATCGCGGTGCGGTACGCCACGCAAACAAATAGAGGGAGCGCAAGGTCGCCTGTCTCGGGAGCCCAGGGGACCTGATTGTGCAGGTACTGATTGGGGGAAGAAGAGTGGTGATATGAAAGGGTCGAGCATGTGAGAACATACAAGTCGGCCATTTCTCTCTCACTCTTTCCCTCTCTCCCCCTCTTGGCTCATTGTCACCGCAGGCATCATCATTGGCCTGCCCAAAATAGAAGAAAGAAGGGATATGTCCACACCGCGGCGAGCTTGCCAGGCGGACTGCGTATGACAAGGGCTCTCTAGCCAGTCGTAAATGAATAGCGACTCGAGGGCGACAGGGGCGAGACCCGCGTGCGAGTAAGATATGTGCTGTGCGCAACCATCCTGAACTAGTAGAAAGGATCGATGAGATTAGGCCTGTGACCCTCTCCAACCACAGTGCCACCTAGAGCGTGGGAACCGAGAACCTGCCAGGGGTCTGGAATAGCGAGACAGACAGGGTCTTTATGCCAAGATACATGGTCCCCCCCGGACGAAGGCTGGGATGGGTGGATGGATGGATGGCGCAACGATGCACCAAGTATCAGAGTCGAAGAGTGGGAGTGACCCGCGGTGGTGGTAGTGTTCTCACTCCTCGTACCGGTACTTGTGAGATCCTGTGACCCCCTTTAGAGCGGTGACAGCGCCACATTTGTGGTCAGATACTATGACACTGGCTGTTCTTTGGCCAGGACGGCGACATAGCTGACGTGAATAGTGCAAGGGGATGGGGGTTGGTTTTGAGGGGGGGGGGGGGAGGAGACTGAGAGAGACGGTGAGCATCATTATCTCCTGCAGGAGAACGGTGCGCCCGACGGCGCTTCGACGCGGCAAATCGACACGTCAACACAGACGTAGACAAAGAGGCAGAAACTAGCAAAGGAGCTAGGTAATGAGGCGAGCCAAGAGGCGGTGGTGCCCGTGATGGTGGTGGTAGCCAATGCATGGACAGATGCGGTGAGGTGAGGCTGGAGCCGTTGCTCGTCAGGCCTGCACAAGAGTGGATCTTGAAAAGGTAAAATGCTGCGTGGTCCCTCAATGCTGATGAACATCGAACGCACAGAAGCCCAAGAACCAGATCCATCCATCTTTCGGCTGCAGCGGTGCCCACTGGATTATGGCGCTGATGCCTGTAGTGGTTGTACCCAGGGTGGGGTCTGTGACGGAACGGACGCCATGCACGAGGGGGGGGGGAGGGTGGGTGATGAGTGACCAACCCACGCACCCACGTACCCCTGGCCCCTGGGCAACCCACCTTGTTAAGCTCCTCCTGCACAACGACGTCGGCGAAAGCCCCCCCCAGTGAGACTCTGTTGGGGGTGTGGGAGGACTCCACCCGCCATCCACGCCGATTGCGGTGAGGAAAGAGAGAGCGGGCCCGCTGCTGTCAACTGAAGTGGTGCTGGGTACGACTTGTTGACTCTCTTCGATCGCGAGGTGGTCACGCCATGGAACAGCAGTTGTGTGCAGGTTTAGAAGAGACTGCAGCAAAACGTAGCGATCGAAAGGGGTCAAGATTCAGCCACGGCCGCGTGTGTTTCGCTGAGCTGCAAAGACGCTGGATCCTGGGCGCCATGAAGATGAAAAAAGAATCCTGGACACTTTTTTTTTTTTTAAGATGAGCTGCTGGGATGAAGACAGGCAGGTTATCTCGCACTTGCTGGTTGCTTTCATTGCTTTCCCTTGCATTAAATTGTGAAGCTGTCCATAGTCATGTGAGGAGGAGGAGGGGTGTCGTTTCCCAGGCACCGCTTTGCACTGGGTGGGAAAGTTTGTTGTCGGTGGTGGATGCCCCAGACCCAACACTGAGCTGCTGCCGTACGTCGGAACCAGGCTTAGGTAATTCTCCAGCCCAGTAGTGCCTTCCTTCCGACATCTAATTGGCGGCCCACATCCCGGCTAGGTACTATGGCAGCTACCATCGTACTAGGCAAGGCTAAACTCATGTACTATACTCTTCTGGGTATGCCTGTTCTGTAGCAGGTACTCGGTACGTACCTGCCAGGCCTGATACCCATTTCAGTACTCTGATGGCAAGCTCCATCCGCGCGATGTTGCCATCTTCCGGGAACCTGAGATGAGCTCAATCTCTTGGCCAGGAATGGTTTCTGATCATTCCTTGCGTTGTCTTCGCATGATCCGTCATCCTCCCAATTAATCTCACCGCCAAGCTGGGTGACGGATCACATGTCGTTTCTGATATGAATCTAGCTTGATGACAGCCAACCGCCGTCGCCTTTGCACAGCCATCAAGTTCAAACAGGTGCCAGCACTTCACCCTATGAGATTTCCTGACGTGTACTGTCACGCACGCAGATAAGGACCGCAATTCGTCCCTCAGGCCTTGGCTCATCGGTGGCCACTGGTTCGATGAAGGATCTCGACACGAGAGCCACGTCATCGTACAAGAAGGGGGGGGGGTAAGGCAAGAAAAACAAAAGAGTCTCTGGCAGCTGACGATCCCACAAGCATCTCTCACAAAAGACAACAGATTTGGGCCATGAGGACATGGAAATGGCGGCCACGTCGCAGCCTAGAGTGTCTGCCGGCAGCACGCAAGCATGGCACTACAGTGGTTGTTGGCAATGGACTGGAGAAAGTTAAATCGCTAATCTGCCGGCTTTTGCAGCCCAACGTGGTGAGTGGATCAAAGGCGCCTGCAGACCATATGCGAACCCAGCTCTAACGCATCCCGGCGGCTTGGATCCGGCACCCAAGCAAGCAGCGTCCAAACCCTGGCGATGTTGTCATGCGGCGGCCCCCTTTTTTTGGGTCAGGGCCATCCTGGTTCTCCCACCCGTGTTCGCTGATGAACAAAAGAGGAAGATGGACAAGAAGGAGGGAAAGGAAGAGAAAGAAAGAAAAGAAAGAAAAAAAGAATGGGCCTCTCTGGAACCAGAGCATGGTAGCAGATGCCGCTATAGACGCTCATGATGGTGCCAGGGCCCACAGATCGATCACAGTATGCGTACGGCTCAAAAGAAGAAGAACAAATACGGATGCTGGTCCGTCATCCGCGCCTTGTTCGTCAAGGTCATGGGCATCGGGGGTCAATGACCTGCAGAGATGTGACCCACCGACAACCATCGCTAGCCAATGTCAATGTTTCATGTCGGCTAATACCGTTGCCGAGACTCCGAATGCATGTCTGGCAGTTGGGAGCATGTCTGGGCTCATGCAAGGGCCGGCCACGAGTCTGTTGACCACCTGCGGCCCAATGCGCGGCCCAAGACACCACCTTGCGGTATACTCACACTCACTCATCGTACTGGCGGCCGGAGGGCTCCGTGGACCGCTCTGCAACGGATTGGTGGCCTCTGCCGCGCACCACACTGTTCCGTCTGGGCCGAACAAGGGGCATCTTGTGCCGAGCAGGTACGGGACAAGTGTCTCTCATTTTTGGGTGACACAGAAAATGGCTTGGGACTGATATGACCTGGGATGACCAATTGACCAGGGAGTCGCGTGGCCGGGGAACTTAAAAAAAGGATTCTCCACTCGCAGGTCATGTCGGCTACGCGATGGTGTGCCTCGCGGAAATTGCGTCAACAGAGTCGGCGGCGCCAGAGGGATCCGCATTCAATGTACTATGTAAGATTGCGAAAACTCAAAAAATGCGACCTCGAGTCTCGAATCTCGAACCGGCAGACAAGCAACGAGGATCAACGTACGATCTTCATTCAAGCAACCGTGGTGCTGCTGCTATTGTTCTATCCACTCTGCAAGGTGCCAATGCTCGGTAGACCTGACCGGGCTCAGGGTCTGTCTTTCTTTGTCCCAACGGGCGGCTATTAGCATGAACACTTGGGGGCCTTCGGAGGGCGAGCTCGGGCGGCCGCAAGACGTCGCCGCCTGCCTCGTACACATGCATGACAGCATTTCAAGGACTCAACGCGGGCCGTCCCTGGGACGCCGTCCAGCTTCGTCGGTCTAATAGTCTTCTCGAGGTCAGGATGCCCTTGACCAGCGGCATATGTAGCAATATTGGGACACACCTGGTCCAAATCATACCATGGTACAGGTACAATTTTGGCAGCAATACTGGGCTTGGCTCACAATTTACCAGCGACGGCTCCAAAGCTATAGCTATGTCGTATTTTCTCATGGAGCAAGGTCCTTCCATGTCCCTTGACAACCCCCCTCCCCTCCCCCTCCTCCCGTGGCTATCGAGCCGGGCGTGCCGGGGTGAGCCACAGTTGTGATTTAAGGTGGAAGCGAGTACCATTGGAGTGGGCGTGAGCGATGAGTTGCAGGTATTGCATGCAGCACGCAATGCATGGATGGGTGCATGGCAAGGAGGACTGGGGCTACAGGAACGAGATGATGGGCTCCGTTCTTCCCATGCCCAGCGAGCGAACCGTGTGCCTGGTTATATTGGTCTGGTTAATGCCAGGGCTCACCGGTGAGTTATGATCTGTTACACGAATTCCTGGAATTTTAAACTCAACTCACCATCCCAGGATGTAATGCATGTCGCTTACCGAAATATAGATGAATCGTCCCGTAGGTCATTTGGAATACCGTGTCTGGAGCGTGAGAACGTGCCCAACCCCATCATTCTTCGAAACCTGAACGAACTCGGGACCTGCTGTAAGCTCCCGCGTTGGTGACACGGCGTCCCGTCTCCCTTTGGGGCCGCGGCTGGGCCAGATAATGGAGGGACCTACACTGTGTCGTAGAATGAAATCCTCCGGCTGGTGTTGCCTTGCAGGAAATTAAAGTCGAGACTCGACACTTGATCGGTGGACCACCTGGGATAGTTACTATGAAAGCGCAGGCTGACATGGGAGGACGACAAGAATGCTAGCTGCCACTTGTGCCTTGAATTGTAAACCACGGCGACATCCGGGGCTTGTCGAAAAAAAAGCAACTATGAGACATGACGCCAATTTCTTCAGCACGCATGCTAACGGTCATCTCCCATGTGCAGTAATGTATTATACGTCAGACCCTCAAGGGCAAGAAAACGGCGTACCACAAAAAGAAAGAGAAACAAAGAAAAAGAAAAAAAAAACACCTTTTTTTTCTTCTTTGGCTCATTTGCTAGGGTTTTTATGAAGTCCCTCAAGGGTCTGACCTACGCCGACGGAAATCTCATCCAGGACCTGGCATTCATTCCCGGACGCTATGCGTCGAAACGTTCGTAGGATTGTTCCTCCTCCCCTGCCTAAAGCAATAGAAGAGTTCTACTGCGCCTCAACCACTCCTCTAATTGATGCGCAAGGTCTATGGTATGGTTCCTGCGACCTGAGACTTACTTATCGAGCCCCCGTCCCTCCCCCCTAATTTTCCCTCGATTTTGAATGGTGGAAGGTGTCGCGCTTTGGCACTTTACGTTGGCGCAGGTCTCACAGCTCTGCCTCCAGGGGTGTCTCTTGTGTGTCACAAGGAGGTGACCAGCAGGTCATACGCGGCAAGGCTTGTTAACCAAACAGCTTCATAAATGAAGCAATGATTACGTCGCATTGTAAAAGAATGTCTCCGATGCAGTGGAAGGATGCCACAGCAGGGGGCCACCGGGGTGTGGGCGCCCGGGGGGGAGGGGGCAGGTTGGCCGGATAGTAGGGCCAGAAATCACCAGAGGCGATCTTCATTTTCCTTGGCTCGTGACGCCAACATGAAGAAATCTCGCCCGTCTTCTAGGTCAGGTGGTTTTAAGATGAGCTGCATGGGTCAGAGTTCCATTGGCGAGAGATTGCTCCTGAACGCTCAGGTGAGGATGGGCGGAACAAGGGAGGCTGGTTTTTTGAAGGCATCACGCATTCTCGATTAGGAAACCCAAGGGCCGGAATTGTCGGCGCGTGAGCTTCTTCTCTGCAGGGTTTGGTACAGGATCCATTTTATCCATATCACTTGTACTCTACAGTGGCAGAAAGCAACACATGGTGCCCGGAGCCCGCTTGGTGCTGGGGCGCCCGGAGCCCCGTGAACAGATGGGATATTTACGGGACCCAGGCCCGCTTTTCCCGCGGCCGATTTTGCTTCACAAACCGCCTAAACGCCAGCGTGGAAGCTTTCCATCATCGTGCACCGCAAAAACCCAGACATTGAGATCCTCCAGCTAGCACCCAAGACCGTATATCAACCTTCCTTTGGCCAACCCTCTGCCGGATGCAGTGATCATTCCCCAGCCAAGCTTGGTCTTGAACTTGACTCACGCTCTCTGTCTCTCTCTCTCTCTCTGCCTCCATCTCCCCCCCCCCCCTCTCTCTATCTTTGTCGTCAGAGCTGCAGCTGAGCTGAGCTGTCACACGATCAGGTGTCACGCCTAGCGTTGAGCAAGACCACACGGGTCGGAAATTGAGCCGAGTCGCTCGATTATCTGACGGCAGCCGCATCGAGCACTCTCGCTCGGGCCTCAACCTAGAGCGGGTCACCCGTGACACGGCATCAGACTGACATCTGCCGTGAATCCTTTCACCAGGAGGAGCAGCAGCAGCAGTAGCTGCAACGGCGGCAGCAACGGTAGCGAAGCGGATACAAGCACGGCAGCCTTCGTCCCGTGGCTGATCACGAACGAAAAAGCCAAAGAAGAACAAATTCTGCAACACAAGTCAGTCAGTGAGTGAGTCGGCCTCGGTCACGCATCAAGCTACGGCCGGACAGACAGACACACACAGGATGGCTGGACAAAGCTTGCAGCAGGAATGGACGGTCGGCGAGCCGTACCTCAACCTACACTGCAAGTTGGGAGAAGGGCCGTACTACGAGGAGGCCTCCAACAGCCTGCGGTTTGTGGACATCATCAGCAAGCGGGTGCACACCGTGTCCCTGACCGAGGGGCCCGAGTCCGTCAAGACCATCCAGCTGGACACACCTGTCACCGTCACGGCGGATGTAGAGGGCCACGATCCGCAGGAGAAGATTCTCATCGGCGCCAAGTACGGCCTTGCGCTGCTGGACCGCACGACGGGGACCTATGATTACGTCGTCAAGTTCGCTGCGGTCGACGGGCAGGAGAATGACCGCCTGAGGAGCAATGATGGCGCCGTCGACCTCCACGGCCGCTTCTGGCTGGGCTGCATGACTGATTTTGGGATGGGCGATGTCTTGGCTGAAGGTTGGTTCTCTTTTTCTTCTTCTCTTGTCCTTCCCTCCTCACACAGGGAATATCTCCCCTCCTCGCCATGCTGAACCTTGAAACACCGTTTCGGACCGAGATTTGCATTGCGCCAGGTAGATGCTTCGCTGTCACACACATCGTGGTCAACCTGCGACAGGATGCATCAAGACCAAGCCCGGGAGCGGGGGAAGGGAGGTCATAGTGCTGTTCTGTCCTGCCACCGTACTGCAACAGCAGCTGTACCGTAGAATCACGATTCGCTGACATGAATTTTTGGCCTACAGGAGGGATCTACCTTTTCAACGGCCAGAACAAGGCTGGGAACGCCGAGAAAATCGTGTCTGACCTGAGCATCCCAAACACGATCAGTTTCTCTCCCGACAACAAGACTCTGTACTATACGCACTCGTCCGGCAGGATCGTGTACGCCTACGACTACTCGCTCAGCGACGGCAGCGTGACCAACCACCGGGTCTTCTACAAGCACGAAGGCCCCGGTGAGCCCGACGGGCACCGCATCGACAAGGACGGCAACATGTGGCACAGCGTCTACGGCGAGAGCCGCGTGCTGAAGATCTCGCCCGAGGGCAAGCTGGTCGGGCAGATCAATTTGCCGACCAAGAATATCACCTGCTGCGAATTCGTGGGAACGGAGCTGTTCATCACCACGGCGAATGATGATGGAGGGGAAGGGAAGAGCAAGGAGCTCGGAGGCGCACTGTTCCGGATTGATGTCGGGACCACGGGCCTGAAGCCCTTCCAATTCAAGATGGTCGGCTAAAGTGAGGAAAAAAGAGAAGGGGGGGGGGGTGTGGTTGGGGGAATGCCGCTGTGTGTGGAAAGTATTGTCTTGGACACCCTGCAACGTCACATCTCACAGTCACGGACTCCCTTCTATGTTGAAATGTGTATAGTGGGAGGGGGGGGGGATGTATGAATCTATACATCTAGATCTAGATCTATACAGTATTTATCCATCTATACTTCCCATAGCATCGGGAAAGGGGGGTTGTTGGTACAACTGGGGTTTTCTTGCAGTTGCCGTCACAGCCTCAGTTGCATAGTCATCCATTTTCTCACACCTGTAAACATGGAAATGTTAAAGTATATTTATATTCATGTAACAATACTTTATATCACCGCATTTATAAGTTTAGGATGGTCTCATCCGTCTGACTCGATTTAAAGCTTGTCTTATCAGATTCTCATTCTGAATCAACATTTTTTTTCTCTTTCACTCAATTTTTTTTTTGGGGGGGGGAACATGTAATGGGAGGGGAGGTAAAAATGAAAGAAAGAAAGAAAAAAAGAGGGGGGGGGGCCTTGAGGGGTTGGAATCAATCACCCCAAGAGGTGGGCGGCTTGTTGCAGGCTCTCTCAGTGGCTGATGAATAAGCTGCTGCATCGTCCCTTCCTTGGCCCAGGAGATGGAAGACCTCTTGCCTCTTCAATCCTCAACAAACAGGAAAGAGCAATTTACATACAACACTTGCAGCCCAGAAAATTCTACTCAGAATGTTGCGGCATGACAACCCAATTTGACAAATAGGCACACATCCAAGAAAAGAGCAACTGGTCCCCACATCACATACATCTCAGAGTTTGCTGGACAACCTGTCTGTGAGCTTGTCTCTTGTTTTCTTTCTTGCTCAAGGACCACCAATAAACACACACAACACACGACAGACAGCCCCTCGACAACTTTGCGACAGAAAAATTTGCCCTTACTCCAAGGGAGGAATTTCTTGCCGTACACCATCAACGGATATCTGGGGTTGGGCTGACGCCCTGGGCATACAATCTGAATACTACAAACGTCGTTTTTGGGGTGACCAAGACAGTTGACGAGTCTCTCTCTCAATAATGTCTGACCTAGGTAGCCAGCCTGCAGACTCCAGAATCAACTCGGAGGATGGGAGGAAATACTGGCAGAGTAAGATTTTTATTCCGGTCTTTTCTTGGATGCCTCTCGACCGCGTGTGCGCCATAACGCAAGCTTGCCATCCCTCGATCACGAGGCGCCTGATCCATGCGTGCTAACCCCTGGGCTCTCTTCACCCACCCCCTCTTCGGCAGATGTAGATGCGGATGTGAACGGGATGCTGGGAGGATTCCCCTATGTCTCTAGAATCGACCTGCAGGGCTCGCGGAACTTTCTGGCCAAGCTCGGCATCGGGACGAAACAAGGCCTGCGGACGGTGGAGTCTGCTTTAGAAGGAGGTGCCGGGTAAGTTCATCTGTCCTTCTCCCCCCTCTATCTCATCCCATTCTTCGCCTTCTTCTTTGAGCTTCACGCCATTGTATTAACGTTTCGTGTCATCTTCTCCCCGCCCCCCTTTGGTCCAGCATAGGTCGCATCACTGAGGGACTCCTGCTTAACATCGCCCAGGAGGTCGATGTGGTCGAGCCCATCGCCAAGTTCACACAGGACCTTGCCAGGAAGCAAGGCGTCCGACAAGTCTTTAACGTCGGTCTGGAGGAGTGGCAGCCCGCCGAGGGCGACCGGTACGACCTGATTTGGAATCAGTGGTGCCTGGGCCACCTCACCGACGAGCAGCTGGTCGCCTACCTGCAGAGGTGCAAGAACGTCCTTGCCCCCGGCCATGGCTTGATTATCGTCAAGGAGAATGTCACTAGTAATGATGTTGAGGTTTTTGACGAGCAGGACAGCGCCGTTACGAGGTGAGATAGCCCCCTTCCCCCCCCCCCCCTTTCTCTTTACTTCACAGCTGTCCTGTCCTTGCTCAGGCGTGCTAGAGTGTTTTTTTTTTTTTTTTTTTTTTTTTTTTTGACAAGGTTCGGGCGCTATAGGACGGATAAGAAGTTTTTAGAAATCTTCGAGAGAGCAGGCCTCAAGTTGGCCAGGATGGAGATCCAGAGAGGTTTTCCGAAGGAGCTGTTCCCCGTGAAGGCCTACGCCCTCAAGCCTCAAGATTGAAAAGGGGGAGAGAAAGCAAGCAGTTGCAACGGGTGTGTTGCTCTGGGTTTCAAATCTCCCCTGAGGACATGCTGGGTCCGAACTTGTACAAGCTATCGGCCCGGGCATGTTTGTCGCGGGCAGGTGCAGGGCGAAATGACAGTATCTATTAGCAAATTGTCTTCCCGGCTGAGGACATCCATACAGCAGTCCACTATTCATACCGACCACGATGGTTCTAGAATCTGTATCATTGCATCAGACCCGGTGATTAACTCTTTTCGACCTAGCCAGCAGCGAGATCCTACAGCAGCACGCATCCTCCATCTCTTACCCTCTGTCATCTGAAAAAGACTAGCTGCCCGGAAACATGATTCAACCAACCATCAGAGACCATGTGTTGTGTGTGTTTTTGGTGATGAAGGAGGGAGGACATGGCCGTTCGCTCCCTTCGTTAGTATTCCGTAGGACAAGCATTCTTCAATGGAGCCAGATGCATAGATCACTTGGCGAGGGACAAACCCTGTGGTAGCTGAGGGTCTCAGATTTCTTGTTTTGGGACTTCTCAAGTCATTGATCAACCTTGATCACGGGTATTATGATTATCCAAAGGAAATAATAATAAAAACCAATCAGACCACCATACGCCATACGATGCAGCGGAATAGAAAGCGAGAGGAGAAAGCAACCTATAATACCTATCAAATTTACAATCGGATCCTACCATCTCCGCCGTTGCCACCAAACCAACGCCTTATATCAAAGTCAGGACCACCACCGGCACCGCTCCTAGACGATTCCCCCCGCTCATGATGATTATTACCTTCGTTGTCCATCCATTTCGGCTTCTTGGTGATCTCCTGCAGCCACTTGGGCGTATCGATCGTGTCCACCGTGTTCTTGATCCGGGTCCCCAGGGAGGTGAAGAAGTTGTCATCGTCCTCCTCGTCCCCCTCGGGGTCCAGACCGCGCTGCTGCCTCGGGCCGAGCCTCCTGGAGCTGCTACCAGCAGGGCCAGAAGCAGATGCCAAGGTACCGGCATTAGGAGACATTCCCAGCGGGGTGGAGGGGCTGCCGATCCGGTTCGGGGCGCTGGGAATCGATCGGATGGGGGCGGCAGACCTGTCTCCGGATCCCGCCGCGCCTGGCAGTGACCTCGAAATGGACGTCCCGTTCAGCTCACGCTCGATCAGGTCCCGACCCTCACGCCAGTTTCCTGAACCGTAGGCACCCAATTCATTCTCTTCATCCTCGTCGATGATATCTGCCAGACCAATTGTTCGCTTCACCTTGCCGTACAGGCCAAAGAGGGTGGCGCAGACGGGGAGGAGGATGAACAACGGGAAGAGCCTGTTGAACCAGCTTCCCAGAGACGTCAGGTCAATCAAACGACCGAGGAAGTCGTAAAATGTTGTCTTCTCATAGATGTCCCTGGAGAGGAACGTGATGAAGTTGTATGCCAGGGGCACGCTGAGCCTCGCAACGTACGAGGCGTACCAGAATGCGGACTCATGGGCAGTGTTGCGCCAGACCAGGGCCCGACCACGCCAGACCTTGACCTCGGTGATGGAGATCAGCGCGGCAGCGCACATATAGCTTAGCCATAACGCTGCGATGAGCTGGCCAGGAAAGCCAACCTGTCCCTTGTCGCCCGTCCAGTGATGCACCACACTCACGCGGATGACCGAGAGTTTGACAAGTGCGGCTGGCCCTGCCTTGACAATCTCGGACCAGATAATGCAAGCTGAGGCCAGGGCTAGCAGACCACCAAAACCCAGTCTCACCGTGGGCATCACGTGAAAGTGAAGGAGATATCTCGTGTAGGGTGTCAGGATGGTCAGACGCTCCCACCACGAAGCATGGGGCGCAGCGCGACCAAAGTCCAGCTTCTTGGAGGGTCCGCAGTCTAGGATAGCCTGCGCCTTGGCGGCGTCCCGCAGCAGTCTGTTCCACTCGTTGACGTAGCGCGATCGCGCATGCCGCGCCCTGTTGAGCGCTCTTGTGAGCTCCGCCATGTATTTCTCGGTGATGACAGTGGGGACACGCCTGGTGGCAGCTGCACCGATGGCCGTCTGTGGTCTCGGCTGTGCCTCGGGAAGGTTTGTGAGGTCCATCAGCTCCTCGATCCAGTCCTGGAAGTCCAGGGCAGTCCCGGTCTTGCGCCGGCTCAACTCGGCCACCTGGTTCTCCAGCTCTTCGAGTGCGGTCTCTGCATCCTCCATCTGCTCGTGTAACTTGGGCGCTTGTTGTTGTAACCGGCGAAGCCGGCCGCTGATGCTGGCGTTGCGGATCAGACTTCGAGGGATGGACACGAGGCCGTGGCCCATGAGATAGATAGCCAACACCAAACCCCAGCAGTACGCAAGGGCCATGACGGGACTCTTGAGAGAATCGAGGTGGATGCCGTAGGAAACGAGGACGTAGACAAATGCGAGTATTCCGAAGCCAAAGATCATGGCGTAGTACTGGGCGTTGGACCGCAACGAGTACATCAACTTGCCCTTGGGTTCTCGATAACCGGCGTCGGAGTACTCGGCAAGGATGGGGAGAGTGAACCTGCAGCTCTGGAGTCAGCGAATAGGTGCTCAACGAGGATGAGAGATCATGCGCCTCGTACCATGTGAGCACGAATGTGAGCCAGTAGGCGATGCGCCAACATGTCTGGACGACCCTCTGGGGCAGCCAGATGCCTCTTGTCGCCTCGTCATCGGTCTGGGCGCTCGACGCCAGATCTATGGGCACGAGCAGGACGATTCCAGCTGGTAGCCATAGCGCGAAGAAGACGGTGACAAGGACGAAGGCTGGAGTGCTCCGGAGAGGGAGGTAGAAGCGGAGGATCAGGAGGACGAGGATGGAAAGGACGAGAAGCGCGAGCGCCCAAAACACTTCGGAGCCCACGGCCGAACCTGCGCTTGCTATCATCACGACGATGTGCAATGAGGGTAACAATGATGTGCCATGTGAGTGAGAGAGAAACGTGTGTGTGTGTTGTTGTGTCGGTTCTCAGGAGGGAGAGACTGTGGAAGGATATGTCTGTATGAGTGGGGTCGCTTGCGAAATGATGCTGGAGATGCTCAATTTGGGGTGACGATGGAAGCTTGAACCGGGCTTGGCTTTTTCTTTTTTTGGGGCGCCCGCCCAGATTATGTCACATGCTAGGGGCCGGGCTTAGGGGAGGGGGTGCACGGTTGTTCCGCTCCAGCCTGGAATCTCAGCAGCAAGGGGCGGCAAGTGATGTTCCCAGCGCCTGGGCAAACCTCAGTGAAACCGTCCCCAGCGAGCCAATCCCCCCAACCGGCCCCCAAATAACTAAGGTACAGTCCTGCAGGGCGTGATTGATCCACTCGGCGAGCCGGGAATGGCGGCTCTAGCCGAGTTCTATCAGGCATTCCATAATATGACTACTATCAATTCGTGAGGAATGTGCCGAGATTTCGCAAGTGCATTTGCAATCTATTGCAAGCTATAGTACTACAGTATTTGTTGAGGACATATGCAGCTGTGGCCTTTACACTACGATATAGTACCATAGCATTGTGTCTAGGTAACTAGGAGGGAGGGGTCTCAGAGCCTCCAGCCTGGAGGGCTCTCAATCCACTGTAACGTTCAGTAAATCACTTGTACCTATTTACAATACATTACAGCACACCCTGGGTCGATCCCCGGAATCCATCAACTAACAGCACTGTACAACAAACAGTACTTGCTGTCAACAACCCCGCGTGGTTCATCTTCGTATTCAAGATCCCATAATACCCCATGTGCCATGCTACATAATACAGCACAGCAACTGGACCCTTGCCGTGGGAATGACTTGCAGTACAGTGTGCCAAGCTGCTCTGTGCCTATCACGGACGAACGGTGATAGCGATAAAGCTACTGCCGTGGGGAACGGGCAAGTTTGAGGAGCCTTATTACGCCGAAACAGTCATAAATCAATACTTTAGCACTAACTCGGTCTGGTCCTGCCTTCTGTGCGGGGATCCACCAAACCATGACTCTACCAAACTAGGCAGTGCTAGCCGGTATCCTCTACTAAGTACTCTCCATGACACACTGTGGTGGTAGTTAGCCGTGGCAGCTAGGCTCCGTTACGGAGCACCCCACGGAGAGCACCCCTCTGCTTGGTCGTATCGCCTTGTCGTGTGTGGAGGGGAACTCGGGCGGAAGTGACAAGTGAAGGAAGGAGGGGTTATCAACGCTTCTTTCTAAGCAATATCTCACATATCCTCGGGACTGGAGCTTCCTTTTGCTTTGCCCACCTGCCCTTTAAAAGGGCTGTACCATGCTCCTCTCCCGCTCGAGTCTACTCTTTCCCCTCTCATCATCTCGCTCCCTCCTCTGCAAGCACAAGCAGCCGACCAGACTTGGACTTTTTATATCGTGTCCTGCCACTGTTAGATCAGGGTCCCTCTCTCCTATACCCTCACAACGAGCACACTTCTCCCACAGCTCTACCCAGCTCAGAAAGATGGAGATCGAACTCACTGCCCCCAACGGCAAGAAGTGGTCTCAGCCCGTTGGCCTCTTCATCAACAACGAGTTTGTCAAGTCTAGCAATGAACAGAAGATCACCTCTATTAACCCCTCGTATGTTGCCTACTTCCCCATCACCATCAGATCTTGAAACTAACATGCCTCCTTTTCTTCTCTCATCTTTATAGAACTGAGGAGGAGATCTGTTCCGTCTATGCTGCCACGGTAGACGATGTCGACCTGGCCGTCGCCGCGGCGCGTAAGGCTCTGAAGGACCCTTCGTGGAAGGGTCTCTCCGGCACCGAGCGTGGCCGGCTGATGAACAAGCTCGCTGACCTCGTCGACGCCAACCGTGAGATCCTGGGCGCCGTCGAGGCCCTCGACAACGGTAAGCCCTACACCACCGCCCGCGATGAGGACGTCGGTGAGGTTGTGTCCGTGCTCCGGTACTACGCCGGTTACGCCGACAAGAACTTTGGCCAAGTCATCGACGTCGGCCCCGGCAAGTTCGCCTACACTCTCAAGCAGCCCATCGGCGTCTGCGGCCAGATCATCCCTTGGAACTACCCGCTCGGCATGGCCGGCTGGAAGCTCGGCCCGGCCCTGTGCTGTGGCAACACCGTCGTCCTGAAGCTCGCAGAGCAGACGCCTCTGTCCATGCTCGTCGTGGGCAACCTCATCAAGGAGGCAGGCTTCCCACCAGGCGTTATCAACATTATCAACGGATACGGACGGGTATGTTGAACCATGATTGCTTTACGACTGTGAGGGGTCGCCATTGTTAGCTAACCTCACCACGTTACATATAGGAAGCTGGAGCTGCGCTTGTGAAGCATCTCGACGTCGACAAGGTCGCCTTTACAGGTAGCACCGCGACGGGCAAGGAGATCATGAAGATGGCTTCGGGCACGATGAAGAACATCACCCTCGAGACTGGCGGCAAGTCCCCGCTGATCGTCTTCGAGGACGCTGACCTGGACCTCGCCGCTACCTGGTCGCACATCGGTATCATGAGCAACCAGGGCCAGATCTGCACGGCTACCTCGCGCGTGCTCGTCCAGGAGAGTGTCCTCGCTGCCTTCGTGGAGAAGTTCAAGGCCATCATCGAGAAGATCTCCGTGGTTGGCGACCCATTTGACGAATCTACCTTCCAGGGCCCCCAGGTCACCAAGGCTCAGTATGACCGCGTCCTCAGCTATATCAAGTCTGCCAAGGACGAGGGTGCCACCATCGCCCTCGGCGGTGAGCCAGCGCCCCAGAAGGGCAAGGGATTCTTCGTCAGCCCCACCGTCTTCACCGACGTCAAGCCCACCATGAAGGTCTATCGGGAGGAGATCTTTGGGCCCTGCGTGTCCGTCATCAGCTTCAAGACTGAGGAGGAGGCCATCGCCCTGGCCAACGATACCACCTACGGGCTCGGCTCCGCGCTCTTCACCAAGAACCTGACCAAGGCCCACAGGGTAGCCGCTGAGATCGAGGCCGGCATGGTATGGATCAACAGCAGCAACGACTCGGATGTGAGGATCCCCTTTGGTGGCGTGAAGCAGTCTGGTATCGGGCGGGAGCTGGGCGAGGCTGGTCTCGCCAGTTATTACAACGTCAAGGCCGTACACCTGAACATGGAATCATGAGCTTTGTGTGAGAAAGAGCCTGAGGGATGCTGCTGGAAGTAAATCTGATGAAGCTATTTACGAGCTAAGAATGCCTGTTAAGACCACCCACGAGGATCTTGTACACGATAGCGATATAGAAATTAAATAAAATAAAAATTCTCTGCAAATGATACGACTTCTACCACTACTGTCGTCGCAAGTAATGGCCAGATCGATCTCGACCTTCTGCTAAGGCGTATACTGTAGGTACAGGAACAAAAAAATAATTTATTTTGTTTTTCTCATTTGTTTACAAGATATACAAAACTAAAATACACGAGTTTACTCGCGACAACTATGGACGAAGCAACCTGCGCCTGCCCTTGGACCCCCTGTCCTTCTCAACAACCCCCACCCAAGTGACATCTACCATCGTGACTTTATGTATGAACAGCGAAGAAATAGTCTACAAATGTGTGTGAGAGACTATGTGTACCACCCTTTTGCTTCTCTCTTCTTCTTCTTTTTTCCCCTTCCCACCTCCTCCTCCTCCTCTTCTGAGCGCCGTCTGTTGTCTATTTATACACATGGGCTGTTGTGGATGAAGCCCACCTTTACTGGTGGGAGTCCATGTTCAGGTACTTGGCGATGTCCTCGGCGGAGCCCTGGCTGTTGAAAAAATCCATCCTCTGCATCATCTCGCTGCCGCCTGCCTCGACCCCCTGGCCCCACCGGTCTCGCATCATCGCGCCGGCAGGCTGCTGTGTGGCACCCGTGCCTGGGTTTTCGAAGCTCACTGCCGCTTGGGCTACCTGGTGGCTCGGCAAGTGTACGAGGGCGGCGGCGTTGCCTGTTGTAACCATCTGCTGGCCTCCTCCTCCTCCTCCTCTCCCTCCTGCTGCTCCTGCTGCTGCTGCTGCCGCCGCCGCCGCTTCGGTGCCGTAGGCCGAATCCGAGACGGCCCGCGCTGGGGCGTGCTGCTGCTGCTGTTGTTGTTGCCCGCCAGGGTGCGGTGCGGCGGTGAGGGGGCTCGCACGCCGGACGGTGGACACGCTGTCGGTCCGTCTGCTCGGCGTGGGCCGGAAGCTGTTCATACTCCGGTCGGTCTCGAGGTAGAAGCTCGTCACGCTCTGGTCGCCAGTGCCGAGGGTCTGCGTGTCCATGCCGCCAACCATGCTTGTCCTAGGTTCACGCCCGACAACGGCCGGTGCTCTCGACTGGCTGGGGGCTGTCTCGTAGGAGTAGTAATCAAATGATTGTGATTGCATTGCCGGTGATGGGGTGAAGGCCCGAGCGACTGTGGCCTGCTGAGGCAAGGTCCTTGGGGTGGATTGGGGCATTCGAGTTGCTATCATGCGCTCGAGGGTGGCAACACGGTCGACCAGAGCCTGGTACTCCCTCCGGCTGACCACATCCTCGCGGCGGATGTAGGATGTTGCGCTCCTAGAGGCATCCGCCTCGGAATCTCCTTCTGCATCCTCGACATTGTCCGATCCGCCGCTCTCATCGTTATAGCTGTCTTGATTCGTGCGGCAGAACGTATCGAGCAGAATCTGGAACTTCTCGCGCTTGCTCCTCGAGACCGTCTCGCACTTTGTGTTCAGATGACTCTCGAAGGCCTCGGGATCGGCAAAAGACCGCCAGCACTTCTTACACAGACCAGCGGCCGGGTGGCCGTGCTCGTTTGTGGCATTGAAGGAAGAAATGGCTTGTCGTGAGTTGTCTACATCTAGGTTGTGGGCCGGTCTGCCCAGGTGGCGTCTATGATTCGTAGAGTCAGCAGATGGTTCGCACCTTGGGTGGCAGGGAGCGCAGAGCTTACACTACAGTAGAGATGTTGTGATGTTCCGTGTGGCAGCTGAAGTATTTGGAGTGTACATTCAGGTCATAAATCTCTGGATGAGCGCTCCTGAAAGGACATATCATCTTGGGGTCGCCGGAATCTTCTTCGTTGCCACCAGGAGTCCGGTTCCGCTTGTTCGGGGGCTCGTCATCTTCATCGCTGTCCTCCCAAGGGTCCTTGCCGAACCGGACTTGACGCTTGCCGAAGGGGTTCAGATGACCGGTGACACCCAGCCCAAGGGTGGCAATATGCCCTTGACCTCTGAACCCTTCGGAGTCCTGTGGTGTCGTGGCCTCGCTCACAAACCCAGAGTGCTGGTTGAGTACCGGGCTGGGCTCGGACACAGGGGTGAGAACCTGGCTGTTCACAGACGGGCTCGTCTTGGGCGTCACAATGGTAGGTAAGGCCCTCAACATGTCGTCCCGGGATAAGGAGACTTCGGTGACTGGTGACGTCTCTGGTGTATTTGCGCTGCTGGTATCTGGGTTGTGCAGCTTCGGGTCGACAGGCACTTGCAGCCATTCACCATCATGGATAGTGATGGGACTGCCCGAAGTATAGTTCTGAGAGAACTGCTGCAGGAAGCCCTCGTTGTTGTTGTTATTGTTGTTGCTGTTGCTCAGCCTCGTCACTGGCGAGTTCCAGGGAATGTAAGGCTCTGGCCCGTAAGGTCCAGTCCCGGCTAAGCTGATAGGGGACGATGTGTCTGACGGCAGCGTGGAACACCCTTCCAAGGGGCTTGGGGTGAGCAGGAAATTCGGAACGGTCCGGATGGCCAGCGGATTCCTGGGCTGCTGGACAGACCGCGGAATGACGTCGACTTGTGTTGCTGAGGTAGCTGGCTTGTCGAGTCCACCGTCTTCCTTCCCTCCGGCTCGACTACGAACGTAGTTGTAGCCGTGGACCTTTTCCATATGCTGTTTGCAGTTGGACTCCCGTTTTGAGCTGTAGGTGCACCCGTGCCACAGGCAAGAGAAGACCCTCGGCTCAGACGAGTGCTTGTCGTTGAAATGACGGGCCAACTCCTTCTCGGTGGGCCAGCCCGAGATGTAGTAGAGGCAGTCCTCAACGGGACACTTGAAGGGCCTGCTGTGTGTCTTGACGTGTTTGTTCAAGTCGCAGAGGCGGCTGTATTCCTTGCCGCAGGACTGGCATCCGAAGGAATCGTCTGTCGTCTCCTGTGCCAGGTCGGGCGAGAGCCCTGAAGGAAGTGTCGATCTGTTTCTGAAGTGCTCGGGCAGGCCGGTGCCCCACTGTCCGTCCAAAGAAGGCGTATAAGAAGGATTCATGACAGAGAGGGTGAGCCTTATTGGTGGTGGTGATAATCCTGAGCCGGCCTGAATGAGAAGACCATCAGCACTGTGGGTCCCACGGCCAACTTGACTGGAGAAGGGGCCTGTGCGAAGTATAGACAAAAGTGCTGGGCGAGTGAGAATACCTAAGAAAGCCCTCCTTACACACTAAGACCAGCGCAGGATTTCCAACCCGTCCCAAGCCAGCAAGATATAACCAACTTTGAGGAGCAAAGAGTGAGAGAGTGTGTGAGTGTGAGAGAGGAAGAGGCACCAGGCAGAAAGGGATCTGTGGAGGAGCCAGAAGAATGTTGGTCAGCGGGCAAAGATGATAGAGAGATATGAAAACCCTGAAGGTGGGGGAACAGACGACGACGACAACAACAATGACGACCGTGAGGGGTCAGGCAACAGAATTCACAGCCTCCTTCTCGTGAGAGAGAGATATGGGGAAGGTAATATTGAAGTTGTGTCAAATTATCAGTTGGTCTCCGTTGATGCTGTGTAAATAAATGGCATCTTGGACCACATTGGCAGCCTTGAGACGAAGGCATTGTCTGATTTATGAACCCTATCCAGGTTCCCAAGGCTGATGAGGAGGGCCACCACTATGGAATCCCCGTGGACCTTGAAGAGGGTCGAGGCCAATTGTCGAGGCCAAGAGCGCCATAATTTCGAGGCCAGTGAGGAGGCCAGCATATGCATATACAGTTACAGTACCAGAGGGTTGTGGATAGAAAGAGTGCAGTGTTTGGTGTGTGGCTGAGCTATGCGATCAGTAGGTGAGGTGGAGATGCAGCAGCAAGTAGAGGGGAAGAGAGACTGAGAGACGACGTTTTGGGATTGGCGCGCGAGCCGCGATTGCTAGAGGAACACACACAGAGAGAGGGAAAGTCTCAGGGTTGGGGTTTGGGGAAGGTTCGGGGGTAGTACCTTCCCTAGCAGCTGGCAGCCAGCTTTTTGGGAGGTCTCCAATGTTCTTTCTAGGCAGGGCAGGGTGGGTCGGGGTAAAGTGGGGGCAAGAGGCACCCTCGAGGCTGCGCATCCTTCGCATGCATTAGCAGGAGGTCTTCTTTCGGGCCTCATCGCCAGGCTGTTCTGCGGTGAAGATACCGATTAAGGTGCTCACCGAAGGCAAGCCTGGGGCTAGAAAGAACGAACCGTTCTGCCGGGCCCGGCTACGTCCGATTCTGACCTCATTGGGGCTTGACACCGGACGAAAACGAGGGTGGAAGAGAGAAGTGAGGTGTTATTGCAAGCGTAACTTTAGTACACAAGCCTCTCTCTCTCGTCCAGACCCACACCCACAACCACAATCGTACATACAAGTAGCACCTATCACTCGTCCATTTACCGCAGCGTCGACTCAGCCAGCGCACGGTCAGACCAACTGCATAATTTCTAGCTGGTAGATCCCAGCGCATAGGAACTGCCCAGACGAAGAGTCAAGTCGTCAATTTTACAAGGATGATGAGTGAGAGAGAGAGAGAGAGAGAGAGAGAGAGAGAGAGAGAGAGAGTGTGTGTGTGTGTGTGTGTGTGTGTGTGTGTGTGTGTATACTTTCTTCATCATCATCAGACTTGGACCCCACAGCGATCAAGGTACTATTTCATGTCATTACAATACAGCAGCATAGAAGGATGCAGAGCCTAATCCCTCGTCTTCCTCCTCGTCCTACTACTACGTACCCCGTAGTGCTATGCCTACGTAGTACTGAATGAAGAGGGGGTACCGGTGCCTGGGCTCGGATTCGGCCCACTCGCCTTATGAGGCAGACTTAACGGCGTGGCACTCACATACACACACACACACATACCAAATTTCACATGGCCTACATGTGTGCCCACCACCTTCCCCCCCTGCAACCTCGTCTTGGGGGCCAGATGGCTGATTCCTACGTAGTATGTACTACGACTAGTATCATTCTGAAGGACAGCAGATAGATGTGTTGGCCATGAGCCATTCCGTGCCATGCAGTCAGCGAGTAGGGATGAGCCCTATCTCGCCTGATCCCCAGCGCCCTCGTGCTTTGCTCAAGTATGACTGCATAATACACGTGCATATCCATGGGGTACGTACCATGTCAGCAATGCTCTTCTATCTCCGATTGGCAAATACTCGAAAGCCTTTTTTTTTTTCTTCTTTTTTTTCTTCTCTCTGATTTCCCCGTGTTCCTTGTCGTTCTCTTAAAAGATGGTCTATTTTCCCAGCATATTTTCCCCCAAAAACCGCATTCATTTCTCTCCCTACAAAGTCAACAATTTGCGGCCTTGGCCGCCCAGTTCGTGCTTCGTGTCATTTTCAGTCCCCCATCTCGGCATGTTCGTCTCCTGTGTGCGGCCTCCCGGAGCTGAGCGGGTCGTTGGATGGCCGCCGCAACGGGCCGCCTCCCCTCCCTCGCCAGGCAGGCTTTCCCCAAGCGGCCCCCCACGATAGTTGCAACTAAAACTTCCCCGGTACTCCTGTTTCCCGCCCTTCTCTCTATTCCCGTCTCTCTCCCTCTCTCTCGGTCTCTCTGAGGCGCAAGCACTGGCCGTGTTTCTCAATGGGAACTTTTTCTTTCCTTTTCTGCCGAGAAAAAAGCTCCCCCCTGATTGTGGGAATTTGCAGGGCGACTCTTCCCCGTGGTCGTGTTTCCGGCCCCCCTTCTTCTGATTTTCTGTGAGGACGCAGCTCACCTCGAGCTGAAAGTAAAACCTCCTTGCATACGATGCGATGTTGACAGGTGATCTTGCAGGTCAATCAATTCATACACATGTTGGTCTCCCCCAAAGAGACCTTACATCCCCCCCCTCTTTCTTCTTCGGATACATGACGTCGGATGCCTCTTTTTGTCCTTTTTCTCTCTTTCCCTTTGCTCTTGGTTCGCTCTCATTCATTTTTTTTTGCGAGGCGATTTCAGGCCGGGCGGGAGGCCAAAGGGGCCCGCGAGAGGTCTCTCTAAGGAAGACCTCCCTGGTTCAGGGCGCCCCCAAATCAAAAGGAAATTGTTGGTAGCAGAGATGCCTCCGGGGTCGCCTATACACCCCTGAGCAGAGAAAAAAGTGTCATGTGGCGTCAAGTGATCTCCTTCCCTCTCTTCCCTCGTCCTCCTCATCTTCCTCCCGGCCGTTCCACCCCATCTTGCCGTATCTCCCGGGCCTGTAAAGACGGTCTTCGGCTCGGCAGTCAAAGTCACGTCACGTTTCCTTCTTCCCTGCTCCTTCCTCATCCTCCTCGTCCTTCTCCTACCATGGCCGCCCTTGTGGGCCATCAGCCAGACGATATTCTACTTCATCCCGCCCTGCTTCATTTTTCAAGCATCGCCACTACGCTCCGATGGGCCCTCCCCACGTCTCTTCATCTCCCCTACCGCTACCAACACCACCCCACCCAAGACCCCAAATGAGAGATTCTTTGTGGATCGAGATGAGTCCTTGGTCCGCAGCTGCGGCCGGTAAGATCTGGACTCTTGCCAGATGATGGTGTTGTCTACTGGCCAAACCCCAGGCGAAGGTCCTGACTGTTCGCCCGCCTCGAATGGCTTAGCTCTGGTACACATCGCGATGGGCCCAGAGGTGAGAATAATCCGAAGAAAGAAAAAGAAGAAGAACAAGAAGAAGAAGCACGCACCTCCATCAAGGTCATGGGCGGTGGTTGGTCCTTGCATGAGGCGCCTCCCGAGCGGACCGTCCCAGAGGCTGAGTGAAAGATCATACAAGACGTGGGGATTGGACAGTTTCCGAATGCATGACCTTCGAGAATGCCTTGACCTGCCGAGATGAGTCTTGCGCCGGTATGCGTGTGTGGTGCGTGCCCCCAGTTCCGGACCTTCCAAGCGTCGCCTGTTGAGCTGAGGATAACAAAACAAGCAACCTACCTCTCTCTCCCTTCATTAGCCAACATTGTGACATGTGAATGATCGATGGGATTCTGTGCGCCGCGAAATAGATGAAGTCCTACCAGCGCCACACCCTTTCAGGTTTCACTACATTAGTACTTGGACGCTCATTCATTTAACCACTGCAGCTTGTGGTTGTCACATGCTGCCTGGCACGGTGGACTCCCGCCATCTGAGTGATCATCCCATCTTGCCTTCCCGTCGCAAAAAGGTCCAGTGCTGACTGGGATCCCATTCTCGAGATTTTGAACATCACGGCGTGGTACTCATTGGTAGCTAGGCGTCAACTCAACTGCTTGTGAACACTGTTGTTGACCGTGGTCATTGCTTTTCCCCACTGCTGTATCTACGAGTGCACGGTGCCACATCTAAAAGTACAAAATTTGGTTTTGATGTGTTTTTTTTTGTTTCTTTCATGCCTCTATAGACCGGGCCACTTGGCCTTATTATACAGCAAATGTAGTGGTATCATCATAAATATACTCCCGGATTCACGTCCCTGACCTCCTAACATAGAATCAAATGCTGTTGTTCACGTACGTTATCAGACCCATTCAAGCGCCTCAGTCCAAAACCGGTAAAGATGCCTCTTCTGGGGTTGATGTGTCCTCTTCCTCTGCCTTGCTGTCATCCTCATTAATGTCTCCTTCCTCGGAAGTCGAAGGTTGGTCCAAGGAAGACGTATCGTTGGTCTTGTCTTTCTCACTATCCACGACTGTGGCGGTTATGGCGGTTGGTTCGATCTGTTGGTCTTCAGCCGCCTTCGCCTTGGCTGCCGCGTCCAGTTTTGCCTGCTCTTGCTGCTGCAAGCGTGCCGCTTGAAGCGCATTGATCGCATCTTGCATCTCTTGCTTCCTAGCCGCAGCCTCGGCGTCGAGGTCCTGCGCCTGCGCCTGCCCCTGTTGAGCCTGGGGTTGGGGAGGAGGTTGGACCACTGTGTGATTTCACGGCATTAGCAAAGGCACTTTTAGTGACCAGACAAGAAGACAAAGCAACAAACACTTACCCCCGTCTTTGCTGTCGCCAGGACATCTCTCGCGATCCAGCTTGGCGTTCATGACCATGTACAGCTCCGGGCAATAATCAAGCATCGTCTTCCTCCGCTCGTGGTCGCCCCACACTTCTGCTGGGAGGTTTTCGCCCATCTCCTGCACGTGGAAGCCCATGGGCTTGTCCATGTAGACGTTTTCCACGGCCAGGGCACCCTCTAGTCCCGACGCTACCTTCAGGCCGGGTGTGATGTAGAGGCGCTGACCGAACCACTCGTCCTCGGGGGCTGTATCGTTGTAACGAGACTGGAACTGGAGGATCTTCCTGATCGCGGACATGCGACGGAGCGATAGACCCCCATTGCCCGAAAAACGGTCGTCGGCGGTTCTACGAGGGGAAGACGTCAGACGATGAAGAGGAAGGAGGTTTTGGGAGGCCAGAGAGCCTGGGAAGGGGTTTGCTCACCTTGGCGCGCCGGCCCAATGCCAGTCCAGCCACTCGTTCAGGCTGACTTCCGAATTCGCACATAATATGCTATCGTACTCGTACTTGAGTAACCACTCCACGCCTGGCAAGAACTCGTTGTAGAATCGCATATCCGTCAACGTCCTGTACACCATCTCCTTGGATGAGATGTCCCATGGGTCTGGTAGGACCATCAGGTCCAGCTTGCCCACGATCTGTTGGTGCTTCACCGAGGTGCTCCGACCCATCATGGTGACGCTCTCCTGCGAGCCGATGAACAGAAATCGCCAATCTGGTGGGACCACGGCTATCATGTGCAACAGCTGGGGGACCAGGTGCGGCATGACCCGCGGCTCTATGATCATGGCCAGTTTGGCGGAGTCGTAGGCAGCTCGTGGGTCGGCCGTTGGTGTCCAGTCGACCGTTATGGAGGGAATCTTCTGCCTTGCCTCCTCGATTCGTGACTTGAACGATGCTTTGATCATAGGCTGGTAGCTTGGGAGGAGCGAGGCGGTCCACCAGGTCAGTGCCAGCGAAATCGCCAGAAACAGCCTCAATTTTGTGACGACGAAGAGGCCGCCATTCGAGGGCGTGGCAGCGTGGGAAGCCATGACGCAGTGGAGGGAGAGAAGACGAGGAGGACGAGGAGGAACAGGAGGTGGTGGTGATGTGGTAAGTTCGGGGACTGAAGACCCTCGAGGGCCACGGTGATGCGCGCTCTCTCGCGCTCTCTCTGCTCTTCGTTTAAACGCAGTCCACAGTCGAGTCGCGCATCATAGTCGCTCCTAAAGACAAACCGGTCTGCACGCTTGTTCGGCCTTGACCACGCTTTGTCTTTATTCAGAGTTGTAGAAGCCACGAGAGCAATTCAGTCGAGACTCGAGAGATGGTCATGCCAGGTAACGCTAGTGCGAGGACCAATCCGCGCCCAAAAGAAAATAATAAAAAAAAGAAAATGCAGGTGATAAACTGGGAAGCAGCATCTCGAGCAAGGGAAAAAGGGAGGATTTTCGTTGAGTGTACTATGGGATGGCGGACGGCGGGATCGACGCACTGGGACCTGCAGGTGTCTGTCTGGACACGCCTCGAGTGGGGCAGGTCGAAACAAGACGGAGGTACATGGAAGTACATGCCGGTGCGCGTCAGGTCCCCGAGCAGGGCTGCTGCATGCAGGAGGTACCGCCTGTCCCGCACGAGCATCACTTCCCAAAATCCGTCCTCTTCTTTTCTTGCATGCTCTCTTCCTGACTCCGCGCATCAACTATACACTATGGCCATTACGGCTAAGAAACCAGACTATTTGTTCAGAGATCTGGACCTACCCTCGGCCCCAGAGAATAAACATGCTCCGGAGGAGGGTTTTTTTATTTTATTTCTTCCATTCAGCCGCATTTTAGTAAAGGGGTCTCCGGAATGGCCAGAACGGGGGCAAATCAAATCTCACAATCTCAATGGACTGATAACTGAGGCTTGACACAAGAGTGCTGACTGTCTCTTCCAAAAGTTATTTGGTTGCGGTCTCAGCAAATACTTTGGGGAGAGAGAAATAGAGAGACAGAGATAGAGGACACCTGGTCATCGCTTGTAGGTTAGATAAGATGCGAGACACACTATGTAAGTAAGTGATTCACAAGGTGTTTGGTATGATACATTTGCTCTTCCATGTGCCAAGACTTCTGTTGAGGCTGACGACCAAGTACCTGCATTGGTGCTGTGGTACAAGCCGCCCAGAAGACAGGTTCTTAGCCAGCCAAAGTCCCCCCTGTGCCACAAGGCAAAAGAGGGTGTCCGCTGCAACCCCCACGACATGCTGAAACCGAACATTTCCAACCACGCTCAGAATAGTCATGCGTGTTCCATATTCCTTGTGACAGTCGTAATGTCGTGAGAGCAGCCGCCACAGTTCCAGTTTAGTCATTCGCTTAGGTTCGTATCCTATGTACTATGGCAGTCCATAACACACATAGTCATATGCTGTCAGCTTCAATATATTACTTCTTCCCCTCCCCCTTCAATACCATAGTAGTATTTTCCCCCCTCTCTCTTCTCGATAGCCCCATCCTACACGTGGGTTGGTCCAATATATTAGTTGCAGATACTGCCTGTCAGTCCCACTTGGGCTGAAGTCCAGCCCTGAGTCCAGCCCAGGCTGCGGGCGGGGGACCTGCTCTGGCGTGCTCTGGTGTGGCTCTGGCTTCTGAGTCCGGCGTCAGTGGGCTTGCGCGACTTGGGCCTATTGTGGAGGTGCTGAAGTCCCTAAGGGCTGAGAAAGTCACTCCAGGTACCGATCTTGCCATCGTCGGTACACCCCCTACTGGGGTTCAGACGCTGCTCCCTTGTTTCTAAGTCCCCCCAACCCTGCATTCGACCAGGGGACCTAACCCATTCTTTTCGCTGCTCCTGCGTCTCTGTGTCTGATCCATCCTCCCTACGCTCTGCCTGCCCTCAAAACTGAATTCACTCCAAGTCGGTTCTTTTTCTTCCATAATGTTTTGATCAGGTGTACACGACCTTTGTTTGAGTCTTTTTCTCTCTCTCCTCCTTTCCTACTCCTCCTTCAATCACCACTGCCGACAGCACACTTTTATATAATCTCTTCGTTGTGACGAAAGACGCGATAAGCTTTGCTGCATAGCCTCCTGACGTTGATCTCCGGTTACCCTGCCTCAAACAATTGCGAGCAACCCCCTGTGCGGAGTCCGGACAAGACGGCATACTTTGATTGCGCGTCATTCAATCACGACATCAGACTTCATCTTCCTTGCAGTGTCAATCGCTCCCACAGTTGGAATCGACCACGCCAACCCGCTTTACTACAACATTGAACCCCAGGTCGACCGCCCTCGCAAGCGTCCTGGCCAGCATATTCATGCATGCATGACTTCACCGACCCGGTGTCCGCCCTAAGCAGGTTGATATACCCAACGCTCACCATCTGCCGGCCTTACATGAGAACGTGGGCTGGTGCTTAACGGCCATTGGTTTTCTTGTTGGCCGACTATATTCTCAACTTCCTTTCGAGGATCGCCTTGGTTGGCGTTTTCTCTGACCCTCACTCTCTTTCTCTTTCTCTCGATATGGCGCTCTTAGAAAAGAACGAGGTCGAGGAGATGACCTTGGAGGAGGCATGGGTGCGGATAAAATCAATGGCGATGAGGATATGGGCGAGGACCACACGCAGGATACGAGTTGTTCTCGCGCTCGTTGTCTTTTTGTACGTTTTTATCGCCCATGATATGATGCTGCACATCTGAGTGCCGCTGGCATGGCAAGAAGCAAGACTGACCCCCACCGTTGGCCAGAGTATTCACACTTACCCTATCACCCGGCTACATACAAGACTATGACGCCTACATGACTATACCAAAGGTCTCCCTACAGTATGCGCAGGAGCAGAGGACGCCCTTCAACGAGTCCAAGGTGGCCCTCCTGATCGAGAACCGTGCCAACCCCATCCTCGCCCCTCTGATGCTGCACTTTATGTCCGTCGTCCCGCCCGACTGGCGCTTTCGGTTCATGGGCTCCGTTGAGTCTGTCGAGTTCATCAACAAGTCTGTCGCCATCCAGAGCCAGGTCCGGACCGGCAAGCTTGATCTGACATACATCCCCTCCAACATGTCTGTGTCCTCTCAGGAGGAGATCTCCCGCTTCCTCACCAACCTCTGGATGTACGAGACCGTCCTCGCCCCAGCTGAGTGGTTGCTCATCTTCCAAACCGACTCCATTCTGTGCGCCAACTCCCAGCGCAATCTCAACGAATACCTCGACTACGACTGGATCGGCGCCCCCTGGAACCCCGGTTCACGCTTTGGCGGGAACGGCGGCCTGTCCATCCGCCGCGTCAGCGCCATCATCGATGTGCTGCGCTCGCAGGCCCGCGCGGACTTTTCCGAGGCCGAGGACGTCTGGCTCACCGAGCGGCTGGGACACAGGCCAAATGCCAAAATGGCCGACGCAACCGTCTCGCTCACCTTTAGCGGGGAGATGCACACGGGTAAGGCTACCCATCTAGCCACCGATAAGGAGACGTCACAGTACAACTCGACCATCGAGGCCGCGGAGCAGGGAGAGCTCGTCAAGGGGATCGACGACTGGCGCGAGGGTTTCTACGAACCCATGGGATATCACACAGGTGGCGGCGGCACATACCTACACTCGCAGATCTGGGGCAGTCCCAGGCTTAGGAAGCATATCTGGGACTACTGCCCCGAGGTCAAGATGACGCTCGCCATGGATGCGGCGAGGTACGTGCCGGGCAGCTGTGGTGCCTACTGGAAGCGAGACGCTCTGGGAGATGGGTATCACATGGCTGATACAGGTATGCTGGATGTCGACCTGGGAATGGGAACGGAGATGATTGATGGTGTCGAGTACCCATTACTCCCCGATGGGTTGACGCCATTCTAAGAGAAACCAAACCTCTCAACGTTACCGAGGCCTGGGATACATATCTCTTTGCCGATCAAAATTTCTTTGGTGGATTTTATTTGCTTCTTCTCTTTTCCTCGGCGGTGTGCCTCGTGCAAACCAGCAAGCCGAGTAGTGTAGGTGTTTTGTGGCGTTGGGGGAAGGCCCGTATGGATATGGGTGGAAAAGGAGCATAGAACCGGCTTGGGTCTCGACCGGCTGGATGATTTGGATGTGATAAGAACACACACACACACAGAGAGAGAGAGACACGCGCAAACAGTGGTTGGAATCAGAAATGTCATGTTTGGATACTACATTATAGGTCGAGCAGCCAAATGTTAAGATTATTTGGATAGATCGACTTTTGGAACTATGCATTGCACATCATTGCATCAAAATCTCAAATATTTCCATATGTGCCATGCATGTTTCAGGCCTCTTAGGCATTTCTTCTCTGTAAGTGCTTCTTCTATCCAGCAAAATACTAGCCATGCGTCGTTTTTCCATTATGAACAAACGGGTTTCTAATACAAGCCATCCAGGAAAGCCTCCAAAAATGAATGCTATTCTTTGAACTATGCCACCCACCCACTTGTTTTCGTTTCCCTTCTATTCTAACCCAGATATTTTATTTCATCCTCCTTCCTCTAGCCAAGTCCATACAATAATTATCACAAGCGCCAGCCCTCCGAGCGAGGACCTTCAGGCGAAAGCGTGCCCAAGCAGCTAACCCCCGACGACGCCGCCCACAATGGCTGCCAGCTCCCCAAACAGGACGCCCTTGAGCACCGTCTCGCCCATGTCCTCGGCCCAGTGTCCGCCGGCCTTAAGCCTGTCGCGCCACAGCGCCTTCTGCGGTTCCGACAACTCGTCCCAGTTCTTGGCGGACCCGTCGTGCTCCGTCTCGAGGTTGATGTCGCCGCCGGGGACCTCGGAGTCGCGCAGAACAATACCGTGCTCGCGTCCAGCCAAGTTGCGCTCCTCAAGGAGGCGGGCAAGGAAGCCGGCGTGTGGGGAGGGCGGCGGCGGTGGGTTTGCGGGACTGGCGTGGAGGATAGAAGGGAGCCATATGTGCCCACCGACGACGGGGCGGGTGAGGCCCTTCACCTCCAAGAGGCCCTGGAGCAAGACGCCGATAAGCAGCGCGACAGCCGCAAAGAAGAATAACGTGCCGGCTGGGCTTGGTCCACGTCCGCCGAGCGCAGTCACGTACCGCGGGAGACGCGGTGGCCCTGCGCCGCGGCGGGCCTTGACAGGCCTATCGAAGTGTTTCTTGAGAGCGATGGAGTGGACAGTAACACAATTGCTGACCGAGGTGCTGGCCAGGCGGAGGTATTGCGTCTTGCCGGTGCCGGAGCGGGGTGGGATGAAACGCGAGAAGCAGAGGCTGGTGATCATGCCGGGGTGAGCCTTCTTGAGAACGCGCAGGGGGAAAAGGCGTGTGAGGAGGTCGACGTCGCCCAGGACCTGGTGGTCGAGGGTGTACAGGTGGATGGAGCAGTCGTTGGCGGCGACTGCGATGACGAATTGAGCATCGCTCTGGGCCGCGCCGGGCGAGGTGGGCGGGCTGAGGTTCGCGACGGCCAAGCCGGTGGCCTTGGCGCCCTTGCGTCTGGGCAGCTTCGTGTTGACGGCGATCCTGGCCGTGGCATCCGGTTTGGCGTTTGCCTTGGGCAGGCGGAACCCGTAGAGCACGACGCCGCCTCCTGGGCTGGGCAAGTTGGCGATGGCAAAGGCGAAGCCGGCAGACAGGTAGCGTATGCAGCGGAAGGATGGCCGAACGTCGTCGGAGGGTATGGCGTAGATACACCTGGGCTCAGTGTCCACGGCGTTGCCCGCATCAGGGGTGACGTCGAAGGTGTAGATATTGTAGCTGTCGCAATATATGAGCTGGTACCTGTCCTCAGCCGTCTGCAGCACGTCCATATCCACTGCCTCGCTCCTCAGGTCTAGCACGCCCCTCATCCTGGGCGCGACATTGCTCCCCGCGGCGACATCGAACAGCGCGACCTGCGGGTCCTTGGACAGGCCCGTGGCTACTGCACCCAGCTGCGACGTAGTCGGGAAGGGCTGCGTCAACCTCAGCAGGCGCTGGTATGTGTTCTTGTCGTCGGTGGTGAACAGGGCGGTCCTGCTCAGCTCGGAGATCCTGGCACCCAGGACGGAAGACTTTGCAGCCTTGGGCTGGTCGGCGGAGAGGACGCGAAAATGCTCGTTCTTGCCTTTCTGCAGGTCATCGGCGCCGGAACTGATGCCGGCGTAGAGCAAGGTGGCTCTACCCTTGCGCTGGCCGGCTGCGAGACTGGCGACGTTGTCCTCATATTTTCTCAGGGTGATCTCGCCGGTGATCTCGAGCTTTTCGCGCGACGAGGCATCGAGGGAGGTGATCTTGTTGTCGACCCCAGTGCGGCTCATGCCTCCGCCGCCACCGACGAAGAGACGCCCGGGGTCCTCGGGGTCGAAGTCGCAGCCATATAAGGGATAGTCAAGGGTGATTTTCGCTTCTGGGAACGGAGGAGGCATCTTGACCTCGACAAAGCATCCTATGCTCCAGTGAGCCTCGTTTGTTGGTGGGAAAAGGACACGATGGCGATGACGACAGTCCAAAAAAAAGGCCGGCAATGGAAGAAGACACATGCTTTGTGAGGTAGTAGCGAACCCCTGCTCCCGCCGTCCCGCCGCTTTGGGGTAGGTGCAGGGGTTGGCCCCAATCTAGATCCGTCTGGTCGTAGTACCATACATACTACCATAGTACCTGCCAATAGCATACATATAGCACACCATGAATAGCAGCAGCAGCTCTTTGCGCCTTCTGTAACTGACTTCCAGTTCTACCCATCGCAACTGCATTGGTCTTTTAAGGGAAAATGACGCGCCACGTAGCCACACCCAAATTCCTTGAATGGCATGGCCTAAGGCAAGAAAGGGATCGGCGGGGGAAGGGCGCAAAGGGGAGCCATTCCCTTTGTGACGGACTGTTCAGTTGAGCCTACTGGCGTCTCTCTCATGAACACATTCATCTGTGTATCGAGTCTCCAGGTGGTCGCTCAGTGTAAAGAAGAAGAAAGAGAAACAAAAAATGAGCACATGTCAGGACGTTCAGGCTCATCTTCATAACTGGCCGCCTGACAACAGCATGTCCTGTGGACGTGTCCACTGGGGCCCCATCCGGAGCTGTTACGTTTTCATTTCCCATGCACGAGTATTTTGTTCGATTTGCAGGGCACAGGAAGCTGAACCCGAACCTATACTCTGTGCAGAGACGTCTTTTTTTTTGGCAGCTTGCAGCCCTTTTTGGGGAATGGACGGGAGGGAGCCGCGGGCGGCCGGAATGACGACAAGAACAAGACCAGATCAACTTGGACAACACGCTCGAAGGAGTTCTGATGGCTGATACTAGACAGCCACCTCCTGAATGCACAGCGTCAGGAAACCGGCGTAAGATTATCAGCATGCATACATGCAGCGTATTGCGAGACCGACGAGGCTTGACGGTTGTGACCCGTGAACAGTCAAGGGGAAATGACTTGCAGGGAGGGAGGCATCGCGCTGTTGGCACGGAAATTCCAGGATACCTACTATGTAAGTGACATCGTGGGGTCTCTGCTCAACTCTTCGCTGCAAAGTCATCGCCTTGCTCATGTGGAGGTATTCATTGCTGCTCAACCGGACCGGACGGCAGTGAGACTCAACGCAACCTACTCTTGGGGGCCAGCTATGTGGATGATTCGGGCCGCATTCGCTCTCTGTGGCAACTGGCGGTCGCCTAATAGGAGACCACTTGCAAGCAGGAAAGAGGACGCCACCCCCTATGGAGGTTTACTCTGGGTATTCCTCAGGAGGGACATAACTGCCAAGGCCATTTCCAAATGAGAAAAAGAGCAGAAGCCCCACTGTCGTGAGGTCATAGGAGGCCTGAGGAGACTGGTCCACTGCGATAGCAGCGAAGAAGGCCGCCCGAGCTGTTCTCTCGGCACGTGCTCGGATCTAGTTGAGCAAACCTCTTGCGGGCCTGCCGATCTGCGCACGTCTCAATTTCCGTGCCGTTCAGGAAAGAAAAAGAAACGGGGCACGCAGCGACACATGTGCCGAAGCGGAGAACCCGAGGCTGAGAGACAACGCGGAAGGCTGCAGAAAGACGCAACGCGGTGGACGCATGGTCCCCTTTGGTGTGCAGACACACGCGCGCACGCACACACGCTCCCAAGCACGATTCAGCCTGTGTAAGTAAACCACCCAATATGCGAGCATTTTATAGGAGATGAGGGAGATCTCGCCTCGTGTGGTAGTCCACCCCCGTCACCGATGCGATGGTATCGTGCGAGATTGCGAGATCGAATTCCATCCCGAATCTAGATGACTTCGAGGGGACCTGCAATAAGATTGCAGTTGCCGGACTGGCGAGATGATGTCGATGGGGAACCGCCGGGTCCAGCGCCTTATGAGGGTCCCAGCTCTGTCTGTCTGTTTGATTTCGACGTGCACGGTGTCTTGAATCAGCTGGGCTCCCTGCCCTGCTTCCACAGGGGCGATCAGTGCTATAATTGTGGTCCTGCTATGTCTCGGGCTGATAGGGTGTGCGCTCAGAATGTTCGTCATTGGCACATGTGCCTGGGACGCCCATGCAGTTGTCGACCCTCATGCTCCAACGTGATGAACAGGGCCCCATTTTGATATGGGGGTAAAAAGGATCCGTTCGTTGGCTGATGTCATGGCACACAAACCACCATTTCCTCAGTACATCACGCAGGATTTCACACCTTTTTTAGCATCTTGGAAGCCTGTGGGCGGGTGTCCCTGCATTAGCGCAGTGGGAATAGAGGGGGGGAAGGGAGGAGAAGAGGAGGAGGAGTGGTGGCCTTTCAGCCCACAACAGGCCCCGCAATTTTATCCAGAACCCAGCTCGCATCTGCCAGGGCCCGCGGTACTGTACAGCAGAAGGACCAAAGTTACATGTCCAACCAGGCAGCAGGAGGAGGAGGAGGCTGGCTATTCGGCCAGATTCTCACCTGGTTCCAGAGGAATAATTCCTTCAGGCCCGGCCCGGTGTCACAAACTTGATATATCCACGACAACAAGCCGAGTCGCACAATGAGGCGTGGCTAGAGTGGCTTTCAGCTCAGTCATGAAGTGCTGAATCAAGTTGGAACGAGCATTTGCTGGGTGCACTATAGTAATCCAACCTGTTTAATATCGCTCGTTTCAAAACAATGTTGTGCGAGCGAGGTCCCTGGGGACGGACGACGCACTGACACCTGGATCGGCCCCCTGCCAACAATCAACCTTATTTCCCATCCACAGGGATCATGGCTTCCACTGGAAAATTACCGCGGAGTCACTTCAAGATCTCAACGTCTTCTTCCCCGGTCCATACTCTCACAATCAAGGATATTCTTCAGAACAGTGCATCCTACGGGTACGGCTCAGGTCATGCCGTGGGTCTCTTGGGGAGTGTGGGCTTTCTTTCCTCCCCCGCCCCCCCCCCTCTCCTTCTCTCACTCTCAATCTCATAGCTTTCAGCGCATGAGGAGGATATGGACAGCGAAGACTGGCCAAAGCGTACGCCATCGTCTCCTTTTTCGGATTCGCAATACTCCCCACGTCGCAATGACGATCTCAACAACGTGAGCAAAGGGCCAAGCTTTCGTATGGTACAAACCTCTGTTGTCAGTAAAAGGAGGAGGAGGAGGAGAGCAGTTAGCTTCTTGGGGAGGGCAAGGTGAGGTCAGGTCGACATCATAGGCGCGCCGTACAGGTGGGAAGTCACATCGGGCGATCTCAGCCTGGCGGGCAGAAGAGCGGCATCTGTGGTCATCAGAAGCTTGGCTCTAAGCGCCGGATGGGCTCACCAGCAGGAACAATCACACCAACTGAGCGACGGGGAATTTGTTGCCACGACTCCGCAGCATGCAGGTCCAGGTCTCTCAAACTAGTTCAGGCTATCCATGGCCAGTCACTGCAGTCAAGTGACTGGCCATCAGGGTTTTCACCACCCCTCGTCGGAGGGCGACGGCGAGTAAGACCGCGCAGCAGGCAACTCGGCCAGTCAGCTTCACCCTACGGTTCGAGATGAATACCTCCTGGGGGCATGTCGGGGAGGCTTAGAGCACCCTCTGGAATAGGCGCGACTGGCAGGATGGAACCCTGCTGATCGTTCACCAACGCCGTTCCTTTGTCCTCACCTCCACCGAACCCCTGATTTTAGCTTGCAGGGGGTTGGTGGCCGCCAACGACCCATGCATATTGCAATTTCCCACGAGGATCCCACAATGAGGAACCATTCACCCCCGGGGGGCATACGCAGTCATTCCCTATTTAAGAAGAACTGCCCTCTTTGCTCTCCTTCCATCACACTCTTCTCGCTCTCCTTCAGCCTACCAAACAAGCTTTGTAACCTTCACCTTCAACGAGTCTTTGCCTCACTTTTGACTTCGGTCGTCCATTCATTCACACGAACTATAACCCAACGCCTCTAGAGCTCGCGAGCCTCAGTCCTCTCTCTCTCTCTCTCTTCCTACGGAATCTTACCCAACCTTTGTTTTCTCAACAAGACCAACACAACAAAATCAGCCAAAATGCGTTCCATGATCTTTGCCGCTGGCCTCATCGCCCCCGCCTTTGCTGCCATTGGACAGCCCGCTCCCGAGTCGACTGTCTACAGCACTGAGATGATCACCATCACCTCTTGCGCCGCCACCGTCACCGACTGCCCTGCCCGCTCCACCTCGTAAGCCGTTACCCCTCCTTCTGTACTCACGGAGAGAGAAAGCTCTTCTAACAATTGTGATATCACAGCGTGTCATCCAAAGTCCACACCCTGACCCAGAGCACCGAGACCTCGGTTGAGGTTGAGACTGAGACTTCGTCCTCCGCCGTCACGGTCACCCCCTCTCCCTCCAGCACCACCCTCGTCGTTGCCACCACCCCGGCGGCGAGCAGCGAGGCCACCACCGTCAGCTCCAACTCCCCTGTGGGCGAGTCTGCTCCTCCCGCTGTCGGCTCCTCCAGCAGTGCCGTCCCCATCGTCGGCTCGACCGTGTCCATCGCTGTCCCCAGCTACTCCTCCGTGTCTCCTGCTCTCAGCACCGGAGCCGGCCAGTGCCCCAGCTACTCGGTCCAGACCATCTCCACCTCTGTGACCACCGTCGTGCCGACCGTCATCTACTCCACCGTCGCCATCCCCTGCGCCGCCACCACCAGCGGAAACTCCCCCGTTGGTGTCTCCTCTGGTGGTGTCAGCCCTACTGGTTCCAGGAACGCTACGTGAGTTTTGATCCAACCAACCCCCTTGAAAAGTCTTTCAAAGGATATAGGAATCTAACATGAGATTCAACCAAACAGTGTTACTGCCTCCAGCCCTACCGGTATTGTCACTGCTGGTGCTGCCTCCTTCGGCGCCTCCGGTGCTCTGGCCGCTGTCGCTGGTCTCGTCGCCATGCTGGCTTAAGTCTGAACGATTATGAGCACAATCTCATAACTCGGGACCTGGGTGGCACTGGGACATTCCTAATATCTCATTGAAAGGAAAAAACAGCAACCTGAGAGGTGGTTGTTCTTTCTTTTGGCCTTGAGTTTTGGATTTGAGCAGCTGGACGACGGTGCATCTAAACCCTTTTCTTGTGGTGTGGGACGGACACTGGAACCATCTGGGATGTAAATTTAATCTTCTTTTTGAAAATGTTGCTTGAGCCCACCTTGAGGTTCCCCGTGGGATCCGGAGCTCTTGTTGAGAAATTCACAAATTTTTTTTTTTTTTTTCCATGATTAAAAAACCGAGCTACTGTTCTTCCACGTGTGCTTGGTGCCTTCCTTTCTTTCGATTCCTTGCGGGAAGGAGACGTCGTGAACCAAAAGATCCGGCAGGAATGGGAATTTAGCCCATGGAGAAAAAACGTGGTGTCTCAATTTGTCCCGCCTCCATGGCGTGCTGTGTGTACACTACTTTACTATACAGGGCACAGAAGTAGGAAAGTTGGCCAACAGAACCTTTTTTTGTGTTTTCTGTTTCCCACACACACCCCCCCCCCTCCACTGGATCCCTCCGAAAAACGAGGCGAAGTACATGACATTCCACCCCCCCCCCCCCAGGGGGCCAGGACCTGCCCCTGCAGACGAGATTAACAGGCGCTGGGATATAGGGCCGTCGCAGGCCGTCATTGGTCAAGCTGGGGACGCCACAGACGGGTGATCTGCAACGACCTACTCAAAGCGAATTGGTTGGGTGTTTCAGGATCCTCGAAACAATATACCTTTAGTTGAAAAGGAAAAATGATTACGTTGTGGTCCTGTTGGCCATGAGGAGTCAAGTTAATGCATCGGTATTATCCGTTCCCTCTTTTTTTCTTTCTTTCTTTTTTGCGGGGCAGAAAGAGGACTTGATCTATTTTTTCTTTTCTTTCTTCTTCTTCTTTTGTCACATCTCTGCTCTCTAAACCAGGAATGTGAATTCTTCTTCTCCTTGCAGTGCGACGTCATTGGTTGGGTTGGCTGGCTGATGGATGAGAAGGAGGCTTGAGGGAAGATGGGAGGAAAAGATGAACCATGGGCCCGGACCAATATAGCGACAAACTTCGAGCGGTCTGGGGAAGGGGAGGACGGGGCCCGCTTCCTTACCATACATGGGATTGCCTGTCTCCCAGCTGTGCTGTTGCCTCTGAATTCCTGTACCAGGCTGATTGCTGACCCTCCGTTCATTCTCGCAAAGCCTTCGGACTTTGAACTCACACAGACTAATTCTTGTCCTCTAATTGTTGTGTTACTTCGCGCTTCTTACCTTGACCGCCTCCTCCCCTTCTTCACTCTTCAACCTTCAAGGTTCCTGGGTCCTCAATTGAGCCTCGTCAACCTGGGACTCTGGCATCGTACCACCCAGTGCCCACGTAGGCTAAGTAAGTACCTAGCAGTGGGGATAGTTGCGGGAGAGAAAATACCTTTCTATGAGACTATGTTGTGCCGCAGACCAGGGTGAATCAAATCTCCTCTGTCTCCTGCGGTTGCTGCAACTAACGGGTTTGCGGACGTATATCTGCCGTTTGTGATCAAGGTTTGTTTTATGAAGGACGAACCTCCGAGTCAAGACATGGCCTCTTGTTTGTCTTGTGCTTCTTGATTTCTCCTCCCGGTCCATGCCCATGAGAAATTACTACATCACCTGCGACATCAAGCACACGCCACACCTCAGAAGCTGGTTCCTTGCTAGGTCGACGCTTGCGAGCGCGAGAGCATAGTTACTACTGCAAGCCCTCCATTTGATGTCACACCCACTCTCTCTCTCTTTCTCTCTCCAGCTACTGCTGAGGTTCCGGATCCTTTGGTGGTCATAGAGCATCGCGACCCCTTTGTTGTGACATGCTGTACAAATGCATGTTGTGGCCATTGATTGACCTACATAAACGTTGGTACCAGAAAAAAATATCCATGACAAAGGAAAGGTAGGCTATTGTTGAACGCCTTCCCTGCTGGCTAGCTGGCAACGTACTTCACATATCCCAGTCTGCCACTTTGTGGTCTTTCATTTAAGCAACAGATTTGTATGTTCCTTTCAGCGTCCCGTTCTTTGGGAATGAAGTCCTTGGTCCCGGAGATAGGATGTTGCTTTTATCTATATATATATATATATATATATATCTAGGGAAAGATGGCTTCGAGGCCGGTCCTGTGGCTGGCGAGGGTGCTCATCAGACCTTTGTTCTTGAGCAATCGAATCCGGCGAGATGCGGGATTGATGTGGCACAGTTGCTACCGTTTAGTCACAGTACATATGAACATCCCGCCGTCACCACAACGTGGACAACAGAGGGGTGTGTGCGTGTGTGCGTGTGTGTGTGTGTGTGTGTGTGTGTGTGTGTGTGTATGTGTGTGTGTATGTGTGGCTCTCGCCAGACAGGCTCCATGTGCTTGTGATCTGACAGGGCGAAGCCTTTTCTCCTCATTGCCTAATGAGATCAAGACCCCTCGTAAAAAGAGGCCAGTTTCTTATTTCCGTGGTCCCTTGGTGCCTGCCTTGCAATCCGCAAACATCAATCATTGTTTTCTGATACTTGGGTATAGTCACCAGCTTCTGTCAGTGCAATAAAATAATCTAAATGGGAAAGGGGTCCTTCACATGGTAACAGAATCCAGTTCAAACAAACGTTGGCCTTACCATATTATACATCATCGTTTAACCTTGCTGAGCGTCCTTCATAAGTAGTGAGCATTTCTTCAAGGCCCCTTTCTTCTTCGACGGTGCCAACGCTAAACTTGACGCCAGTTCTGCCTATCCACAGATCTAACACCATCAGGACGATGGCAGTCCGTTGATTCGTCCAGGCGTGGTTGGCCTTTACCGAATAACTTCTACCCCTTTCAGCTCAGGAGAGCTACCAACTGGTGCCAGTGTTGATCAGCCTCTCTCGCGGGTTGCGAGAGCATCTCGTCTTCAGGAAACCTGCCAGCTGGAAGTGATAAAGCAAGTCATGCGTCTCAGCGAGGGGCACGGGAATCAACCGAGATATCACAAAGAGGTGTTAAAGGACTGGATATGAATCTGGTGCTTTTGTCTCGGTCCGCCGCTCCTTGTGAAGATGATGCTGTACCACGTCCATTCCGTCGACTCGGCCGATGGGATAAACTAAAGCAGTCAAGAGGGGGATGAGCACTTCAAGCGGGATCTGGTCCAGGCTTCTGATTATCTTCTCATAACGAACACTGGAGGGCGTTGACCAAAGCTTACCAACTGGAGGCTCGACGTGGCTTGAGGTCGTCATAAATAGTATATATCTACAATACGCTTTCCGCTGACCAAGAACTTAGTCTTGCCGTCGAACATCATAGCTAATTCTCCATCCATCTTCAGAGGAGAGAAAGAGAAGCCATGGATCGTATGGACGCGCTCAACACATACCTGGCATCCACCGGCCAGCCAACCTTTGACTTCTTCGGCCCCAACGCCAACTGCACCATCGACCTGTGCTCGCCCAGATGGAGCGTCTACGGCTACAAGCCATCCCTCAGCGCCAACTTGGCCCTGCTGGCCATCTTCTTTGCCGCTCTGGTCGCTCATATCCTACTCGGCTTGAGGTCGAGGACGTGGTCCTTCATGGCGTGCATGATCTCTGGCTGCTTGGACGAGATGCTTGGATACGCCGCACGGGTGTGGATGTTCTCTGATCTGTGGAACTTTGATGCTTTCATGATCCAAGTTGGTGAGCTGCATCTTTGGGGGAGTGTGCTCGCTTCCAGTACCTTTTCATGACGTGTCTTGCTAAAGGATAGGTTCAAGTTTGCATTACAACAGCACCAGTCTTCTACTGCGCCGGCATTTACATGGTCCTAGCAAATACGTATGTCTCTATATACTAGCCCTCTCCCCTCCACCATTCCAGCCAACTGACCCTTCTTAATACTCTCAACCATGTTTTGCAATAGCATGTCCACCTTCGCCCCAACCCTCTCCCGCTTCCGCCCCTCTTTCCTATACTGGTTCTTCATCCCCTGCGACCTAGTCTCCCTCGTCCTTCAAGGTGTGGGCGGCGCCCTGTCCGCCACGACCGCCGGCCTAAGCCAGACGGGCATCAACATCGCCCTCGCCGGGCTTGCGTTCCAGGTGGCCACCCTGGTGCTCTTCTGCGCCGTATACGTCGACTTTGTCTGGCGGTACCACAGGTCCGGGCATGCGGATCGCTACCCACACCACGGCGACCTCTGTCCGGAAGTAGAAGTTGACAAGGAAGAGGCCAAGACGACGAGGACGAGGTTGGGCTTCGGGCAGCGGTTGAGGGTGTTTTACGTGTTCGAGGCACTGGCGTTTCTTATGATCCTTGCTCGGTGTGCGTTTAGGGTTGGGGAGCTGAGTGATGGGTACGGTGGTCCCTTGGTCAAAAGGGAGGACCTGTTCATTGGGTTTGAGGGGGTGTAAGTCTTTATTGCTCTCGGCTGAGGGCGCCTCCCCCCCCCCCCTCCCCTTCCCCCTAACTTATCATCTTGCACTGCCCTTTGCCCAGTGTTTGTACATCAGCTGACAATATGTTCATCCCAGTCTCATCGTCGTCGCTGCATTCGCGCTCTGCGTAGGGCATCCTGGGCTGATTTTGAGCCAGTCCCGGCGGAAGAAGAGCCCGACGGAACCCATCAGTCTGGAGACCGGACCTGATAAGTAGTCAGGATTGCTCCCACAAGGAGTTCAAAAATCAGGGAACAGGTTTCGCGATGATCGAGATATGGAAGCGTAGACGCATGGTGTCTCAGTCGAGTTGTGCTGAGAGATGGCACCACACGAGTAAGAAATACACCCAAGAACTTAATTTGCATACTTAGACAAGCAGGGTCACATAATCTTCAGTTCGAGTGCAGTCGCTTTGCGCTCCTAACAACTGTTGCATGGGCAAAGTTTGAAGGAACCTAGAAGCTCGATTTGATTAGAAGAAGACGGGGAAAGAGAAACGAGGCCGAAATCATTGAAGGGATGGGGAATCGCTCGCGCCAGGACAGTCAAACACATCACAGTCAACAATGCACCATCGCGGCAGCATCATAGACGTTTTACTATTTTTTCTTTCTCTCTCTCCCTAGTCCTGGGGATCTCAGTGGGAACTGGGTCGAGGAGCTCTGTCATTGATAACAGTAGTAATACAAATGATCTGAACGCCTCTATTCTAGGGCATCTTTGGCAATTTCTTTGTCTACCGACCAATTCTCAGGCCGCAAAGATGCTCCAAATATATAAGAGACATAACAGAAAACATGTAAAACACCGACGGCGACGCTCGTCACTTTTTTGAGAGGCCCAAATCCCACGCAGATTCTTTTTGAGAGACTGCAACTCCTGAAACGACGCCCCTCAATACAAGTACGCCGCAGGAGCCCTGAGACATCTATTCTAGATCAGCCGACGCAACTACTCGGGGAAGAGGCTGAGCCTTCTCGGGACTGCCCCGAAAGGCGAGGGTTGGCGAAACGCCCATGCCACCCAGTGGAGTGGATGGTGCCTGACCTGGCGTGGCCGTCTTGTCGAGCGCTTTCAGGGTAGTAGAAGGTGGCGCAGGCTTCGACTCAATGTTGACACTCTTATCCGCTGGGGACTGTGTGGCACCCGAATTGCCGTTCACAGTCGAGATGGAAGGTGTTGTTGTCGGCAAAGTGGCGACCCCAGATGAGGTGGAGGGAATGGTGGAAGGCGGATTAGGAGGCATTGCGGACGAGGTCGAAAGGGCGACAACAGACGGGTGGCTTGTAGGAGTCAAAGTAGAGTTGGCTTGAGAAGCGCCATCATCTTTCAGAGTTGTCTCCGGCGTTGCTTTGAGTGGCATAACATTGACAACGTCTTCGGTTCGCCGTGGTTCGTAGGTGGGATAATCACTTGGGCTGTCCTCGGACTGCTCGCCAACTGCTGAAGGAGACGAGACCATGTTTGATGGCGTAGAGGCAGACGGTGTGTCCTCGTCGTTGAGAAGACGCCTGACCCTGCCGTTTTTGTCGAACTTGACCTTGATCGGGAGCTTGACCACACGGCTATCATTCGATCCAGGGCTGTCGGCTGCAATCTCGTTGTCATCCTCATCCATCGCATCATTTTCAAATTCCTCTTCATCGTCCGTCTCGTCCTGGGGAATGTGATCTTCTTCCTCGTCATCGCCGAGATCAGGTTCCGACTCGTCCTCCTCCTCATCAGAGACGTAGTCCCGCCGTCTCTTGCGGGGTTGTGCCCAGCTGTTGGTGCCTTGATGTGTGGCAGCAGATCGACGAGGCCGGCCAGTTGGTCCGACTTCCGGTGGCTCGCTCATTTCAGTGTCCGCAGCATCGCCTTGCACGCTAGGCGCACCGCTGACACCTCCATTGCTCAGGGCATCAGCGTTGGCATTAAGTCGTGCGGGCGGACGGGACTGCCGGCCACTGGCCGTCACAACAGGGCCTGTCTCGACAGGGCTGTGATTTCTAGTGTTTCTTGTCGACCTTCTGTTGGTCGAATCGGTCTGGAAATCCTCCTCGTCCGAGAAGGTGTATTTGACCCGTTTGCCCCGCGTCCGTCCTTCGTATATAGAGAAACCGGGTTCAGGGCGACGGAATCGTTCTTTCTGTTGTCGTCTGTACTCACGACGCCTCCGCTTCTCCTCTTTCTCCTCAAAATTTGGGATGTTCTTGTGTATATTGCTGCTGAGCTTGCGGGCATTGGGACCCCCATCAGCTGTCGCGAGCTTCTCGGCCAGCGCCTTGACCTCATCAATGCTACCCGCCACGCTGATCCATTGTCTGTTGTAGAGAGCGGCTGGGTTCGACTCGCGGTAGACTCTGAATGAGCAGCTGTCGTCGCCCTCGATAAGGTAGTACCGGCGCTTGTCGCTATCGACGCCCCACGGCTGGACCGACAGTGGCTGATTGAGATCATCGTTCGTGCGCTTCCCTGTATAGCTCGAGTTGATCAGGGCTTTGATCGCGTCAGAGTGGCCGAGAGCCCAGACGGTAAGTGTTTTCAGCAGGTCGAGTCGTTTCTCGGGTGTGATTGTGTGAAACGTGCCGCCCTGCAGGGGATTCTCGGTCCAGTGCCGTGGCCACTGTGTCTTGAAGGTCGCGCCTGAAACGGCGTCTTCGCCCAGGGCTTTATTGTAGTGTCCAATCCTGTCTCCTGTAAGCTATGCGCGTCTGCAATGCGAGCGGACGGCCGCAACTGACTTGATGTCCTGCTTTCTGTTGAGGAGCAGCCCGAGCACCACACAGAGGAAATGCTCGACTCTCTCGGCAGGAGGCTCTTGTTTTATGTCTTCTTCGAGTTCGAGAGGTCCGAAATGCGCCAGCGATCTAGGCATTGCGCTGTCGAATCGCTTGCGAAACATGACAATAAACTGGCGGAAGGGTCAGTTCAAGGCTGCGAACGCGCGCGGCGCGCCTACCGCGACAAAACCGCGATTTGGACGCGATTTTCGACTCACAGCTATATCTTCATTGTCTGCAAAGACAAAATCGTGGGGAGGAGACTGCTCTCGCTTGCGTGGAGGAGGCGTTTTCCTGGACGCGGCAGCATCTTCGGGCTTGGTCTTGGTCAGGTACTTGAGGATGCCTTGCTTGTCAGGCTTGACCTCGACCTCATCATCGATGTCTGCAGGAGGGGGAGACAATGACGAGAGAGAAGATAAATCGGACGAGTCGTCATCAGCCATTGTTGAGCGTGCTGCGTGGCGTTGTTGGACAAACCCTGCGAAGTTGTTGTGTGGTCCAAGTTTCGAAGGTTGATTAGATGAAGGTGGGTGGGAATGACGGCACCATCCTCGCGTCTGATTTTGGGGCGGCACTGGACACTGGATCTAGGGACCACCGCACCGTCCGTCTACCTGGCAGATCACTGATATGATAGGCGGGCCGGAGAAACTCATCCGAAAACCACGGTCAAGACTCTTCTCTCTGTATTGCTATTTCCATCAAGTGATCTGACCTGCCTCAGCACTGGTCGTTGTCTCTTTGCTGCGCTGTCTACCTATCTCATTGCCCCCCCCCCCCATCTGCTGTCCTCTTGCTCTTTAATCCCCCGCCCTCTGTTCTCGTGTGCACAGCCGTAAGGATCTTCTCGACCGATCTGATCCATGTCTCGTTCTCCATCCCACTCACGCACAACACCTTTTCGCAGCACGAAAGACCCTTTTCTTCCTCCTAGAACGAACAAGTTGCTGACTCGAGATGAATGGTAACGTGCAGAGCAGGTAAACCTTTGTTGTTCCAGCCTTGGGGTCCGTCAGGTGAAACTGAATCAGGTATGGCCTCTTCGCACATCTCGCCACCCCAGCGTAGAAACCATACCCCGAAACCAGCAGTGACCACCGTATCTCACCAATGATGCCCTTTTTTTGTGAGCTGCCTCATAGGCCACACAAGTTCCATTCAGCCTGCAACCCCGCGTTGCACTTGTCAACAGCTAGGATGACTACAGCTGCAGCCACAGCCTTGCGCTGAACACACACACCCGCCTAATCCGCCCCGAGCAGAGATCTTACACTTGTAAAACCTTCTCGATGATGAACTTGATGATTGAGGAGGCCACAAATATGCCTCAGATGCCACTTGGCGGAGTTGCAGCAAGGCCAAGGTCTAGGGCGGGCTGTCTGGCAAGCGTGCCTTTCACCCTGCGACGCCAGGTTTGGAACTTTCCGGCTCACCCGATCCACAACCACGCTCTCCACCTTCAGACCAAAACATCACCACTGAGGTAATTTGACGCGAATTTCATAATTTCCGACGTGAAAAACTCTAGACTGGTGATGCATCGCACAGATGTTAAAAAATGGGCGCAGTAGCCCGCCACAAGCGACAAAATAAATGCAGAACCTGTTCACCCAGTTAGCAAAAATCAACCAGGATCGATTTGGCGGGGTTTTGAGTACCTGCTGAGGGTGCAATGCGCTGGGATTTCAACTGAGGGTGAATAAAGGAGATGCATGGGCGTTGATTGCGCTGGGCAGTGACGAGATGGATCTTGCCGCTAGCACCTGGGGCAAATGGTACGCGAGACCCGCTTTGCTTACATAATATTGAAATGGACCAATCGAAATCGACGCACAGAATCTGTTCAAGCCTACCCATTGAACCTCAAAATTTCGCTCCTGCAAACCACCAACTTCAGTGTCAACCAGCACGACCATTCCCCCCATCTGTACGTCCACCCTACATTCGCCCCAATCAAAGCCTGCTGCTGCGCATTTGAGAAATTCTGAAACATATCTGTTTTTCCATTTCTCAAGCGAAAGCAAACGGTCGTTCCTTCTTGTGTCGACCTGCCACGGCGCAACACGCCCAAGCCCAACTAACCTCTTGTTCACCCACACAGATTCCTGACGCCTCGAGCAAACCGTCAAGATGGGTCGCGTCATCCGCAACCAGCGTAAAGGTCGCTCAAGCATATTCCACGCCATCACCCGTCTGAACAAGGCCCCCGCCAAGTTCAGATCTCTCGACTACGCCGAGCGACATGGCTACGTCCGCGGTGTCGTGAAGCAGATTGTTCACGATGCCGGTCGTGGTGCCCCCCTCGCCAAGGTTGTCTTCCGTGACCCTTACCGCTTCAAGCACCACACCGAGACTTTCATCGCCAACGAGGGCATGTACACCGGCCAGTTCATCTACGCTGGCAAGAACGCTGCCCTGACCGTCGGCAACGTCCTGCCCCTGGGCGTCATGCCCGAGGGTACTGTCGTCTCCAACGTCGAGGAGAAGGTCGGCGACCGTGGCACTCTGGGCCGTACCTCGGGCAACTACATCACCATCATCGGCCACAACCCCGATGAGGGCAAGACCCGTATCAAGCTGCCCTCCGGTGCCAAGAAGGTTGTCCACAGCGGCTCCCGTGGCATGATTGGTATTGTCGCTGGCGGTGGCCGAACGGACAAGCCCATGCTGAGTACGTGGAAGATTCTTATGAGTGGAGATGGGGAGGGAGTATGCAGGAGGCTGGAAAATTTCAACGACGCCCAACTGCTGCTCTCTCTCTCAACACCACCCCCCTCCGCTGAATACGTACTTGGGGAGAATTTTGTGCTGACAAAGTGAAACAGAGGCCTCGCGTGCCAAGCACAAGTTCGCTGTCAAGCGCAACTGCTGGCCCAAGACTCGTGGTGTTGCCATGAACCCCGTCGATCATCCTCACGGTGGTGTAAGTGATCATAACGAACTCGCATTTTATGGGACAGTGCTGACACATCACTATCACTACAGGGTAACCACCAGCATATTGGTAAAGCCTCCACCATCAACCGTTACGCCGTGTCGGGTCAAAAGGCTGGTCTCATCGCTGCCAGACGGACTGGTCTGCTGCGTGGTACTCAGAAGACGAAGGACTAAGGGCTTCAACGGCTGCTGTTTTCTGGGGTTTGGGTTCATCGGATTGCTTTGATCGTTGGTCTCGCGTTCTGGTACAAAGAAAGGGCGGCATGACGAAAATCGTCGCTCTATGGGTAGTACCTCTGGCATTCGTGGAATATAAAAAAGGGATTTTACGAAACTAAAAGACATGCCGTCCGGCAAGCATAGTCTCGTTTGTTTGAGATGATGAAATCAAGAAACGTGACAAGAGATGCAGTGCTGGGGGTATGGAGACGTCGGGAGGCGGAATGATGAGCAGACTCAGGCGATTTGTTTTGTACGCCCTGGATCCGACCTGATATGAGCTCAGAGTGGAATCATATGACCAAAACCCCTCTTTGAGTGATTGATCACCTTATTTGCATCTGGCCCGTTCCTAGATTTTCGCCTGTGATGCAACCGCTATAAAAGAACAGACAAGCATCCCGCCTTTCAGTTTTCTACTTGCTCTAATTTGGGCCCAGCTTTACTCCTCCGTCCAGACCAGGGAGGAACAAATTAAACCCCCCGATTTGACGACAATTCGGCGACTTTGATTGATTTTTGAGTTGACAGCATGCTCTCGCGGGGACTGTGCCGATTCGCCTCTGTGGAAACCAGGGGTCTGATCTCACCCCACTATGTCTCCGGTCGTCCCTCCAAGCTCTTCTACTGCAACCCCGCCATCCTCATCCCTTCAGCAGTACAGAGATTCAGACCTTTCCACTCTACACCATTTCGACCAAGCCAATTGACCAAGATGGCCGCCTCCAGAGAATATCCCCTCCTGTGTTTGGAGAACCCTCTCCTCGGTGAGTCCCTTTCCGAAGCTTGCCTGGAGAAGCTCTACACTCCCATTCCCAGGTCCAAACTGCCCCTCCCCCTCCCTTGACCTCCCACCAAAATTCCATCCTACAACCGCACACCCTCGACTGACCGCTCGATCTTGTCCCTGTTTTGCATGACCAGACATTCAGGCCGTCGGAAACGATGAGCTTCTCGCCAAGTACGGCCTCAAGCCCAACGACGCGATCCTCGCCGAGGAGAACCACAAGCCGTTGTACGAGGAGCTGCTCAACAACTACGAGGCCAAGTTGATTGCGGGTGGAGCGGCGCAAAACACCGCCCGCGGTGCGCAGTACCTTTTGCCAGACAACAGCGTCGTCTACCTGGGCGGCGTCGGCGACGACAAGTACGCCGCCATCCTGCACGATGCCGTCAAGAAGGCGGGCCTGCGCGTCGAGTACCGTGTCGAGCCCTCGCAGCCCACCGGCCGCTGCGGTGTTGTCATCACCGGCCACAACAGGAGCATGTGCACCGATCTTGGCGCCGCCAACCATTATGGCCTGGATCACCTGAAGAAGCCCGAGATCTGGAGCCTGGTCGAGAACGCTGAGGTGTACTACATTGGCGGATACCACTTCACGGGTATGCATATGCTGAGGCCTCCTCCACCCCCTTCTCCTCCCTGCAGGTGACAGGCAGCTAATGAAACAACCTGCTCTCTTACTGCTGCTCTAGTGTGCCCTCCCGCGATCATGGAGCTCGCCAAGGAGGCCGCCGCCAAGAACAAGACCTTCGTGCTCTCCCTCTCGGCACCCTTCATTGCCCAGTTCTTCAAGGAGCCCCTGGACGCCAGCGCCCCGTACTGGGACTACATCATCGGCAACGAGACCGAGGCCGAGACATGGGCCGAGGCGCAGGGCCACGCGACAAAGGACCTGAAGGAGATCGCCAAGCTCATGGCCAACCTGCCCAAGGAGAACAAGCAGCGCAAGCGTGTCGCCATCATCACGCACGGCACCGAGCCCACCCTCGTCGCCGTCCAGGGCGAGGACGCCGTCAAGGAGTACCCGGTGCACCCGATCGACAAGGCCTTGATCAACGATACGAATGGTGCCGGTGACGCCTTTGCTGGTGGTCTCTGCGCTGGTATCGTGCAGGGCAAGAGCCTCGAGGAGTCTATCCACATGGGCCAGTGGCTCGCTAAGCTCAGCATCCAAGAGCTGGGTCCTTCGTAAGTGCATTCTTTCTCATTTCTTATTACTCAGAACAAAATTAGCTATGCTGTAGGAAGAGCGCAGACCGCACAACTGCGAAATAACTTTCAGTGATCCCGCTCGTTCCGTCATCCCCCCCCCCCCCTTTTCTTCACACAATCTTGCCAGATACACGACTAACATTATTTCCACCATAGATTCCCCTTCCCCAAGAAGGCCTACGAAGCAGGCTCGCACTAAGTTTGCTCATGACACGTTTGTATTTGCTTTCCTATAGAGAGATAGGCTCCGATTTGAGGGACAGGCGTCCAGTGTTTTTCAAAGGGAGGGGTAAAAGCTCATGGTTTCAACAACGGTAGTTTTGCATGTGCCGGGAAGAGCGAAGCGTGTCGCTTGATCTCAGAATTCAACTTGATGATTCCCCCATTTGACAGGTCGAGATGACTTGTAAATAGCGAGCTCCGTCGTCCCAGACAGAAAGAATCGAATTTCCCCAACGGAGGAAGCCCCTCCACTTGCATCGAACTCAAACAGAGAGACTTCTGCAGTCACACAACGAAACATGCTCCAGGGCCTGGTCTTGAGATCAGTTGAGATCTCGAGGGCGCTGAGCATCCGTTTCCAAATTGCATATCCAGTGACAAGATATCGCAGGGCACTTAGCATCTCTTGGGCCTGAACAAGGCAGCAAGCCAAACCCAGCGCAAATTGTCTCTCAATGCCATTTTGAGGTCTCGGGCATTGCCGTGATTGGTTTATCATCTCTTGGGCTTTGGATGATCATCAGCGAGCGCGCTCTGGAATGTCATCTGATCATGCGCATCAACTTGCTGGACTCCAGCTGCCATCGCAGTGCCCTTCATGGCATTGCGGAAGTGCGTTGGGTCGTCCTTCGTTACAATGTCACCTCGTCCGTATGCTGTAGTCGCATCAAAAACGTGGCCATCGCTCGCCGTGCCGAAGTTGTTGGGCTGGTGATACTGGGCCCAATTGCTCGGTTGTGCACCGTAGGTCTGGTAGTTAGCAAGAGCATCTCGCTGACCAAGACCGCGCTCGGGACTCGCTCCAGGCAGGCCGAAGGGGCTGTTGACGGCTGGCAGTCCCGATGCGTTCTGGGAAAATGCGGTCGAGAAGGAACTATTGCCCCACTCAAATCCTGGAGGCGATGGCATCTTTCCTTTCAGGTCAACATTCTCAGACCCTGCTGCGGTCCGATAGGCACGAACATCGTCCTTTGCCGACAGGAAAGGCGAGGCTCCACTGCTGTCGGCAGAGCCGCCAAGTCTCTGTCTCGAGTGCCCAAAGCTACCACGAGCGGACCCGGAGACACCAGACGAGGAACCCCCGGGTCGCAGGGCGCTCTGGCCATATGGACTCCCAAATAGCGTACCGCTCACGGCTGGGAAGAGCTGTTCCTCTGAATCACTTTGTGGTCGAGAGCCGGGACCGAAGGCCGGGACAGAAGGGTTGAAGGTAGATGTGCGAGAGCGCGACATGTGAATAGGGGAGACAGCCTGTTGAGGCGTAGTCGTCGCACTCGTCCGGCCACCGACAGATCTTGACGCGTTGGCAGGTGCATCCCACTGGAAAGGAGGACTGGCCCTGTCAAAGACACCAGCGCCACCATGGAGTTGCCTGGGCACACTGCCGAAGATTTGGTCGGCGATGCCAGGGTTTATGTCATGAGGCGGACCGCGCTGTGCACCTGCAAAGTCTGGCTGGGCCCGAGTACCAAAGTCTGGGGTGTCATCGTCCAAGAGATTGTCCACCATATTCTCGATGCGAGCTTCGAGACTCAGGTCCGACTCCGTCTCTCCAATGTCATTTGCCCCTGGGTTACTGTACACAGCACTGTTCTCATGTAAAATTCCAGAGCCGGACGGAGCCCTAATATGGTCTAAGCCACTATTGCCCTGAGTAACCGCGGTTTGTCCGCCAATGTTTCTACCGCCACTGACATGCTGCTGTGGACGCGCATCCTGAGAAGAGCCGAGACTGCGAAACTGTCCTTGGAGCTGGTCAATGTCTTGATCTGTGGGTTGCAAGTCGTTCACGGGGCCTTGGGCGAGCATCGGTGGCTTCCCGCCTTCCAGGTAGGAGACAGTGATTGCGCCGCCCAATTCTTGGGAGGTGGAAGTGTTGATGCTTAGCGGAAATCGTTCATCAAATGCAAGAGACAGTCCACAGCCCATCAAGTCAAATATACGACTCAACATCTCCTGCTCAGAGCTGCTCTTCGGGTTACCGCTGTCCTCCCAGTGAATTTTGAGGGTACCTTTGTCCGATTCGTGTTGGAGACGGCACATCGCCGGGAGGCCAGGGTCATCGAACGGCTTCATTCCCAGCGCTACTTCATCTTCGACAAGGAGGTAGGGCGACGGCGCCATCGTGTTGCCTGTGAATTCTTTTGCGACCACTGTCAAGGTCTGGGCAAGAGCTCGGTACATGTCAAAGACGTATGAGCCCAAATGCTGCTGGTAGTCGACGATGTCGTTACGATAGATGTAAAGCCAAGCCATGTAGATGCGTGCTAGAGGTAGCGCAGTCTCGGTGAAAGCACTGAACTCCTGAGAACCATCCGAAGTAGTGCCTCTCTTGGTGGATTCGTCTTGTGCAGGGGGAGCAGTCTTGACAAATTCTTCTAGCTCAGAAAGTAACAGGCGGGAGATGGCCAGGATCCATCGGACGTTCAGCCTCAAGATGAATTGACAAGAAGCAGACGCCTTGAGGCTCCACTCCTTCTCAATCTTGGATTTCGCAACCCAGTACGCTGCAATATTGACAAGTACCATCTTCAAGATGAGAGGCAAAGAGCCTGGCTTCTTGAGCGTGATATCCAGTCGGTGCAAGACCTCCTCCTCTAGCTCAGGGGGAAAGTCATCTCCCTTGTACAAGCGCGCATGAAGCTTGGTGAACCAGTTGGCAAAAGCCTCGTTTGGATCGGGAGGACCAGAGCGCTTGCTGGGTGTGGATGGCTGTAGGAGCTTTTTGAACTCCTGCTCCAGGTTGGCTGCCGCGTTAGGATGCGGGGTCTCGATAGCTCGCGCGCGGTAGAGGTGGTAGACGATATGCAGGTGGTTGTCATCCTCGAGAATTCCAAGCTGATGATGTGCAGCGCCATGAGTGGGCTTCAGATCGTTGGCAAGTTCGTAGAAGAGTACAGCAGTCTTCAGGCCATCCGGTCGCGGACGTGCCTTATTTCTCCAGCGCGAGATGTCTCCCAGGTGGAGGAGCGTCGCGTGGAACGACTTTTCGACCGCGTCGGCAGGAATGGTGGCGCTCTGGGACTCGTCGACAGCAGGAGCCTGTAGCTCCAGAAGGCGGTTGATCCTTGGAATCTGGGGCATCCCATGGAGAGCCTCAAGACGCTGAAAGTAACCCTTGTAGAACAAAAGAGCCGTCTTTAAATAATTATTGTAAAGTTTCTCCACCTTGCGCTTCGTCACGACGTGCTGCTGACCCTTGAGGTTGCCGTAGATGAGGTCACGATAGGCCTGGTTAACGAACGTGTGGAGTTTCCACATGACCTCTTCGGCGTCCTGCTCGAAGGTGAATCGAGGGTCTTGCGAGATGGTGTAGACAAAGCGGAGGCGAAACCTGTTACTGGGTCAGGACTTGTGCGGTCGTCGCGATGGGTCGCATTTCACGTACTCGGCCAAGCCGCTTTCCAGCTTGCTCAGCTGTTCCTCCTCGGTCTTTCCGCTGTTTCCCTTCTTCAGGCTCTCGATCTCGCGAATGATCTTCGATCGCTGCTTCTTCGCCTCTCTGAGCGGGTGGAAAGGTTGTCAGTAGAGCACAGCATGCGACCGACGAGTCCACCACGAGCCTGGAAGCATCCTGATATCGCAATCCTCTGTGAGAGCAGCACATGACTTACTGCCAGAAGGCCTGCGCCCTAGCTGCTGGGGTCTCCATGGCGGAAGCCATGGTGGGCAGCAACGATTGGCGACGCAACTTGGGGGAAGGAAGGGGATAAATGGGTAGAGAGGATGTGTTCAGTGTTTAGTGATGGACAAGGCCAAGAGATGTATGCGCAAGACGATATTGAGCCCACAGTCAAAGAGTGGGCTCATACATAGTCGAAACTGGCACAGCACAGCATTGGCGATCCATAACTGACTGTGCTGATGGTGATGGTGGTGCTGGGGGTGAGTTGAATGTTGCTGGGGGGCTGTAGGCGGGGATGGTTTGCTGCTGCTGTTGGAGCCAGTGGGTTTTGTCACAAGCAAGCACTGATGGCCACATCTGGTGGGGTAAGTACGTCTAGCTTTGTTCCTTTGCTAGAAATGCAATGGCTTGGGAAGTGACAGGAATACCAAGTGGTGTATTCCTGTCGGAAACAATAATGATTGAAAGGGAAGCCGAGAATTCAGCACAAGAGATAACAGGAAAAGTGGTGTAGTTTGGCAACCATCGCCAAGATGGCATTTACTCCTCCAGGAACCGGAACGAAATGCGGTTCCTCTGCCTGGATCATCCAATTGATGGATCAGTTGGGCTCTTTAGAACGGGGATCAGAACCCCTGCACATTGCTTGCCACTTTTGACCAGGCCTTGGGGGGCCTACCTTAGTGCCCGTCACACGGAATCGGAGTACCCGACCACTGATTTGCCGATTCTCCAACCTCAACATCGATTTCGACCACCAGCACACAGTCCGACTTACTCTCAGGATTATTTCATAGCAGGATGTTGATAAGAGTCCATGGATGTATTTTATTGCGTGGAGATGAACAGACTAGTATGCTTAACCTTGTAATTTTCAAGGTATCCTGGCCCATTTTGCTATGTCCTTAGGACGTTGTACAACTACGGATCATTTATTAAGTGGCCAAATTTAAGACCGGTGGTCGATAGCGTAGTGAAGTCATGAAGTTGCAGCAAGGTCTCTAGATATCACCAGCCTTCTGTCGCTGGCTAGGCACTTTGTCCCTTGCGCCAGTTATCTAGTTGCGGAAATCCAATCTGTGGTATGAAGATGTCCCGCTTTCTTTGCTTGCAAGTCAGCTCCGCCTCGGGCGCTGGGCTGCGAATGATCCAGAAACCTCGCGGTCAGGTCGAGACGTACTGTACCTTGAGTCACTTGATTGAGAGCACAATTAAATACGTAGATGCTTCCGTCGTGATGTAAGAGGCATGTAACCCGACAAAGAGTCGTGTGTTGCAGTGTACTATTTTCTGTACTTGCTGTACTACATTTTGTGGTACTGTAAATGATAATACAGTAGACAGTAGATTGTAGTTAAGGATGCTCACAAGGGGGTTTTGTCCCGCATGGAGAGGGTCCTGGCACCTGCAGCGGAAGAGTGGGTGCGCCATCCTTGCCGGCATTCAGTGCGCACTGTCCATCTCTGACGTTCTGCTCATGGCCACTTTGAAAAGTACCATAACTTTCGATTCTTCCAGATACGTACCTTTAAAAAGAAGAAGAAAGAAAAAGGGAGGAAAGGAAGAACAAGAAACTATATTGACATAGGCAGCCTCGTCAGTTCTTGACCAAGCAAAAAATAAGAATTTGACCATCCAGCCCCCTGGGATCCCGGCAGGAGAGGGAGTAGAGCTTGGCTGGCACACAGATCCTCTATCTATCCGCCACGTCTAGCTTCGCTTGCCAGGGCCCATTTATACAAGCTTCACATGGGACAACATCTTCCGAAATGATCTTTGTTTTTGTTTGGGACTACTGAGTTGCAAATCCCAGCACGCCTAAGTTTCTCGGGTTTCTCTGCCTACCCGTAAGCACCGTTCATGGTTGGACACACGCGGATTTCAAGGCATCCGGCTGCACGCACACCCTTCCCGCCAGCCTCTCGTTCCAAAACCATGAAGCGCACACGCCACGCAGAAGACGATGACAATGCGTCCTCCGCCAGCGACCAGGATGTGGCCACTGCTCTAGCCTCCAAGATCGTAACCTTAGACAACAGCGACACAGGTCCTGAGGCCACTACTACTGCTACGACTGTCATACAGTGCTCGCTGCCGGGCCACACACCGGGCCTGCGGTTCTCATCCTACCGAGACTACGAGGGGCATTACAACACAGTTCACACGAATCGATGCCTCGAGTGTAGGAGGAACTTTCCCACGTCACATGTTTTGGATCTGCATATCCTGGAGCAGCATGATGCCCTTGCGAAAATTAGGCGGGAGAAGGGCGAGCCAATTGTAAGTTCCACTTACGCCTGAAAAAAATTACTTCCCGAGCAAAAATACGAACGATGAGGACATAAGCTCTAGGTAGAATGGGCCCTACAGAGGTGACGGCCGCTTCTATTATTGGCTGACCATCTATCCTGTAGAGTAATCTATTTAGTGCAAAGTATCTGCAGGATATCCTCAAGTGAGGTGGTCTCTGCACTTTCTACCATTCGTTGTCCTCCAGTTCCATCTTTAACACACATCTGGAAGAACATGTCCAACCCTGCCAGACACCCGTCCTTGGATCCAAAGACTAACAGAATCACAGTATGCCTGTTTTGTAGAGACTTGCGGCGAGAGATTCAAAGGTATAGGCAAGAGGCAAGACCACTTGATAATGTCTCACAAGTATCCCGCCAACTATTTCTTCGCTGTCACAAAGTTTGGCATTGATGGCCGCAAATCCATGCTGGTCGATGACTACAAACATCGAGGCAACTGGCAGAAGGGTCCCCGTGGTCGCAAACCCAACAAGGCGAACGGGACCGGCTCCAGACGTCCCGAGGAGACCGGTAACAGCATCCCCTCGAAGGAGCTTCTGATGGAGGATGCAGGAAAACTGGCGAGCGAGCCCCAAGTGGCGAGTAAGAACATACCAAGGGAAGCCGAAGAGAGCCGAAACAGCCCCGACGAGAAGAAGGAGGCAACCGGTGAAAATCAAGAGACGCCCGGCGTCGACGCTCAGATGGAAGATTTAGCAGGTGCAATGTCGGCCCTGCGATTCGTCCCGAGAGCAATCCGCCTCGGCCCCAAGCACAAAGCTGAGCCCGTTCGACGATAGGCTGACAGCAAGGGCGGTAATTTGTCATTTGGTGGTTCGAGTGTTCAAGATACCCCATAACATAGCATAGACTCGGAAAGAACCTGTGACGGGAACCATAAACCTCCTATTGATTTGCAAAAATAGGCCTGGGGAGACGCCTACCTGGCCTCCTTGGATGTGGCCCCTCTTGATCGCAGAATTTATAAAGCCGCAAAGACCGGAACTCCAAGCTGACCCTGCTTTTCCATGCAAACATATTCGTCTTGTTAGCCCTACGTGCTCTGCTCGCTCAATCGCTCGAGGCGCAGCCCCGGCATCCGCAGCTAACACATTGTATGTCTTGGTCTTCTTTCAACTGTGCCCGTGGTACGCGACATATGCACGTGCTGTTTTGCTGTCAGTACGATGGTCGAGGTAGCTATAAGGATGGGGTACTTACGAGCTGAAGTTTGTCTCCTTGGTCTGGACGCATCGCAAGCAGCAAAGCTAGAAAATCCCGACCCGTTAGCATCCAGCCATCTCAAGATACGTGATCCCGCGTCCTTTTCTTGGAAAGATGAATTTCCCAGTCCAGTGTGACATACCTTCTCGTAGCCTTGTTTTTTCCACTTCGCGATCAACATCGCGTCGGCGTAGTTGTTCTTCAGTAGCCAGTCATACAGCTGCTTGCTTATCGCCTCCTTCTCGTAATAGAGCTCGTATATGTACCGACTCCGCTGGTGTGAGATCTGGAAGATGGGCCACTGTGCCTGGTGCTTGGGCACGTTGTCTGTGGGTGTGTTCTGCGCGTCCTTCATCTTGTTGCTGAAGATCAAGAGGTCGTCTTCGATGTCGCTGAAGCCCTCTGGCGGGGGCTTCCGCTTGGACGCATGGCGGATCGCAGGCATCTTCAGGCGGCGGTATGCAGTAGGGCGTTGCAAAGGGGGGATGGGTTGATATCCTGAGTTCCCTGAATGAAAAACAAAACGTTTCTGAACGTAGTGTATTCCTTGTTCCCTCGTCGTTTTGTACTTTAGTTGCAATAGCGATCGATGTTGGCTTGGAAATTCAAGGCACCAGAAAGGCGAGCGGCAGGCAAGCCCATCCTAGAACCCCCCGCCCGGGGTTGGGGATTGGCTTACATAACCCAGCGCCAAAACGGCCCGCTGCGAGCTCCCCTTTGGAACGTCAATTGCCTGGGAAAGGACGAAGATCGGAAGCAAGGCGCCTCTACACACAAACCCACGAGCGATTGAGCAGCCATGGCGACCATCTCACCTACACAACTCGCGCGCAAGACGCGGCAATGTCAGTACAATTTATGGAGAATCTTTTGACCAGTGATCACTGACCCCTCTGTGACAGCAACCAACTGGGCCGAGGCGCAACGGCGGGTGCTCGCAACCTACCGGGAATGGATTCGAGCTGTACGTCAAGAGCGATGGGCGAGAGACGACCTCCCCCCCAAGATCCGATCGATCGAGAATTTAAGTCTGAAGGAGCTTGAGGCTGACGAGATCCCCGGCTGCAGGCACCTGAGATTCAGACCATGTACAACGTTCCCCTACCAGTCTCGGTCATTCGGACGAGAATGAGGGAGGAGTTCGAGAAGCACCGATACGTCAGCAAGCTGCCCGTCGTGGATGTGCTGCTTTTCCAGAGCCATGCAGAATACCAGGTAATTTGGAGCAAAAATACTCTATAGTCGGTGGAGTTCGGCACTGACGAGGGAGGGCCACAGGAAACGATGAACTTTTGGAAGCAGACGAATCACGTCATGTCGTACTTCCAGGAGGAGAACTTCAGAGGGGACAAGAGGTTACCAACCAACTTCATGTCGGGTTTCTTGGAGGTAAGTTCTATTCCTGGCCCGTATGACACCTGCGCGAGTCCACATACTGACGGCCTTATCAACAGGGGCGCAACTGAAACGGGATTGTAGAGCCCCCCTTCCCCCTGTACATATCAAATAGAGAGAGGTTTCCGAAATTGCTGATCCAGAATTCCTTTTTTCCAATGTCCTATCATCTACCGTCACGCCGTGAACGCCATCCCATGCAAATCATTCTCAAGACCTTCCACCTCAACCTCAGTCAAACAAGCGCGGCTCGCCGTTGGGCAGCAATTGCTTCTTTGAGGGTGCTGGCTCGCTGGGCACCCGAGCCTCCCAGAACTTCTCAGCGACTACATCGCACAGATCCTGGAGGTCCTTCAGTCCCTTTTTTAAAGCATCAATAGCCGTAGTCTCCTCTGTAGAGTTATGTCCGTCAGTAATCACCGCCTCACAGGAGCAGTCAAGGTCACCCACTGTAGGTCTGAATTCTCATATTCATCTTGGGCTCTGATGGGTGAGGGATGGCGTATGCGCAGAACTCAACATCCGGGCTGTAGTTGCGTGTTAGTGAGATGGTCATGAACCTAGTTTATGATCATAGCCTACTTCTTCATGATGATGTACCTCAGGGCATTGCCCAAGGTATGGCCCTCGTCGCGGAACTCAAAGGATGCCGCAGTCGGCGTGGAGCCGGGCAGCTATAAGAGACCCCCAAGTTAGTCTTGTGTCTTCATTCAAGGTGAATACACGCGCGAGAGATGGAGGCACAATGCCGTACCAGAAACAACTTGTTCTCCAATTCCTCAAACTCCTCGGCGGCCTGCTCAGTCTCGCCAGCCTGAGACGCCTGTGCGTCGTCCATGACGGTATCCTCTCCGTTTGCTGACATGATGAATCAAAGCGCTGAGTGCAACAAGTGTTATCTGTGGTTCGTTCTGGATCGTGACAACGACTTTTTGTGGTAGAAGTTGGGGTGGATGAGTCTAGTTTGGGTAACGGATGCATTCCCAAGATTTTTCGATAAGGTTGTTATCGCTGCGGTACTAAGTACTGCTGTGCACCACAGCGCGTCCCGTTGCCCCACTTTCAAAACCTGGGGTTCATCTAGAGGACCGTCGATATTGGCTTTCAAGCCCGACAAGGCTGATGTCACGCATGAAAAGAAAATAGAAATCACTGAAAATTTCCCCAGGAAATTTCGTTATCGGGCTTCCTTCAAGTCATGGTGGGTACATCAAGGCAAGTCATACTAAGATAGGAATTGGAGTCCAGCTCGCGCCGTCGTCCCAGATGGGGCTTCACGGACGTCCGTGGACATCCCATGGACTACGGGGACAACGGAAGCTCCGGCCTCATAGGGTGAATACTGACAAATATGGCGGCGACCCTCCACCAACATGTGCTTTAAGTGGCATGATATTGCTCCGCCTGTGGACCGTAGGATTCGATGCCAATGATGCTTACCGGTCCTTACAATCCCGCGGTAGGACGTAGTATCGATTACACTCTCCTCTGAGTAGAAACGTATATATAAGCACTGTTCTCAGATATGTGGCCCTCCAACGACAGTAAAGATAGTCAGAATACACACAATCTGGCTTATATCGATCCACACAATCATCAAAAGGAACCATGGCCGCCCAAGAGATCCACAACGTTTTGATCACTGCCGCAGGCGGCAATATCGGACAACCTCTCGTCCAGCGATTCGTCGATGAGGCATCCAGGTCTTCTGATAAGTACAAGCTTGTCCTCCCCACCCGCAGGCTCGAGCATCTCAAGTCCGTCCTGCCCAGCAGCGTGCCAGGTGTTGAGATCGCCATTGTTCAAGGCGACATTGGAGATCCGGTCTGGCTGGAATCCATATTGAGGGAGCATGGCGTAGAAACAGTGATGCTGAACTTGAGTAAACCTCGTCCTCCTTCCCTGTCGGCCTGAAGCTGTTAAGCAACAAGCTCTGATAGTTGACCCTGTGCGACAGCCGGCGTGGAGGAGTTGATGCTCACCCTCAACTGCTTCGACGCGATGAGACGCGCATCTGTACAGCACCTCGTCTACATCTCCGCTGCAGGTGACTTCTCGCTCAAGGCTGTCGAGCAGGGCCTGATGAAGTACATCCACGCGGGCCACGTTGCCGTCAAGGTCACTATCGAGCACAAGCTGGTCTACGGCGACCTCCCCTTCACCTGGACTATCCTCGGGCCCATGCTTTTCTTCAGCAACGACCTGCGCAGCAAAGGACCCATGATGGCCCACGGCTTCTTCCCTGAACCCCTGTCCAGGAACGGCGTCGGCCGTGTCGACCCCCAGGACATTGGACTCGGCGCCTACCGCGCGATTGAGGACCGGGGCAGGAAGTGGGCAAAGAAGAAGGTCACAATCGGTGGGCGACACTTGTACACCTCTGACGAGATCACGAGCCTCTGGGGCAAGGCATTGGGCAAGGAGATCAGTATGGCCGGGACGGACCAGCAGTCACTAGACGAGCTCGCCAGATCCTTCTGCCAGTACATTGGCGGGCCACCGATCTGGGGTCGCGATTTCGCCCTGATGTATGTGGGCTTTGATCAGGTGCCGTGGTATCAGCAGACGGACGAGGAGTACAAGGCGCAGTGTGCGCTGCTGGGCAAGGAGCCGAACAGTTACGAAGAGTTCGTGGCAAAGACGGGTGCACAGTGGCTGGCTGAGGTAAAGAAGTGAGCAGCAGATCCGGCAATAGCTGCCTACGAGGCTCGCCAGGAAAAAGAGAGTCTCTGGGCGGTCTAACACTTAGCTGCAAGCGCCGTGGATAGTCCTTCCAATCTCACGATATGACCACCGCTCTCTCAAGAAGGTCACACTCTGCACACGGCGATCTGCACTTTGAGATCATGCTAGGGGCACGGAGCTCTCTCAGGAGAGAGGCGATCCTTCATCTTGAGACCGCCACGAGGATCTCGCAATAAATGGGATCTCCCCCTTTGTACCCAAGAACTTTGGTGATCAAAGGCTTGGTTGGGATCACATATTGCCAATCCTGATCATATAGCACGTCTCAACATGTACATAGTAGAAGAATGTATAGTAGACGAAATATGATACATCCTACTTTGTGTTCGAGAAGGAGAACTCCAATGGGCAAATGATTGCGATTGGTAACCGTACCCACCAGGCTAGCCTGCAGTGTTACAGCAAAGAGAAGACCGCCGAGGCAGCATCTCCACTGGACTATTGACAAGTTTAATAGCCAGTCGTCAGTATACGCGCATACTGTACGTCTTCTGGGGCCGATACCGCGATACGTCCAACAAAAGGTGGCCCATTGCAACGTCGCTCATCCGCCGCCCGTGGGATTGGGCACCATTTTCGGAGCACAGGCCGAGGTTTTCTTTGGGAACAAGTGCAGGAGAAGGAGCCACCAGCAGCAGCACCAGCGGCAGGAGCAGGAGGGGGAGGACAGGGGTGGAAGGTTCAACAGGCTCTGGGCCTTTCTTACAGAAAGAGGTGGGTTGCAGCCCCCTGGCGATCTGTGCCAACCCTGGTCGCAACCCCAGCTGCACACGCTGCTTCTTGCTTCTGAAGGTCTGCCACCGCGGCGCGCGGGGCTTGGCTGAGCTTGGCTTGGGCTAAAGTGGCTGGTCCTCTGCTGCGAAAGAAGAAGAGTTCAGGCCCACCGTAGCGGCCCACCCTTTTTTTTTTTTTTTTGGTGCCCTTTCTCCACGCCCTTGTGCATCGGTGCGCTTCAGGTGAGAGACGCAAGGCCAATTAAACTGACAGCGCTTTGAAACAGGGCGGAACCCAATCACGAGGCACCACCCTGTTTTTTTTTTCTTCCTCTTTTTCCCTTCTTCTTCCTTGTACCCGAGTAGGCCGTTTTGGGAATCTGATTGCGGGATCTTGCGGTGAGTCTCAGGTGGCCCTGTGGTGTGAGAGCCTGCAGGAGGAACAAACGGGTTCTAGAGGCTATCGACGACGACTTCATGGGACAAGGCTTGGCTGTGCCGACCCATTCTTATTTGCTCCTTCTCCCCCGACCCTCCCAGGACCCGATGCTAATATGTATGTGTGAGTCACTGCAAATGCTATAGGATGTGCCATGATACAGATGCCACGCAGGGATGCGTAGGGATGCGTGTGGACTCGAGCCGGTCGTCTATCGTGGTCGGACGCTTTTGCCCTGCTGGTCTGGTTTGGGCCTTGATAGCTGCGACATTAGTACCCACGAGGTAGCGAATGGTCAAGCTGACAACATCGACAAGGCTGTTTCACTTAGAGAAGGATTTCATCCCAATCTGCTTATTCCCTCATCGGCAGATAGGGTGCATCCAAGCATGTTCTCGGCTCGTTGCGGCAAAGAAACGACACAGGTTTAGGTGGCACATGAGCAGCATGTCCCATATCTAGCCCTTCGTCCCGTGACGACGAGTTGGAGCGGTGACTCCTTGTGCAGCAGCGATGCGGCTTGCCGTGTCCCAGCGAGATACTGTGAGATGGGGGGAGTTTTCCACCTCTTGTGATAGCCTACCGGTCTGCTCACCGCTTGGATCAACAAGATCGTCGTCGTCGGTCGCCATCGATGACCTTCGTGTTGCCTCGAAGGGGCCGATTGCGCGACCTGAACAAGTCACGACAACAGCCAAACATTGCCGCATGGGAACACTGCCATCCCGTAGGGAGACGTCATTTCGAGTTTCATCTCAACCCATCCCATTTCGAGATCGTACTCAACGACTCCGCCGCCTTGGTCGATCTGGCAACACCACCCAACTGGATGAGTAGCTATGAGCCAACGAGACCAACAATGGACCTCGAGCAGCCGAGTCGGCAAAGCCAAACATCAAAAGGTACCAGCCGCTGGGAGCATTAGATGAATTCCCCAAGAATTGGCTCGGTTAAGCAGCAATCTCTCGGCACGGGCCTAACAGGCCCGCCACTGACAACATACTGAATATATGCGTCCTCGCATACTTGCGCATGTATAGTTGCACACAGAATATCAAAAGACGGATCGTAATGATCTCCCACAGGGGTGCCCGACGACTAAAGCTCGTATTCCTTATGAATCCCAGAAATGTGTGCATTGTCTCAGTTAAAACAAGCGCTTGCAAGCCCATTGGCATCCTCCCGCTCGGATTACCCAATTACAGACAAAATTGTTCCATAGGGCTCCCTTTCGTCGTATTTCCCACCCCCCAAAAATCCACTTGTTCTTCACTACGAAGATCTGCGATTTGGTCTTCCGACGACGAGGATCGCGATAAGCTCAAGCTGGAAATTGATCCCAATGCAGGTAGGCCCAGACCAGACCCCCTCCCCGCCCTGCTGCCATTCCAGTCCCCAACCCCACAAGGCTGTGTGTGTGGAATTATTATGGTACTGTAGCATTCATATCGTTCACACGCAGAACCATGTCACTTTCTTTCATGCCCTCAAGATATTTACGGCAGCACGGAAAAAGGAGGTCAACAAACATGTCGACGCGTTGCATTGATATGCAGAGGATGCTCATTACCGGTGAAGCTCCTTCTAGCTACCGTGTGTGCTTGTTTGTGAAAAGGGCCCCAAGGCTCAGAGTGTGAGGGATGCGGCAACGGCGAGGAGGGCTGGCCAAGGGCGTCGTAGTGTGGAAATGAGCATCGGCCTTGATTGACAGGTCGGCATGAAATAGCCCCCTTTCGAATAATGATCGAGCATACACAGTACAACATATCCAAACAGATACAGCCACAATCTCAAGTCGTTCTCTGTCGAAAATTTCCCCTTGACCCTGGGCATGAAGCAACCTGGGGGTTGCTGATACCATCTAGTTGCTGTACTATAACCACTACTACTATCACTACTACTAAGAAAGTACTATACGTATCTGGTGTGCTCACGTGTCGCTACTTGCCTCAGACCGGGTCATTGCCTGCTTGAGACGGAGTGAAACTGAAAACGGTCGCGGCAAGCCCACTTGTCATCCTGAGGAAAATTTCCGATTTTTTTTAACATCGTGAGAAAGGGCCCTGGCTTGTTGTTGTAAACCCTGCAGGCGAGTGCGTGGCAACGAGGGACCATTCTACTTGCTGCTATTCGCGGCCAGCAACTTTGAAGGCCGGAGGAGGCTCGAGCCCGTAAGCCATTACTAACCCACTCATTTTCCCACGGGTACATGGCATATAGAGAGAGAGGTATACGTATGGACGGGCGGATACGTACTGGGTGATGTTTTCTCGATCGGACAGCAAGGCACAAGGGTAAACAGCAGCATAGCACCAAACCATCCTCATGCTACCAGGGTCTAATGCGGACGAGGTGGATAACTAGCATCTGATGAAACAACGACGGAGCTTAAAGTAGCGTTAGCCCCGCTCTACGAATGGTCCTGAGAATGTCTTGGGCCACCCCCTGGCCCCCCTCCCCTCATCCCGCGGAAAAGGGTCCCCACTGCTGCTACTTGGACCGTCTGGCGCCGCGAAGCACTATCCGCCAGTCGATTGGACCTGGTGCTGTAAACCAAGCAAGAAAGAGGATTCGCTCTCTCTGTTTCTGTCCTTGCCCGTCTGCCGGCCTGGATTTTTTCTTTCTTTTCTCTCACCACGAGTGTATCACTGACAGTGCAAAGCCCCCCTCCCCCTCCACCCCCGTCTCCCCTTTCATAGATCAACCGGGTCTCCCTGATGATCCATCCTGTCCTGTTTCCCCTCGAACAAGACCGAACCGGTGGCTTTCCGCTACGCTACGTAACAGGTACTATGGGGCCTTAACTGCGCCAGCCCGGGGAGCGTTCTGTAGGCGATCCTGTAGAAGAAAAGCCTTACCCTGTCATTATCAAAGCACATCCTCACGCTTGCTACCTCTTTTTCTTCGCCCTCCTTCTCTTTTCCTGTTTCTTCCTCTTCTCCGCCTTACCTCGACGACAGCTCGTTGTTTCGATTTGTCTCGTGGCCCAAGAGTCTCTCGTTCTTTTTTTTTGGGGGGGGTGGCCTCTTCGCGCTGAATAATCTCCCCCATCAACCCCGGGTCTGGTACGAGCCGTGATTGCCTACTGCGCTATTTGTAAGAACAAGGACGACGGATTATTTCCCACCACCTCCACTATCACCCACGCGAAATCTACGATACGAACCTGAGACCGGTCAGAAGCATCCAGCGGCTTTTCCCCACAGCCAAAACGAGAGAGCAATCATTTCCAGAGCGCATTCACCCGGATTTGTCCGCAATAATTCCACCACCTTGTCTCAGCGGGAAGGGATTTTTCTTCTTCTTCTCCTTTGGTTTTCGAGCTGAAGGATATTTCACACGAGACAGCAGAGGAGAGAGAAAAGAAGAATCTGGATTCGTTCGTGCAGAGGAACAAATAAAAGAAGAATAAAAGGGGGGTCCGTAAGACGCCTTACCAAGAACCAACAAGCCAGATATCCAGCCCTAGCACTTGCAGCAGCAGCAACCGGATTTTCTATTGTTTTATTTTCCTCCACCTTCGCACCACCTGCTTATTACGGCCATATCACATCAGCTAGCTGAGGAGGTAAGCGCAGCACCGTTTTTCTTTTCTTTCCCCTTGTCCATATTGCGTCTTTCTGGCTACCCTCTTGTTCTCCCTTTTTTTTTCTTCTTCCTCTTCTCTCTCTCTCTCTGTGTGTGGTCAGCAAGCTTAGAAATGCTACCTAGCTCTTGTCCCGGAGTGAACTTCCGACTGACCTGCTAAGTCCAGCCTGTTTAGCTATCGATTTGGTATCCGCTACTGGAGGGGCTAGTGTGCATCTCTGCGACTTTAGCTGGCCGAATCAGAACCTCTGGGCACCCGCAGAGTCTCACCCACACAACGCTGGGGCGACATTTGAAACCCAAGAACCCAACCGACCCCCCAAAAAGGGCTAAGGCAGTGTGGGAATAAGGAGGAGAGAAAGGGGAAACTCGAGTCCTCGAGGCAGCCGTCGACTTTCCTCTCTTTCCCACCCACCCCTGCCAGCTCGAACCCAACATCGAAACAGGGTCGACCTTTTTTTTTCTCCGGGGCTTTCTTCCCCCTTCTTTCTTGGGTTGCGATCCTTGTCTGTCCTTGACCTTTTTATGGGTTTGGGTTTTGGTTTTATTGATTTCCTGTATAACAAACCAACACCCACCGAGCGAGTATTGTTTCGCATTCGAATAAACCCCCCCCCTCTCTACTCTCTGCTCTCTTTCTTCGCCACGCGACAGCCTCCAGAGATCACCTCGACCAGTCAGTCAGTGGCTTTGGTCTAGTCTGGGAGATTCAAGTCAGCATCCATCATCCCATTCATTAGCTGGTTCAGCCAAGCGAATCGAAGCGACGACCACCACTCGTGTAGGATACGGAATAGCAGCCACCCGAGCCGAGACTCCTTTTGGCTTATCTCACCCCGACGCCTTTCCTCCTCTCTCTCTCTCTCTCTCTCTCTCTCTCTCTCTCTCTCTCTCTCTCTCTCAGAGACAAATCTCCCTCTTATTTTCTCTCTCCCTCTCTCTCCCCTTCTCACACACACAAATACACAAACCATCGTGCCAACGCCAGATTGGAGATCTACCTCGAAGAACGGCTTCCCTACAACCTGTGCGCACGGCACATCCTCTCAACATGAGCGCAGCCATCGCAATGGCTCCGTCGCCTGCTCCTCACAGCAGGCCAGGCTTTGGTGGAGATGCAGCCCCTGCAGCTGCATCCTCGAGCGCCGCGGCCCCCGCTGCCTCTGCTTCCTCCTTGTCGCCCTCCGTCCAGCGAACTTCCACGGCGGGAACACCGAACGCGAGCGCACCCTCGAATACGCACCACCAACAGCAGCATCCAACACGCACCGGCAGTGGTAGCCCCAGGGGCCAAACACATGGCGCCGCCAAGTCTTCGCCCCCCAGCGCGTAAGCTTCTCTCTCTCCTTGTGTCTCTGTCTCCTTGTCTCTTCGTGCCCTTTTTTTTTTCCTTTTTTTTTTCTCCCCCCTCTTCCATTTTATTCTCTTGTTGCTGTTTTCCCTTGTTCAATTTGCATCAAATGCTAATGGCTCTGATTGCACCTGTTTGCAGTTCTCGCAGCGCTGGTGGCCCTCCCAGGATAATCGTGAAGAAAGAGCCAGGCTCGCCAGAGCTGCCCGCCTCCCGGCATCGCCCTCGCAGGTTAGACCTGTCCAAGAACGTCAATAGCACCTCGCCCGCTACTGCCCGGCCTTACACCGCGCGCGACGGCTCCGCGCTGGGCATCCAGGAGGTTGGCCTGGCTTGTCTGTCTCCAGGCTTTATTACCCAGGACCCCGCCATGAAGGAGCAGGTTCAGAGGAGCATGTCGGTCCGTGAGCAGCAGAGACACCTCATCGAGGCGCGGCTGCAACAACAGTCGGCAAAGGGCGACGGTCCCGGCGACAAGGACAAGGACCTTACCGGTGGATTCGCTGCAAAGACACCAGGCATGTCGCGCAGGAACAAGGCGCCCCCAGGGCTGTCCATTGTCGCCCCCTCCCACGAGCACTTTGCCAGCGAACGGGTCATCCAGTCGGCGCCCCTGGGCCAGACCTTCACCGGCATGAACAACCCGCACCCCCTGACCCGCCACATCGAGAACCGGCCGTCAAAGCTGTCCAACACATCCCACATCCACCACGTGCCGGCAAACCAGACGAACAACCGCCTGCCTCCCATCTCCGATGTCTTTGGCCAGCAGCTCTCTGCACACCCCGCCTCGCAGGAGCACGCCATGTATGCGCAGCACCCACCTGCTCCTCGTCCCGGCGGCTCGCCAAACCACTCCCAACATCCCCACCCGCCTCCCTCGGCCAGGCTCAGGGAATACAAGTCCGCCGAGGAGGCCCAGCATGAGCTCGCCGGAGGCCGACCGGAACTCCTCCCCAAGCTCGTCCACTACGGCGGCCACCAGCCTCCTACCCCGCCGTCCCCTCTACCGGGCTCGCACCGGCCTGAGGCTACCCGAAGCCACAGCGCAAACAAGCGACGCCGCGACGAATACGAGGCTGGCGTGTCACCACCACTGGGCAATGGCAGGCCGGCCGTCCGCAGGGGACCCTTTGGCGAAGGACGTGACAGCCCTGATACCCAACGCGCCAAAAGGGACGAGTTCCTGCGCCTCTGCGAGAGGGCCTGGGACCTGTTCCACTCCTGAGCTGGCAGGCAATCTCCGTACAACATTTATTTTGGGAATGCATGACGACACCGTCGTTATCTCGGCCCTCGTCATACGAACGAGAGTGCACACGGCAGCATGTGTGCGATCTCGGTGCACCACGACACGCATTTGCGTGACGCAGATCCGGCAATAGTATTATGCATTGCCGGCCCTGGATTAGAATAATGTCTTGTGTGTGTGTGTGTGTGTGTGCGCGCGCGCGCGCGAGTTTGGTGTACAAAAGGGAGGGCAGGGCGGCGGTCTCACAAAATCAAGACGTGTTCAGCGTTATATCACACAGCGTTACGGCCTCCACGCCTGATCCGGAGGTCCCTTTATCTCTATCCATCGTGGCTTTCTAGTCCACTCTTTCTGTACTCTCCTTGACGACTTTTGCTGTCTCCATGACGTCGCCTTCGATTCTCAACACGCACGGCCTACTTTCGACGTTTGAACTACGAGCCTTGGATCACGGACCGGGGCGCGGCGGGACATTTTTTGATCTCCTTTTTTTTTTTTTTGGGTGTGTTTCATTCTTTATATGGGATGGTTATTCTATAAGCCATGGTGGCGTTTCTTGTTTTCTTTGTATCGCCTCTTTTTTTCTTCTTTTTTTTTTGTTTGTGCTTGGGTTTGGGCATTCTTGATCTGATAAAGACCTACTACGGCGTTCTCTCAATCCTTCCCTATGTGGTAATGAACAAGTCGTGGTGGTGGAAAGGGGGGGGACTTAGGAGTTTCGTGATATCCAAGCTGTGCGCCATAGGGGAAGTGAGGAAAGGATGGAGAGGGGGGAAGAAGAATACACAATCTCAGGTGTAATGGATGTGGTTCATACATTGGGTCAGAGGGCCAAACAAAGCCGTGGAGGAGGAGGAGGAGGAGGAGGAGGTACTGATTCAATGTACAAATGATGCACCCAATGCCCTGCCTGAGTATAGAGCTGTTCCGTGTGAAAAAAGACGAAGATCGTTTCCACATCTTGCAATTATGATCCTTTGCAGTCCAGTTTCAACAAACCCCCTGCCCCAACGTGTGGCCACTCCAGTTCCTCATCAGCCTCTTTTCTCACCCAAAAGTCCCAAGTCAAACCCCCTTTCAAGGGAGCCAACCCTGAGATCTGACGTGAGATGATGCTATGCCACCAACCCCTCAGCACCACCAGCCTCAGCCGCAGCGAATGTGTGGCAAGTTTTTGTATGTGTCAAATCCCACGTGCCACAGCATGCATGAGGATTCCCTTGCAGATGTGCATCCTTACTTCCCTATGTCCGCAAACAGGTCTTGGCTGGGGGGTTGTTCTTGGGAAGAGGAAAGAACCCCGAGGACGTTTTTTCTCTTCTTTTTTTCTTTCTTTTCTACCTGGTGCTTTGAAACAAGACCGATAAACATGACTTGAACAGCAAGGAGCGGGGCGGGCAGCACAGAGCGCGGGCCTGTGGGAGGGGTCGGCCGCCCTGGGCCTGGTCTTGACCTTCTTGTCGGCAAGGCAACAAGAATGAGGAGGGAGAATGAGAGACACCTCATCATCATCATCATCATCATCATCAAATCACCAACGGCATTTCGTCCATTCGAAGTTCTTTGGGCGGCCGTGGCCGGGACCCGGGACACACGGTGGCCCGTTTGAAGTGTTCCAGTCCGGCTGTTGTTGTGCTCCGTGTGTCTTCTCCGTTGGTGCTGGGGAAAGAAGAAGAAACTAGGCATCCTCACCTTGTCTGCGGTTTGCTGGGTCTGGGAGGGGCAAGGTTGTTGGGCGGTGCTCATGACCAGATGACGAGGATGAGGGTTGTGTTACTGTCACAGACCGTTTAGCCAACCCTATCGTCGTCCCTGTCACCTGCTACTACATACTTCCTGCCTTGGTCTCAGCAGAACAAAAAGGTCTGCTCGAGCCACGTCGGGCCCCTTAGGGAACTTGATATCTTTTTTTCTTTTCCTTCGAGTTTTGCCTTTTTTCTTTTGCTATTTTTGGCTTCCTTCTTCATTTCTCACCTTCCTTGCCCCCCCCCCCCCTTTTTTTCTTTTAGTCCCTTTTTCTCATCTGTTGTAATTAATACAATCAAAAAAGAGCACCGACACTTTTTCTTCTTCTAGCACGCAGGGCGCGCAATAATCTTCGGGAATAGTGATAGTACATATAGAGCAAGGTGAGATCCACCGCATGAAATCCAGGCTTCTATTCTACTCAGAAGAATTAGAAAGTACATCATCTCTGTCCAGCGATGCTGAGTCTCTCAGGACAGGTAGTTCCATATTAAGAAGGCGGCGGTGGTGGCGGCGACGACCACGACCACGACCCAGGAGGTCTACACACAACGTCGACTCAGCCAACCCAAAAGACAGACAAACGGACACCACAGACAAATACGATGGAGTCAATAGACACCACTATTGCCCCCTTCCCATCCTCCAAGCCCCTGATCGTCCTCACCGACCCAGAGGGCCTCTCGCTCGACACCTTCACCAACCGACACGGCGAGGTCGTCGCGTGCAGCTATCTCGACGCGGAGCTAGGCGGAGAGGAAGAGCAGGACGCCAAGACGACACCTGTGTCGCCATTCGCGGACCCGAAAGACATGGACTACCGCATGATGGGCCTGCAGGACGAGCCGGAGGGGGAGGAGAACATGACCTCTTACTGGGAATTCTCCGACTCGTCGACTTCAGACACGTCGTCCGACTCGGAGGAGGACGAGGACGAGGAGGACGAGATGGACTTCATCTACGACCACGAGGAGCGCAGGAAAATCCGCCTGGCTGAGATCAGCGACGGGCTCATCTCATTCCCAGCCTTTGACGACCCGCACCACAACAAGCGGATGGGTGTGGTCGGCCATGACACGAACACGACCATCACCACCAAAGCAGCAGCAGCAGCAGTAGCGGCAGCGGCAGTAGCGTCCTCCTCGTTCTTCGCCGACATGGACCCCGAGGACGTCAGAGACGCAGAGGAGCTCCTCATGGACGAGGATGACGACGAGGGGGACCTGATTGATGCCATCGAGGCCGTCGAAAGGGAATACGCCAATGACAGCAGCTGGGCGCGGCCGGTACCGCAGTGGGCATGGCTGAGGGCGAGCAACTCGTTCCCTGTGTTTCACCTGGGGCCGACGGACTTTAGACACGGAAGGTCGAAGCTGAGGATGGCTGTTTCTGCAGCGGACGAGTCGGCGATGAGCGACGATCATGACGATGATTATGGTGTTTATGATGAGGAGGATGATGAACATAGGGCTGATCTTATGTTGTCGAGGATGCCGAAACGAGAGGATGTTCAGGATGTGGCGTTTACGGAAGTGCCGTGGTTGTAGTGGAAAAGAGAATGTGTACACAAGTGAGCCAGAGTAAAGAAAAAGAGAGACAAGGGGAAAAAAGAGAAAAAACCACATCAAGAAAAAATATGATGATAAAACCATTTTCACCTTTTTATTGTTTACCAAATACCTTCCCAAACTCTTCTACCGTTGCCTTTCCCAGCTGCCCAGCCATCTCCATCCCTCAGCGACCTTGTCCACTTGGTCCAGCGCGCTTTTCACCTGGCCCTCCGGGTCATGCTCCCTGCTCCCCTCAAACTCGACAAAAAAGAGGTACTGAAAGGGCGCGATGAGGCTGGGCAGACTGTTGATGCTCGTCAGGTTGAGGCCATACTTGTTAAAAACGTCCAGAACAGCCGCCAGCGCACCAGGCGACCTGTGCGGCACCGTGAACGACACCAGGCTCTTGTAGCCCTTCTCTGGTGCCTCGGACGCCTCTTGCTCGTCGCTGCTGCTGCTGCTGCTGCTCCTCCTCCTCCTCCTCCTCCTCCTCCTCTTTCTCCTCCGCAGCACAAAGAACCGCGTCGTATTGTCATCCCGGTCCTCGATATGCCGCGCCAACACATCCAGCCCAAACATGTCCGCCGCCATCTCCGCCGCCACCGCGGCAGTGGTCCCCTCGGTGTCCTGGCTCGCCAGCTCCGCCGCCCTGCTCGTCGAGCTGACGTCCACGCGCTCCACGCCCGCCAGGTGCTGCGTCAGAAACCCGTCCGTCTGGCCCAGTGCCTGGGGGTGGCTCAGCACGCGCCTCACGTGGCCCAGCGACGGCTCGAGCTCTGCGCTGGTCTTGGTCTTGTTGTTGTTGTTGTTGTTGTGGTGGTGGTGGTGGTTACTACTACTGCTAGTGCTGGTGCTGGTGCTGGTGCTGTCTTGCGGCTGCGCAGCCTCGCGGCCAAAGGTCTTAGCAGCATGAGGCTTCGGCGGGCGCCTGTACCCTAGCAGAAAATGGTGCACATCGAGATAAACCTCGCCGCAGACTCGCAGGTCGCCATAGGCCCCGCGGCGGTCCGCCAGGCTGTCGAGCGTAAAAGTGACGACGCCGTGCGTCGAGTTCTCAAAGGGGACCACGCCCAGCTGCGTGGTCCCGGACTGGACCGCCTCGAAGACGTCCTTGATGGTCCCTACGGGCTGGTGGCTATACTCGGCCTCTGGGAAGGCGGACTTGGTCGCCTTTTTGGGAGAGTAGGGATTCAGGTGTCAGTCAGTGAATTTATGTCTTGTGAGTTTGTGTATGCATGCATGTGCGTGTGCTGTGAGGATTGGGGAAGAGAGAGAGAGAGAGAGAGAGAGAGGATTCGGACGAATATACCTGGTGGGTGAATGAGGAGGGCGGGCCAAGGAAGGCTACCAGTGGCCTTTCTGTTGTCGTATCTGTTGTCATTTTTGTATGTAACGAAGACAAAGAGGAAGAATTGGGAAGTGAGAAGTGGGAACGAGAAGAGAAAAGCGCTCGTGAGCGCTGGGAGGAAGGGAGAGAGGGAAATAAACGGCAAATTTTTTTTATAGAAATAATTTCCAAACCACTTAAAGACCACCGTTAATTGGTGTCCTCAGTTGCTTCTCATAGACCAAACCCTATATAAGATTTCATCTCCTCTTGCAGCCGTGACTGTGACCATGGACTTTGGCGTTCCCAGTGTTGTTGGGTGGAGTTTTTTGTGATGGATTGAGGCTCTCAAAGCTTCAATGCGCTGCGGATATCGGCGACACAAGCGGACCCGCAGATCGTCTGTGATACATTGTACAACTGACACATGGCGTGTGCACCATAGTACTAAACTGCAGCAGCCAGCCCAATTGTTTTTCCAATGCCATGACGGATGTTACATGTTTTGTTTCCGATTCAACTTTACTCGATACCACTTCCTTATATTTTATGTACTAGGCACTCAAAATTAAAATCCAAGCACATAGTATGCCATCATCACGTACACTGTTGGCTATCATGTCGTTTGTGATGCAAGAAATTTGGGAACAGAGCGTGTAAAGAGCGTATACAGTTGGATTTTCTTTTTACAACTATCTCAACGAGCGACTAAAAGTCATATCACACTTTGCCCAAAAACCAAAAACAAGGAAGCTCTCATCTTCTTTTTGAATCTGGGCAGACCCATCGTATTGGGCTTGCAGATCTTGTCCAACGAATGATGTCAGGTAGCAGCTTCAACGCCTCATTCCAGACTGATCATCCACTCTTCAGGAAGGTCTCGGTTCTCATTCTCTCTTCTCTCTCCCTCTACTCCCTCTTTGCCCTGCTTGTCCGCCCGTTGATGGACCAGGAGCTCGCCTCCCCTGCTCCCTGGTACAGACGACATCACGGGCAATGTCTGCAGCCGAGAATCAGCAACTGCCAGGACACCGGAGGAAAATACCAACAGGATGGAGAAGGAACGGACGTACCACCATGTTTCTCTCAACTCAAGCGGTCATCACAGAGCGGAGCGGCGATTCACGGAACACCTGGTGAGACGCCGACGCCGTTCCGGGTATGTCGGTGAAGCCTTTCGTCAATCGCCGCTGCGCATGCGATTGCTTGCGGGACGGCGACTTTGGCTGTGGCGTCGGGACATCAACAGGTGTCCTCGGCTCGGACGGGATTGCTTGAGTTTCAGAGCCCTCGTTCTTTACGAGGGAATCAAACTGTCAATCTGTACGTGGAACGTCAGTCAATCATATTGCTAGGTCAAACCCATCTTTTCCCTTTCTTTCTCATCATTTCTTACCGTCGTAGTAGTCATCATCGTCGTCATCAAAATCTTGCAGCTGCTCAAAGTTGACCTTGTAGCGGAGGATACCTCCAATGCCGCCGAAGCCCTTGACGAACTGGTTGCCCTCGGTCGATCGGTCCGACACAAATTCCAGATTCGTGCCAAAGTCCTTGTAGTGCTCAGCGATCCACTCCAGGAAGGACTCCTGGTTGACCAGCTCCATCTCCAGGCCGGACGAGGTGGGAGACTTGTCCATGAACTTGTCGCGGTTGCCCGATGTCTCCTCCTGCTTGGTCGTGTGAATAACGTGCTCGCCGCCGCTGCTGTCTTTCAGAGTCCAGCGGGTGATCTCGAGGTTCTCAAAGACAATCAGGGTCTCTACGGCGCCGAGCTCCAGCGCCTTGAGGGTATCGTCGATGCCGTAGCAGACCCGCCCAGTATCCTGGCTGATCTCCTCAAAGTACTTTCCGATCAGCTTCTTCTCCTGGATGAACTTGACGTTACCAAGCGTCTCAGAAGACAACTCGATGGCTTGGTTGAAGCCGTTTTCTCCACCGTACGATACGTCCACAACCTTGATGACCTTGGAGGCCAGACGATTGTCGAACATGTCAGAGGCGTTCAGGTCGTTCTTGAAGTCGGCAGAACCAGCAAGGATGATACCGGCAACGTTGACCTTGTCATTGGTGATGAAGTTCTGGACAGCCAGCTCGGCAACCTTGCGGACGTAGTTGTGGCGCTTCTCCTCACGGAGACGAGCGAAACGGAGGGCGGACTGACCACCACGTCCGTGCTTCTTGGGCAGATCGACGGAGAACTTGTGAACGATATCTCTGGTATTGCCGCTGAGGGTACCAAACAGCGCACCGTTACCATCCATGACGATGAAGCCGAACTTCTGGTCGGACTCCAGCAGCTCGGCGAGAGCCTCGGTGTGGAACTTGTTGTCACAGAGGTAGAGCGAGGTATTGATGGGCTTGAAGGGCTCGAAGTCGATGTTGACCTTGCGCTCCTTGCCCTCGGAGGTCAAGATTTCGCCACAGTAGACAACGAGACCGTTGGGCGGAACTTTGTTGTACAGCTTGAGACGTTGCTGGGTGGATGTGATGGCTGACAGGACGGACTGTCGGTTGACACGAGACTTGATGTTCGATGCGGTACCCTGTGATGATGGGTGTCAGTGTATGGCCGTCATAGAGGGGTATCTTTCTCTCGAGAATAAAGGGCAAGCAAGGCGTGCGTACGTATTCTTCAGCCAACATCTTGGCGGCTCGCGAGACCTGATCCTTGGGTGCTGTGACGACGTCAGTTAGCCGAGTGCGATTAAGCGAGTCGAGTTTCTGCAGAGGCGCCAAGCTGAGAGAAGAGAGGGAGTCTTGTGGCCAACATACGGATAATGAGGGAGATCATGCTCGTGCCGTTGCCACGAGCAGCCTCAAGGCGCTTGATGAGCTTCTTGACCTTCCATATCTCGATCTGCACACTTGCGTCAGCACAGCACCAGCACCGGTGCGCGAAATACAGGGCGCGCGTCGAGGAGCTCCTCAAAGAGGAGAAAGCATACATTTTTCTCAGCTTCGTTCTGCATGGATAAAAGTCAGCACGGGCACGCGACACACGGAGCGCATTTGGAAGTTATGACGAAAGTCAAAGCGGTCTTCGTTGTAGAGCGAAGAAAAGTGCAAGACTTACAGCCTGAGCGTCACTCATTTTGGCGGTATTGTAGACGCCGTAGCGACCTTCTCGATCTGTTGTACGGAGCTGCAGTCAAGCGGCAGCCAAGGGGGTGGGGGGCGTTCCAAGAGACCGAGTGGAGTGGGAATTTTCAGAGATGAAGAGGAAAAAGAAAAGGAAGAAAAACAAGGTGGTATAGAAAGAAGAGGTGGTTTTGATGGCGGGGTTTCGGTGGAGGTGAATGATTTTGAGGGAAGAGGTCAAAAACTGGCCTGGCGTGAGGGCGTTGCAGACAGCCCCACCAGTGCTGACTGTCACCTGTCATTGGTCAGACTCACCCCCTCCAAGACCCCTAAGGAAGCTTAACCCGGCCAGAGCCGCAACCACCAGCGGCCAACAATACCAAACCAACTCGACAATCAGTCACTACTCACTCGCATCACCTATTGTGACCTCCAAAAGTGCAACTCAACAGGGGGAAGTTCTCCCTCAGGCCCTCCTCCCGAAATTACCAGCCGTTCTTCTTCCCTGAGTCATTAATTTCAGGAGTCACTGGCAGGCTGCAATCCTGTGGATGCCCAAAATCAACCAGCTGACGTCACGCCGCCCACCTCGACACAGCGCCCCGTCCTAGGGCTCTCTTTCTCTCTAGGCGCAAGGCAGCTTCAAGTGGGGGGCCTGTAAACCAAGGCCCTAAACCACCCAAGCAACCCTCAAAGAACCTATCGCCAGTCGCCCTCTCGAGACCCGCCCCCAAATAGCTGCCCACCCATCATGGCCTCATCCGACATTCCTATGCAGATAGCAGAGACTATCCAAACCGCCCACATCAACCGGGCCCCCTCGGCAGCCCACGACCTCAACCCCTCCACCGCCGCAGACACGAAGGAGCCCGTCCAGCTAGAGGAGAAGAAGAAGGCCAGCAGCGCCCGCGACCTCGATGAGGACGATGTCGACGACGACGACGAAATTCCAGTCAGCGTTCTCAGGCCGCAGAACCGCTTCTCCCACCTCCCGCCCATCCCGGACCTGCGGTTCGAGCAGAGCTACCTGCATAGCATACAAGATGCCAAGTCGTGGTGGATGGTGGCCTGGATCACGACCAAGGACCATGTAGGTTGTTTCTTTGCGTATCTCTGGAGAGTATTACACATCATGCATGTTGCTTGGTGCCAGCCCATTTACTGACCTTGGAGAAACGCCGTGACAGCTTATGATGCCGATGATACAAGGAGTCGTCTACAATCTGGCCCTGTGCGGCTGGCAGCACTGGAACAGAAACGCACAGCTGAGCGGGAACTCGCTGGGCGCCAAAGCCCGGAGATGGTGGTACAGCGTCAACAATTGGCCCATCAACCAAAAGACTGTTAGCACCAAGAGATCTGTGGGCGGAAACGACTGGTTCAGGCGCTGAGGATGAAAGGGATTGTCTTTATCCTTCACATGTGACGAGGCGTCAAGTTGTACATATGCTATGGGCTTTCTGAGCTCGTGTTCTTTTATTCTTATTGATGGATATAGAGATGTCCCTCCCACGGCCGCAGAGTCACCCTCGAGCCTCCAGATACCGTTACTCCTGTCTTTTGGTCATCGCCAGCGTAGCTGCTCACCTGCAACACGTATTCCCCACCCCTCGGGACGTCGACCTGTTGATCCTTGTCCGAGAAGTTGAGTGCCACCAAGCTCTTCTCACCACCATGATTCTTGACAAAGGCAAAGGTCTGCTCATTCTCCATATCTAGCAGGTCAAATGTCCCGTATGTCAAGAGGTCAGCATGGGCCTTGCGAAACTTAATCATAGCCCTCCAGAACTTCAGCACCGAGTCCGGCTCTTCCAGCTGCTTCGCAACGTTGATCTCGGTGTAGCTGTCGTTGACTCTCATCCACGGAACAGCTCCCGCACTCGTGAAGCCGGCGTGCGCTGTCCCGTCCCATTGCATAGGTGTGCGGGCGTTGTCCCTGCCCAGGATTGACAGGTTTTTGAGAACTTCAGCTAGGGCTTCTGGGTTATTGTCCGTTGCTTTTGCGACCTGTCGGTAATGGCGTAATCCTTCGATGTCCTTGTACTCATCAATTGGCCAGTCTTGAGGAACATTAACCTATTGGGAAGATGGTCAGCGCAAGTCTTTCTTCTTATTTTGAATAGGAAGGACCCAGCATATGGATTATCTTTGCCTCCCAGCAAAACGGACTTACCATGCCGATCTCCTGACCTTGGTATATGAACAGCGTGCCTGTAAGCGAGCACATGAACAAGGCGAGCATCTTGGCCGACGCGACCCGGTACTCGGGCGCATCAGACGCAAAGCGCGAGATGGAACGCCCCTGGTCGTGGTTTTCACAAAACGCCGTCGTCCAGCCGTCGGTGCCGTCGATGAACTGCTGCCACTTGGCCACGGCCCCCTTCAGCTGTGGCAGCTTCCACTCGCGGCGTATATACCTGTTCGAGGTGCCCTGGCCGAGGTCGACCAGGTCGAACTGGAACACCATGCTGAGCTGCCGCTGCGCCGCGCCAACATAGCTCAGCACGCTCGCCGGCTCAGGCGTGTGCGGCAGCTCGCCAACCGTCATCGTGTCGTACCGCCCTAGCACCTCCTCGTTCATCTCGCGCAAAAACTCGTGCATTCGCGGCCCGTTGGCGTACAGGTCCCACGCGGGCTGCTCGTACATGTCACGGACCACGATGGGGGCGTCCCTGAGCTCGGCGACGGGGCCCTTGCTGTACATGTTCACCGTATCCACGCGGAACCCGTCGACGCCCTTGTCCAGCCAGAACCGCATCGCACTGTCGTAGATGGCCTGCCTGCATGCCTCGCTCTCCCAGTTGAGGTCCGGCTGCTCCCTGGCGAAGAGGTGGAGGTAGTACTCGCCCGTCGCCTCGTCAAATTCCCAAGCCGGCCCGCCGAAGTAGCTGCGCCAGTTCGTCGGGGCTATGTGGTTGCCGGCCTCGTCGTGCCGGAGCGGGCGCCAGATGTACCAGTCGCGCTTGGGATTGTCGCGCGAGGACCGCGACTCCTTGAACCAGGCGTGCTGGTCCGACGTGTGGTTGATGACAAGGTCGAGGATGAGCCGCATCCCTCGCTTGTGGCACTCGCTGATCAGCAGCTCCATGTCTTCCACCGTGCCGTAGGGCGCATGCACTGCTTCATAGTTGGAGATGTCGTAGCCCATGTCGATTTGAGGGCTGTTTTGGCATCAGTGGCAGCTCTCAAAACACCAACTTGGCCATCTGGGAAATTGGAGGCAACTATAAGGAAGTAACTCACCTCTCAAACATGGGAGACACCCATACGATGTCTACACCTAGATCTTTGAGGTAGTCCACCTTGGAGATGATCCCTGGGATATCACCAAGTCCATCGCCATTCTCATCTTTGAAGCTGGCTGGGTAGATCTGGCTGTGTTGTGGGTAAAGAGGATCACGATAGTTAGCAAATCAACACCTCGCCATTCTTCTCAGGCACAAAAAACGTTGAGACCTTCGAGTCCCTTGTGTAGGCCTTCTTGGTGGTGGATAATGAGGCCCGAGCAGATTACTTACTAGGCCACTCCTTCCTTCCACCACTTTTTGTCCGTCATGATGCTAAAACAGTTTGAGACCTCGATATGAATGGAGCATTAGGAGGAGTCGTTCTTAGAGAATTTCAAAGTAGGGCGAAGAAAAAAAGAAAAGAGAAACGCCGGGGGGGGGGGGTCGAGGTTGTTTTATAATGGATTATATAAACGTTGCAAGAGGTGAGGAAGTTGACGAGAGTCGTGATTAAAAAGAAACCAACCAAAAAAACCCAAGCGTCACGACAAGTTTTTGGTGCAATTTCTTTGCTCCTGCTACCATATTATATGGGACCACGAACGGCTCGATACTAAACTATCACCACTAACGGCAGACCAAAAGGCGGCTGCGCCTCCTCAAACATGGTTTTTTCCCACAGCACATCACGATCACCGTGCTTCTCTTCTGGTCAAACAAATGTCACCACCGCGCCATTAAAGTCATGGTGGGTGTTGATCATAGCCTTGGAAGTTCCTCCAGAATGCAGAATGGGGCGTCCGCATAATCACTCGCTCAAATTTCCATCTCCACGAGCGATCGTGGGGTAAAGTAGGGGCGTTCTTTGGGTAGAGCAGATTGTCTTAGCCTGTTTAGCAATCTTGGATTCGAATCGAAGAGGGCGGGGAATTGTCCCGGATCAAATTTCGCATACCCGGATGCAGGCCTCGTCCCTTTCCCAAGGGAAGGTGAAGCTAAGGGCAGCACCCATTTTCTTTCCTGGCGGCGTCACTTTTTTCCATCAAGAGCTCAAGGTTCTCAGAGAGGTCAAGCGAAAGATTTGGCGGCTGGCTGAGGTAGCCTAGCTCTATTGAATTCTTTTCTTGCCAATGATACTAATCTACTCACAGCGCTCTAAACGCAGGCAAATAGCCAGGTCTGGTCCGCATGTCTCTGCGTCCCTCCTCTTGCTCGGTGTCCTGCCATGCATCACTCGTGCTCCCGATTGGGTGCTTCTCGTGGATGCCGCTTGAAGTGACAAACTCGCCCTGCTGCGTATGCTGCTGACTCCGTCTCCATGAGTCCTGATGTTGAGCCGCCGCCGACACTCTCGACTTGTCCTGCTCCCTCCTCAATCCTCCTTGTCATAAATGTAACGCTCCACTCCTGAACCCTGTGGCGATGGCTGGGTTTCCCTCCAAGGTTGAACGGCGTTTCTCTCTTCCTGTGAAAACTTGCTAGTCCCCAAGACCCGTCCTCAACTCACTCAGGCTTGCATGTATCAAATCATGCACTACCGGGTCTCTCGGCCGGACTCTATCTGCCCGGTACCGGTGTCGCGCTTCCACTCGGTTGCCGTTGATGTTGCTGCTGCTGTTGCTGCTGTTGCTGCTGCTGGTGCTGCTGTTGCTGCTGTTGCTGCTGTTGCTGCTGCTGCTGCTGCTGCTGCTGACTCATTTGTCGCGCCGCTGCCGCCTGCGCGATGGCCTGTTGCTGCTGTTGATGTGGGGCAACTTGCTGTGGTGTGTGCTGACCCATTTGTTGCTGCTGCTGCTGCTGTTGCTGGCGCAACAGTTGCGCGTACTGCTGTGGGCTGGTGGTCGTCGGGATCCCGTTGGCGTGAGTTTGTTGTTGCGAGCTGCTGCCTGCCGCAGCGTCCATTGCATGTTGGACCACGCTGTTCTTACCCAGGTTCTGCCTAAACAACTGGCCGTAGCGCATGATCGCGGTCGAACGGATCACATTAGGAGACATTTCTGGGTGTTGAGCCCGGATCTGGTTCTCAAACTCCGCAAAGTGGGCTTGCATGCTGGGCGGCAAGCCTCGAGGTTGCGTAAAGCCGGGAGGTGGTGACCCGCTTGCTCCGGCCTGTATGTTCAGGCCGACGCCACCGGGCGAGGTGGCCACCCCCATGCCGTTGGGTCCGTACGCGCCCATGTTGCTCATCATGAAGTTGTTCTGGACGCCGTTCATACCATTGCGGATGATAGGGGAGTTCCCTTGTGTTGCCGACCCATTCGGCATGGCCTGATTTTGTTGCGGCTGCTGGACTGGCTGCGCTTGCGCTTGCGCTTGCGGAGGAGAGTGATGTGGCGGTAGTTGCTGAGGCTGCTGTTGTTGCTGCTGCTGCTGCTGTTGTTGTTGCTGCTGCTGTTGGCCCTGAGGTTGCGGGGAGTGATGATGGACTTGACCTTGTGCTTGTGCCTGCTGCTGCTGCTGGACCGCTTGTTGACGTCTCTGTTGGTCATGTATTCGCTTAGCCTGCATCACCAAGTTCGCGTCTGGTACTTGCATCCGCTGCCCTGCCTGTAACACGGCCATCTGCGCCTGCGTCATGCCATTGACATTCACGGGCATTTGGGAAACGAGTCCTCCCGCAGCCATCTGCGCAGCAAGAGCCACTTGCTGTTGTTGCTGCTGCTGCTGCATTGGAAGCCTAGCACGTGCTTGACCTGGAACTGGCATCTGCCTAGCCACCATCTGGACTGCAAGAGGGTTAGGGATGCCCGCCACATGAGCAGCAGCAGCAGCATTCTGAACTGCTTGACCAGTTCCTGGAGCAGCTGCGACACGCCCCACTTGATTCGGAACCCTGCCCTGCATAGCAGCAGCCTGTGCAGGTGTTCGGTCAATATGGTTTCCGCTTTCCTTTTGTCGTGCGGGTAGACTTACCTGTCGCTGTGCCTCCTGCTGCTGGGTGAATCTCAGTAGCTTCTCGTGCATTTGCTTCTCGCGCTCATGACGTAGACGGCTGTAGTCCTCTGGGGTCTTGGTAGGCAGCTTCGGTTGCGGGTTCTCGGATGGCCTCTTGCTCTGTTGGCTTGCGGTCTGCTGTTGCTTAGCGACAGTTGCTTCCCGCTTCTTGGCCAACTTCTTCATAGCATCGATTATTGCGAAAGGCCTTTTGAAAGGTTTCCTATCCACTCGAAAAGGCAAAGTAGGTCGTCGCCGCTGCACTGGCACTACAGCACCGTTGGGCCCTACTTGTGGTCTCGCGTTATCGTTTGCTTGGGCAATGGCTCTTTGCGCCGCGTCGATTCGTCTCTGATACGTTTGGAAGTACTGGCTCCTCGCCGTATCGTTCGGGTACCCTTCCAATTGGACCCATCGCTCGAAGCATTCCCAGGGTGTTCGCCTCTCTTCTGCGGAGATGAAAGCAGACTTTGACGTGATCATTTGGGAGATCAATGACCAGTTGTACGAGAACTCCCTTACTAGTCTCCTGAGCTCGTCGTCTTCGGCAGGAGTCCACATTGACGCCAACCTATTTTCGTAAAAGCTCTGGAGCGGCATTAGTGATTCAGTTGGAGGCCTGAACTGATGCCCAGCATGCAGCCTGTCTCGAATCACTTTCATATCCGGGCGGAACAGAGCCACATCGGTGTTCTCCGGTACCAGCTTTGTCCTCTCAAGATCGTTGGCGCCTGCAACCTCAAAGTCGTCACCCTCATCCTCCACGGCGTACTTGAATCGGCTTTGCTTCAAGCGGGGCACTTCTGGTCTTAGGACCATTTCTCCGTCCACATACTTGCTCAGTGGCAGAGCAGGACGACGCCACCGTGCATCGGGGTCATACTCTGGTACAAGCAGATCGGGCTGAGGCGGTTTGAGTGGCACGCCATACAGAGGTAGTTCTTCCAGGAGCTGGTCCGAGGCTGCAGACCTTCGCAGACCGAATACGACGTCGTCGTCTTGCAAAGCGAAGATGGTGGAGGGGGCCAGTCCGTCCATGTTCCAATCTTGGAACTCTTCGTCAACGTCCATAGGTGAGTCGGCATCGTCCGATGGAATTAAGTCGGGCATAGGGGTTGGGAGCGAATCTGCTCCGGGCAGGTGAGACGCAGACTTGTGGGTGGACGACATGACACTCATTGGAGGTGGTTTCGCGTTCACCTGGAGAAGCTTCCTCTCCTCATCGTTGGACATTATCCATTCGGCACAGGCCTCGGCAAGATTTCGGGCGACAGTTCGCTTCCACTTGCGTTCCTCCCGGAAGTCAGTCCGCATCCACTTCATTTCTTGCAGTAATGAATCCCAATGACTCGGCGGTCTCGTCGGCTCGGGGCAGCGCTTGGGCTGGCGAAGAGACCATTTATCATGCTGTTGTAGATGATAGATGCGGCGAAGTACATTGCAAGCTTGTTTCTCTTGTAGGACAATTGCACAGTCCGGAGACGACAGCGTCTTGTGCGTGTTAGCCAGGAGTTGTTCGGGACCCTTCATCCAATTCGATTGACGGGTGAAGCCGTCGAAGAACAGAGGCACAAAGTAATCATCGGTTGGAATGCGTTGCAGTTTCCCGTGAGGTGAGCTGGCAACGATCGTGTCTTCAGATTCCTTTGCCTGTTTCTCGAAAAGGACTGTAGGAGCCCTCTTGTGCTTCAGGCCGTGCCTCTCCGCAAAGCCTCTCCTTCGTGGCACCAGGGCGGCCGTCTCTGTTTTGTGCTGGTGATGATCAGACCGTTCCTCAGACAGGCCAGCATCTACAACCGGTGCTTCAGGGCCAGTGCTCTTCGGCTGAGTGTCCTGCTCCACCCGAGGTTGGGTGACTCCTTCATTTGCAGTCATTGGGACAGCAACAGACGGTGTTGCATTGTCGTGAGTGATGGGGTCTCTGGATGCTGGAGACACTGAAACAATCCGCTCATCCGTCGGTGCCTGAATCTGAACTCTCGGCGACGTCTCGCTCTGGCTTGCCGAGTGCGGTGACTGAATAGCAGATTGGTGTTCCTCCCTGATGTTCTCAAGATTCGCTTTGGTTGTAACTCCTCTATCCGTGGGAAGTGACGGTGTTGCCGGCTGCGCAGGTGGGTGAGGAAAGCTAGAAGGCGGCGACAGCACCGAGACCTGTCGCGGAGCCTTCGTCGACATGGCTGCATTGGCCGACTCAAGCAGTAATTGAGCGGATGCTGATTGGAATGCAGCAGCTTCGAGAACATCTCCTGCTGGAGTCTCATCCACCTCTGGAAGTACCTTTGCCTTCTGAGATTCATTTTGTTCTGCTTTTCGTTGACCCGAGTCCTCGTCGTCTCCAGAGTAAGGAGGCCCCTCGTTGTCAGGACTAGTATCGGGGGACGCATCTTGTACGGCTGGAGTGGTAGCAGTCTGCGCAGTGGAGCCTGGAGAAGACAAGATGTCTTGTGGCCTGGAGGCATCCAGCGGCGGATGCTTCAAGGAAGTGAGCCTTGAAGGTTCGCCTTGTCGGCCAGGCATCTCATCAAGGTCCATCGCGTCAGGTTCTGGTTCGTCCGGCCCGTCAACCACATCACGCTCCCCCGCGACTGGAGCCGGCGTGCTACCAAGGGCCTCTTCAGGGCGCGTCGGATGCCTCTCCAGCTCAACAAAGGCCACTTCTCTTCCAGATGAGACATCGCGCAACCCTCGCGACCCATTCAATGAACTAATATTGTCTGCAACGATCGCTCCAGGCCGGGCCTCTTGGACTGGTGCGGCATGGTCTGCAACTCGAGGATCCTTCGGAACCGGGGGTAAATTATCGACATTAGATGATCGCACGACGATTGGCAATGGCGACGGCCCAGGCGTAGCAGGCGATGGCTTGGGCGAAGCAGAGCCCGTGTCGGCCGGGTTCCTAGATCGGGACGGTGGAGGGACTAGAGAAGACGATTGGGACTTGAGGCCGGGCGCTTGGACATTTTCGCGTTCTGCGAGGGATGGTGCACCGCTGGTGAGGGATTCCGTGGCAGTGCTGGAGTACTTCGTGATGTTCACTGGGGGGATGTATCGCGAAGGCAGGTGGCGCTCGTTGAGGAAAGGCCCTCTGTTGCGATGAGTTAGCGGGTCTGCAGACTTCGCCTGGACAAAAACGCGTCTCAAATAAATTTCACTAGAAAGTTTAGGCATACTGTAAGACGGCATTGTCATCATGAAACCTGCCTTCCACCGCAGAGAAGGGTGGTGCATCGTCGGCGATGGGGTTGGCGAGTGGCAGGGCATCCACTTGTGTCGCTACGCAGTAGAGCTCATGAAGCCGCCTCTTGCGCGACGTCCTAATTGACCTGCGCGATGTTAGAATGACAAAATGGGCATCAAAATGATCGCACGAGTTTGCTCTATAAGATGGGGTGTGACACACCTCCATTCTTCTTTCTTGGACTGGATCAGCGTTGAGAGGCCGGAACGCTCGACCTCAGTCATAGCATCGGCGGCGGCGACATCCGTTTTTGGTTGAAAACGGAAGTCAAATAAGGTCAATGAGGTGCAGGGAGATGATTCAGAGAATCAGAATCGATGAAATTGGACCTGGTGGGCGTGGTTGATTGAAGAATGTGGTGACTGTTGTGGTGAACCTCCAACGCGCCTGAGTTTTCAAAGAGGCACAGGCGTGATGGGTGCTTGGAGTCGAGCGTGCAGTGGAAGGCGTGGCGGGCCAGGTGCTGTAGCGCGGGCGACCAGGCGACAGGAACCCCGCGTGGGTCGACTAACTGCGAGTGCTAGGATGACGACTTTATTTGGGGGGGAGGGGAGGTTGTTGGTTTTTAGCGGGTGGTTTGTGTTGGTAGTTGGTCTTTGGTAGCGGGTGTTGGGAGGTTTTAGTGTGTTAGAACAGGGAATGATTGCAATTGCCATATGTTGTAGTGGTAATTAGTTGATGTAGGGGAACCCTGAAATGAACGGGCTAGATTCCCTTGGGATCTTATCGACTTTTGGCTGGGAACAAACTGGTGCGGTTCGGGGAGAGAACAAAGCCTGCGCGAATGCCAGTGGCGCGCATTGGGCGCTTTTTCCGACACGTCGTGGGCCGGGGATGACCTTGAAGCATTTGCATAGCGAGAATATTTACTGGAATGGCTATCTGTAGCCCGCATTTTCATTTTATTCAGATGGTTGCATTGCACTGGATCATTTTGTTTTGCCGTCTTTGGCGCCGACAGGTCAATTCACGGTTAACCTTGCGTTACCAGATACTATGAATGAATAATGACATTACATATATCAGTTGTTTTTAGAAAAAGGGAGGGGGAAAAATCAGAATGATGAAGCTGTATGCTTTATGCAATACAGGCGCACTGCATCGGCTGGGCGGGCCATGGAGACTGGGTTGTTCGACGGATGCGTAAGAAAACAAACAATAAGCTAGGAGCGCCAGACACGCCGATAAAATATTGTCAATGGACATACGTTCACCCAAGTTTATATTTGTAGCAAACGGCCCCCAAAGCCTTATCTGGCCGATCTTCTGAACCCGCCGCCTGCACTGGAATTGGCCTCCAATAACGACCCAACCTTTTCACGAAAACTCTTGGAAAATTAATGTCAAAAATCCTCTGGACTCAAAGCGGAAAGGGAAAAAAATTGATTTTATCAAGGTGCAGCACCAGCAAAGGCTGGCTGTGCAGACTCCTAGCAAATACCTTACCAGACATTCTAAAGATGAGATATTTTTAGAGGAACACCGTACTATATAGGTAAGTACTTGTTCATACGCGCAAAGCGAATCGATCATGACCGTGGAAAGACCGAGGGCTACGGCGAAAAATAGATCAAAGATCCCAAGACAACTGCTATAGAAGGCACTCTATGGTGTGTACAAATGGTAGAAGGGAAGATGGTCTTCAATTAATCTATCTCGGGCACACTGCCAGTTGCTTTTCCACTGAGAAAGCAACTGGTGCTAGTTCTAATAGAGCTAGCGTATCTGCTGACTCACTGCCTCTCTATTGGGCCCTATGGCCACTGCCCTGTAACAATGGCCTTGCAACGGCTTGACTTGCACTATTAGCAGATGGTTATACCACAGTAAAACGCGTTGCAAGGGAGATACAACCTGTGTGCAATGAATGACAGGGTGCCGTTTGTTAACTCGTTTCTCGATCTCAGTAGGCCATATCTCGAGAAGACTTTCCTTGACAGGGAACAGTGGTCCTTATTTTCTCTCAGTCTGTCTCCTTTCCTTTGACCCCTCCCCTACCGTGGGGGTGTGGCAGTACTACTATGTAAGTATCTACCTTCTAGGTTGTTTGTATCAAAGTATCTCCGCTCTGTCCGGGTTCCACCGTGATGCACTTTTGAGGACTGCCTTAGGTAAGCACAGTACCTAGTATCGACTGCATCTCTTCAACTTTTACAGAGAATACCTGACGACATCAAATCAGTTCAAGTCTGATCAAAGCAAGCCTCTCATGATATGCCGGCTTTCATATGATCAAGGGCTGAATTGCTAGATGAATCAAATTGGGAACGACCAACACAGGGCTCGAAGGCAACGAAGCAAAAAGAAGTGGGGGGTCCATAGTGAGCTTGAGATTCTGGTATCCCTGCGCACGGACTTTGCCCTTCGCTTAGCAAGACATTCATTTTCGTCGCCCTCTTTATAAACGAACGCGATTGATGCACCAACAGACTTTCCCGCAGAAACACCATCTCAGCTATCCACATCAGTACACAATCCCCTGAAGATATTGGAAACCGACGCATGGCCTCATAGGTCTTCCAAAAATGACCGAACCGAAGGAGTCCCGCATCGCCATCCGCTTTGGTGCCTCGTCATCTTCCAAGGCACCCACCAGAACCGCAGCACGTCCTGCACCATCCAGCGCGCTGGGTAAGAGACACCGACCTCGTTTCGACCATGGCCACGATGATTCCTCTGGCGAGGAGGAGCCCGAGGACGCGCAGCTCGAGAGCATCACTCACTTTGGCGCAAACGGAGCAGAATTCCTCGACGATGAGCGCTCGCGTGCAGCTCAACACAGATCCGACGACAGGAAATTAGCGCGGCGGAGAACCAAGTCACCAGAGGTCAAAAGCCAGGAAAAGAACGGCGTGCCTGCAAATGTTGTCAAGGGCGAAGAGGAGGAGGAGGAGTCGCTCAAGTACGGGCTAACGATCCCGAAGAAGCCCGCGCAGAACGAGACAAAGCAGGAGGGGGTGGGGGAGAACAAGGCGCCTAAGGAGCCTAAGACCGCCGACGAGGAGGCCATGGATGCGCTTATGGGTAAGGACACGGGCAGAAAACGCATAGTTCAAAGAACGGAGGACAGTGCCTACCGCGACGCTGCTGCGAATGCACCGGAGGAAGATGATCTGGAGACATACGACGCCATACCAGTGGAGGGTTTCGGTGCGTCTCTTCTCATGGGACAAGGCTGGGATGGCAAGATGCGGGGTCCCAAAGCCAAAGAGATCACGAAACGCCCCAACGGAATGGGATTGGGCTCCAAGAAGCTGACGGGAGAGGAGGATCTCGGCGGCTGGGATTCCAAAGGCAAGAGCAAGGGCGACAGACGGCCGAGACTCGACGAGTACCGGCGAGATAGGGACAAGATGCGCGATCGACGGGAGGACAGGTATCGCGACAGCTACAAGAACGAGCGAGACCGCGAACGTAACGGCGACGGCAGAAGAGATGGCGGCCGTGAGCGCGATAGGGACCGAGATCGAGACCGCGACCACTACAGCCGTAGTGACAGGAGCTATCGACGGTGAACAATATGCCCGTGAACGAGGCCTGCTCGACTTGGAAATCGAGTGTCCACATTCTAACGGCCAGATTGCAAATCAAGATCAATCAAGCACTGTGAACATAGACCAGTAGGTAGGTACCGTCTGCTTGTTCCATTCCGCTACGGTGACATCGTGACCTGGCTAAACTCCTTCCCAGCTGATGCCCTCAGCACATCATTGCCATTTTTTCTCGACCTATCTCTAGGTGGTTGTGATGCCTCGTCAAAAGCTCCGGTGCCGCCATCCATGTGGCTTCTACTAAGATATATAGCAAGTCTTGTACGTCTGAGGGAGTTGTTTCTCAAGTAAGTTGAATAAGTAAGTCCAACTGTCCTCAACTATACAAGCTCATACAGCTTTAAGTCGTATAAGCCACTCTTGGGTGCCCTGTCTCTCTACCGCCAATTTCAAGTTACTGTTTTACCGCTCAAAGACAGTCATCGATCAGGAAAGATACCGATGCCACCTTTCTAATTAGGCGCAAGATCAATTCAGCATATTGGGTCTATGCTACTTCTCAGCCTCTTCTCTCACTACAGCATTCTTTTGGGTACACGACGGCATCCGCTCAGCTTTTTGGAAAACGTACAACAAAAGCCCCCCCCCCCGGGGGGGGGGGTTCTCAACAAGGGACCTTTCCAGGTGGCCTGACAGGCGACTGAGCGAACGCTGACGATCATTGACCACCATATTGAGACCCATCATCTGGAACACCTTCAGCCTCGCACGGCTTCTGAGACGTCTCTGGTGGCTGCCAAGCCACCCGGGTTCTCGTCTACGTACAGACAGCGGTCAGCAACGAAAAAAAAAAAAAAAGAAGAAGAAAAAAAAGCAGCAAATCGACCCCGCTCCGCGGAACGCGGCCTACGTTCCTACGGCTGACTTGGGCTCAGCTAGCTGTTCTACTGCATGTCTCTGATTCAACTTCCTCCAAATTATAAAATAAAATAAAATAAAATAAAAATTAAAAACTTGTTTGATGCCAAAGATAGACAAACCATCACACCTCCCTCTGCTCCCGAAAACGAAAGGCACCCCTCTCTGGATGTAACTCGAACTTATCTCCCTTCTCTGTTCCTTTTTTCGTCGTTCTCTTCGTTTCGTTGGGGAGGAAGGTAAGGCGTTCTTTAGTGAAATTCTATATCGGCCCACCTTTGCCTCACCGATGGACAAAGAGTGCTCTAGTGATTAAACTTACCACTTTTTGCGGTTCAGCTGCAATGCATGATAGGAAGCTAGAGAAGAGTCACCGAGAGGTCAAGCAGAGTGCAACTAAATCGAGTCCATCGCCGTCCTGCATCAGTCCAAGCAGCGAATACCTCACTCCTGCAGAGAGACGTATCATCTATGGCGTCTGGTTCATCCAGCAAATGCCAATCACGCTCCGGTTTTTGGGGCAGTCGCCACGATGGGAGACTCATTGAATTTTTTTTCTTCCCCTGTGACGTCTAAGCGTAGCGTACCGATGTATAATACCTACATATAATGTCGAGCTTGTCTTTGCTAAGAAAACTTGTCAGCCACTAGCCTGCTCAAGAAGCCAGTGAAAGGACTGACACGAACACTGACACACTGACACACTGACACGCTGACACGCATCAACATTGTTTTTTCAACAGACTAGCCGATCTGATAACCTGAGTAGCATCGTAGTATGTATGCAGCAGCTTACTGGTGGCCCGGAGTCTTTCTCCGCTGTTATCTCTTACCGTACAGCCTGCGTGAGCCGCCCTATGCTGCTCCTCCAGGCTGAGCCTTAAGATAGCACTGTATACAAGTGCACCACATCACAGCATACGTGGAGGAAGAAGAACAAGCAGAAGAAAGAAACAGAAAAGTAATAGCAGTTCTAGAGCATGCAATGCCCCAGAGTGGGGCCAAGGCAGAGCACTTTAGCAGTGAAACATCGGCAGGGCCTTCCTCTGCGCCGGAAGTGAAGTTGGCTGCCGATTCGCTGTATCGTATATATAACCTTGCATGACTAGGATGTTGAGGGTATTCAGACTGCTCTTCATTTTGAAGGCGGGGCATGCAAGACCTCAGCAGGGAGGGGGCGGGGGTGTCTGAGATCGAACAACACACAACGTGAAAATTTCTCTGATCAGACATACAAGAACCTATATTGGGCCGGCCTTGTTGTTCGTCTTTTCTTCGCGGGGGAGAAGAAGAGAGATGGGAGAGAAATTGCCGAAAAGAAAGTAAAATTACATGGCAGAAAAAGAAGAGGTAACGGTTCGGCGGCCAAGGTCCAGTTGCTACCCACAACCAGCAAGGTGGGCCGGCCGATGGAGTGTCCGTCATGCAGTCTCTCGCTTGTGCATGAAGCAAAGGCCCATGACCCGGCTCAAACGGTGCAACGTCCGGATGTGCACCTCCGATGTGGTGCAGCTTCGCTTGCTGGATGGCGATATCCTGTGACCGGCCCTGGAAGCTCCGCTAGCAAGAGTGAACTACTTGGAAGAAGAAAGAAAATAGTGAAAGAAAAAACCACTATCCGAATCGCTCTACGCCTGCCTGTCTCCTCCACATCCCCTCCCCCCTCCACTCGCACCTTCCGTGCCGTCCAATAGATACCCGCGTGGCGAGGTGACGGGAGTGACTTGCATTTGAGGACGCCCGCAGAAGGAGCCAGCCAACCATTCAGCTAGTTGCCGTTTTCTGTCTACCCCCTTCCCTCTGGGGAGACGCCTTCACATGTTTTCTCTCTCTTTCTCTCTCTCTATCTCTCTCTGTATGTATCTATCTCGCTCTCCAAAAGCGGATCTGGGGTAGAGACGGGGGCCCGCGGCCGGAGAGTCTGAGACATATATGCATGCGCTCTGCCGTCCCATCATCAATTTTCCTCCCCGCCACGCCGCCCCGGCCGCGCCCCCCCCCCGGCACCGGGCAGGTGTATGACCCTTCCAGCTGTTATGATAGGTGCGCTTGCAGAGGGAAGGGAGGACAAGGAGGGGTGGAAGAGGGAGCACTCCTCACGGGGTCAGCGCCACCGGCATGTACTGTAACTGGGGGGATGGATGGATGATGATGAGGAGGGGGGAGACGGTCTAGAAGGAGGAGGGGGGTCGGGTCCAGAGACAACTTCTCGCCAGTTAGATTACGCAGATCACACTCTCTCACACACAGCCTCTCTCTCTCACTTTCTTTCCTTCTCCCCAACAAACGCAATTGAACGTGTAAACACGTATGTAAGTATCATAGTATGTACGGAGTCACTAGTACGAGCTGTACGAGGCACAGGGCCCAGCCCGGAAGTAGATGCTTTGTGTGCCCTCAAGAGTGGGGGTCCCGTAGCTTCAGCCGCGCCATGGTATGGCGGAGACCGTCGCATTGCGGGGCCTGAACCGCTCTCCCCCCCAAGCACGCACATGCACAGAAGTGTGCAGTGGCGCGGTGGAGCACGCCGAATCCCTTTGCCTAGATTTGCTATTTGTTGCTTTTGGCTATGAACCTAAGTATGTGTATATGTATTATACATACTGCATACTGTACGAACCATAGTTAGATGGTCGGAGCCTAGGAGGCGAAGGAGGAGAAGAGGAAAATTGTGGGCTTGGTCCAATTCGCCAACGCCCCCTCTTTCGTATCATGTTGTTTAGCAGAGCATCTGTGGAGCCATCCTCATTGGCAAAGGCAGGGACATCAAATTCTCTACGAGCGGAGATGAGTATCATCAATTTTCTTTTTCTGTCTTCTCATCATTAGACACGGCGGCTACTATGTATAAATCTTCTCTTTCTGGGGTACAGTAATGGATACCACGCCACCTTTGTTTTCTCACTTTCACTGGAGCCTCTCCCCTCTTTCGTCACTTCCCACTCCACCACTACAACAAACATTTCCACCCTAGGCCTGCGGGTAGGAGGTTCCAGATTCCCAGCCGCTCGAGAGGCAACTGCGACCCCCGTGATCCCCCCGGGTGGGCGTACTATGTACAGTACTACATGCGATGTATCTGGCGCCGTCCTTACTGGGCACTTTCATGACACAGCGCACCTTCCCTCCTCTTTAGAAGCAGGGGGTGGAGACTGAAGGAAGGGGGCAAGAAAAGAAGGAGAAGAGGACCAGGCACCCAAAAAGGCCTAAACAGACTTTTGGTGTGGCTATCCCCATTTTAGGCTTGCTGCGTGTGCTCTACCTGCAGTTACTATGTACGACTTCGCATTTGGGGGGGGGGGGTCAGTGTGCGCGCCGGTCGGTGTGGCCTGCCGTGCTGATCAAGACACTGCTTTGGCAACCCATTCACAAGTATTGCGTAATACCCCTGCGGGTCCTTTTTGCCCTTTCTTTTTCTTTTCTGTAAAATGGAAGGACTGGTGTGACATACTAAACAGGATTGGATTGTCAGCGGGCACGAGAGAAAGGCAAGGGGGAGGGGTGGTTCAAAGGAAGGGTTATATGCAGCGTGCCGCTGCCGCTGTTGCTGCTGCTGCATCGCTGCATGGCTGCCCGCCCCTGTCTTGTGGTGGTGGTGGTGGTCATGGTACATCCTGAATACAAACCGCTTTTGTATCTGTCATGTAGATGATCCGGCGGTGGACTTTGTGTCTATGCTTCCTTGTGTACGAGAAGGGGAAAAGAACCCAAAAAAGAGACCCCCCTTCCTAAAAACCACCAGAGGTCCGCCCTGAAACCCCTTCTTCCCTGTCGCTGGCCCCAAAAAAAGACGGCAAAATGTGCCACGTACCGGGTTGACGGGACTGTGGGATGCTTGCCGCATCACACGTCACTCTTCTAAGCGGTGTTGACGGGCAGGAGAACAAGGACACGTGTGGGCGTCTTCAAGGAGAAGGTAGGTTCTTCTGTTCAGTGGTCCTCCACCCCTTGGACGGTGATGCCGTAGGGTAGGTTCTCTGCATACTCGCTCCACCCCTTACGAAAGGCTTGAGAAGACGGTAGGCAGGGAGGGAGGGAGCTGAGAGAGGGGTATGGTCGTTGTGTCTGTCATGTCGAGCATGGGGTTCTACGAGTGAGGGCAACCCGAAGCGGATCTGTCATGGTGTGGAAGCACCTTTCTTTGACTGTTTCAGTGGCTTGCTGCTGTTACAGGGGTTTGTCTACATGGTGATG